ATATTCTGCCTTTTGGCACTGACCTTATCTGTTTTGTTGTTCTTAGACAAGAAAACCAACCAACCAACCAAGCAACCAACCAACCAGCCAGCCAGCCAACCAACCAAACAGACAAACAAGCAAACAGACAAACAAACAAGCAAACAAACAAGCAAACAAACAAACATATTGCTGAGCATTTCATCTCAAGCCAGGTTTCAGTCCAGGAATTCCTGTCTAGCCCTCCGGCGCGCTCCGAGTTCTGCATTTGTTCACTTGCAGTGACCCGAAAGGTGGCGAAGAATCAGACTCCGTCTTTTGCTGGGGTCATGTACTGATTCTGTTTCGGGTTGAAGTCAGAAACTGGAATCGGCGAACGTTTCGCATTGGCCAAGGGGGTGACTTTGAAATCATGTGGCAAAAATTGTGTGCCAAGCTTGAAATCTGTTTGGTAGCCCCTCTCAGCCGAACAAAGCGAGATACCCTAAAACAGGAGGTTGCAAAACAGACCCTAGTTCACTCTACCCAACTTTTCCCCCCAAAAAAATAACAACAAGAGAAAAAAGAGAAAAGAGACTATTAAGGATTCATTTGGGGCATCCACCCTGAATCAACGAGCGTTGTGTCACTGAACTTCTAAATCTGGGGTACACAGAAACAACAAAAACAAACGTGTTTCCTTGTGGTCCATATTTTAGTCTCTCTGAATAAAAACATGGCCATGGGTCAAAATCCCGTACCCCCAGTGAACATCCAAATCCCCACTAAAATAGACCAAAATGGGTGGTGCACCTACCTCAAGATGGTACCAAAACGGTTTTGACCCACAGCCACATCGTTTTGGAGACCCCAGCAAACAGCTACTTCATCTTACCACTGCTCCTTCCCCCCGCTCGCCCGCCTCGGCTCCTGCTTGGCTTTGCGCTTGCCTTGGGCGAAAAACGCGGGCGGTGCTTCGCTTGCTGGTGCGAGAGGTAGGGAACGCGGGAATGAACTTCGGGGTCCTCTTAAATCATAGAAACCTGCAGGAAATTCTACAGGAAGTTAGCCAAATACCCACCAAACTCAGGGGTGTCCCTATAGAATTGCCTTTAGTTGGTTTCTTATGCTAAAAGGCAACCACAAGGAATGGTTTATAAGGATCATTCCATATTTCAATCCCTGCTAAGCTAAGTGGATTATAACCATCATAGAAACCAGCTGCAGGAAATTCTACAGGAAGTTAGCCAAATACCCACCTGTAGTTGGTTTCTTAGATTAAAGGAAGCCACGAGGCATGGTTTATTAGTGTCATGAGGCATGGTTTATTAGGGTCATTCCATTTTTCATTCCCGGCTAAGTCACCAGCAAGTTAAAGGGGCAGCGTGCTTAGTAAGCCTGGTTATAACCCACTGAGGAGACTTATAACCATGGTAAGTGGATTATAACCAGGCTTACTAATCACTTCCTATATGCACTGACGCCCAGTGGCCATGGGGAAAAAAAGGCACCATTTTGTTGTTGGTTGAGTTTAAAGGGAACCCTTACCCCAAAAAAGGAAAAAAGGGCACCACTGGGCAACAGAGTATAAGTACCCAGCCCTTTTAAGCACCCCTCTTGGGATTGGTAAAGCAAGAAACAAAAGTGCCTCCCCTTCCGGGTATTTTGAGCACATACCCATTTCTTGGTTGACGTTGGAAGGGGAGCAAAAATCTTTTTTTTAGCAGTTAAGTGGGGATTTCCCACTAAACCACAATAAGCAAACATGTAAAATGTTTCCCAACAACAACCATGATATGAGCAGCTCAAGCATTCATGAGTTGGATAACATCTAAGCCAAGCACCGGTTCACTTGCCAAAATCCGATACTGTCAAAGACCACCTACCAACAGGTGCAGGATGTTGCCCCTCAACTTGATTGTCGTGATATTAGGGGGACTACGAGGGGCTTCGTTTTTCCTTCGGTGGATGGACTTGCAAAGGAGCGAAGCAAACAAGATGCGGGAAATGGAGCTTTCGCGGAATTCGGCAGCATTCATGCCCAAACACCTGGGGAATGGATGGATAACATTATCATTGCGGGCCATTGACTTAAACATGACAAGCAAAATGGACAAACACACGAGGTTAAAAGGCCGATTCGGGCAAGTCAGCATGGGGTATGCGAGCAACTGTCAGCTTTCCTTGGGCCAAGGCTGACATTGGATTTCGCCCAAGTAGCGTTAGTCTGTCTGCCCATCTGCCCCATGTATGATTTTCCTCAAGCCCCTCTTGGGTTCCTGCGGACCAAACGAACCACGCACCTCACGAACTAAACGTGCAGGCCAAAATCGCCAGTGCCACTCCTCCCAGATCCGGTCAGGCAAACTGGACCAATTGTGCACCCCACTGAACAGAACCGACCCAACCAACATGCAACCTGCAGTGCAAGCATACACTTCCGGCAGTATATTTGAGCGTTTCACTTCAAAACCAACAGGAAAGCAAACTGCTCCAAATGACGCAAGGCAAACCCTAGTGGCTCTTCTTAAAGCAAGAACTATTCGCCCAACCAATAGGTTTCCTTCGAGGGGACACCCAAACACCGCCTGCGTTACAAGGAATTGGATACCCTAAATCAGCTAAAGGCTTTTTTTGTCTTTAGGCGGCCCACATGTGCCCTTTATGAGGACTGACCTCCAGAATGTGTTTTCTCCAAGCTCCACTTGGCCGACCAGGGCTTTCCGAGCGGCGCGGGCCAGAGGCTTCTGAAAACTGGGAGTCGCCTGGGACGGCAAGGGAACTTCTTTCTTGGCAGAGGCTGGCTTTTCAGAATCTAGGTTGGCAAACCTTCCAAAGACCTGCTTAAACTGGTTGTTGATGGAAAACCCAGCTTTACCCCTTGCCGTTTTGTAGGTGGGTGAACTGGGGTCGTGGACTTCCTGGGCAAGTTGCCAAAGGTTGATCCACTGTTCTTTCGACAAATCGGTTGAATTCTCAGTTCTGAAAAACCGCTCTGGGCACCTCCGTGCGAGGCAAGGATCTGGGGTCGAGTCTGGCAAGCGAGGTAGCCAGGCCTAGACAAAGTGAAGAAGTGCCAAACTAAACAAGTGCCCAGTTTCCTTCAAACAGCAAAAGGACCAAACATTTCAATGTTGACACAAGCTTGAAACGCGTAAGCCAATTGCAAGCGTCACAACATTTTTCTTGGTAGTTGAATTTAAAGGGACACCCAGCAAAAAAGAAGAAAAAGGCCACCGAGGCCACTGGAGCACTGGAGGTGGGGTACTTGTTCGGCCCTGGCCAAAAAATCCGGAACTGGGCTCTTAGGGGATGGATGCCCAGCCCCATATTGCAAGAGGGCTCCCTCACTTGCATTTCATCCATTCCCCGAAAAGGGGAACGAGTCTTCACATTGGGCGCTTTGTTGGGCGCTTGATGTTTGTAGGAGATATATATGTGTATACATATATATATATATATATTTGGGTATGAGTTTTAATAAGGGGCCTTTGGTGGACATCATTCAGGTGGGGATTCATGTCCACCAATTAATTTTGAGGTGGTTCCCGATTAAAATTCATGGCCATATATATATATATATATACTCGGTTGCTTTCTGCTCCCCTGCCAAAAGTTTAGCTTTTAGTGGTTTCGTGGAACCCCCAAATTCATTGGCAAAAAGGCAAAAAGTCCTAACGGCCCTTGGCAAAATGCGCCAAAGTATATTTCATGTTCCCCGTTCCCAGGTGCTGTCCTTTCGGCTCCGCTCTTCCATGCGCGCTCCGAGCTCCCGGCGGTTGCTCAGCTCCTTCCTAGAGCTCCCGCGGGTTAGAACGAAATGACCAGGTCGCTTGCTCAAAAGCCGGTACCAAAATGGTCGTAATCCCAGAACCATGTAAGAAATTAAGAAGGCAGCCGCTATTTGGGTGTGGCTCAAAATTAAGCAGGAGGGGTTAAGCAGGTTTTGGCCTTTGTTTCCACTTACCAGAGTTCCATGTTGGTACCGGTTTTTTTGAGCCACAGCCATTGATGGTTGGGATTGTCCCTTACCAACCTTCATCTACCCGGGCTTTGAGTGTGGCTCAAGTGGGCATCCCAAACGGCAAACGAAAGGTGAAACGCGACACACTACACAAACAAAGGTAGGTCAAGCCCAACCAACACAAAAGCAAGAACCAACAGGTTCACCCAAATCAAAACTAAAATCGATTGCAGAAGGAAAATAAACACGCCTGGACCCTCAAGCTAGCCTGAATGGGGTATCTAAAGATAATATTGTGGTATTTCCAGAACATCCCAATCCCCACTAAAATAGACTAAATGGGTGGTGCACCTATCCCAAAATGGTACCATTGGTTTTGAACCCTTGATAAGAAAACAAACAAACTAGATCCCAGCCAATAGCATCGAGGCTATGACCTGAACCTTCGTTACAAGTAGCTTGCATAGAGTCGGTGACCAATGCTTGGTTGCTGCTGATCCCTCTGCGAAAAGTAAACAACTTTTTGTGGGCTTAGTGAAAAACCCAACTTCATTTCCCAAAAAGTTAAAGTCTAAAGATCCAACCCACAAGCAGTCAATAATTTCTTGGTTGACGTTGGAAGGGGAGCAGAAATTTAAATTTTAGCAGTTAAGTGGTTGGATTTCAGCCACATTCAACCACAATAAGCAAAAATACGTGAAACATGTTTCCCAACAACAACCATGATATGAGCAGCTCAAGCATTCATGAGTTGGATATAACATCTAAGCCAGGCACCGGTTCACTTGACAAAATCCTATAGTGTCAAAGACCACCTACCAACAGGTGCAGGATGTTGCCCCAATAGTAGTCAAAATCCCAACAACCACCATGTAAGGACCTGATTTTGAGGAACTCCCAAATCAACTCCGGGGCCTCAGTTGGAAGGCAAGTGCCTGGCAACGGAAAACTTCGGTCCCCGAGCAAATCAACAATTTTGTCCGTTTCCGCTCGCCGCTTCCCCCGAAGCGAGAGCAGGTCCTTGGAGCCTCCCGCTCCATCAGCTCCAGCTCCGTGTCCGTCCGCTCCTGGTCTTCTCTCACCTGGCGGTCAAGAGTCCATGGCCCCAAGTGACAGGTCCAGATTTGAGAGCTTAGAACAAGGGTGCACGATGCTTTTTGGTTTTGTATATTTTAGTGGGGGAACCCTCCCCCCAAAAGAGGGTGAGAAAGGGCGTCACTGTGACATCCACCGCACATTTTGGGCTGTGCCCAGGTCCCTGTGGATGACATGCTCTCCGGAGCTGTCGAACTTCAAACTGGCCGCCCCCCCCCCCCCCGAATTTTGAGGGGTCGACAGGTGCCTTCCGTCGGCGGGGTTTGATCCGCCCGCTCCTGATTTTTTCGCTTGCATTAGATTGCGTTGTTCTTTTGTGCCGGGATTGGTGTGATGTGGTGCGGCGCGGCGGGTTCGTTTTTTGATTTGTTGTTTAAGATGTGGTTCTTTGCTTGCTTGCTCGCTCGCTCGCTTGCTTCTGTTTATCCGTTTGTTTCTTTGCTTTCTGTTTGGCTTCTTGATTGGTTGGTCGGTCGGCCGATCGGCCGGTCGTCGCTCAGTCAGTCGGCTGTTTGAGCTGTGTGTGGTGTGGTGTTGTGGTTTTGCTCGTGAGCGCTTTCTTCTTATAGTGGTTGAAGTGGCTGAACTGTTGGAGGTGGGTGTGGGTCAAAACCCAGATACCTATTTTTAGGTAACTCCCCTTTTGTTTGGTTCATTTTGAAAGGGAATCCCGGGGGTAGGGGGGTACCAGTCTTTTGACCCGCAGCCAGGTGTCGGTGAGGGGTGCTCGGTTGCAATCACAGCGCTGTGGACCTGAAAGGCTTCGTTGAGCCATGCCAATGCACAGTGCAGTGGGCAGTCCTTTTCAGGTGGGCAGTCCGTGTCCAGAGGTTGATTGCCCATTCTCTTCACCTATCGTTCTCTTTGGTTCTGGGGATTGGCCAATTTTGGGAAGGGAAGGACTGAATCACTGGGGAAGGGGGAGAACATGGAATGCAGCCAAGCAGAAAATGGTTCTGAGGTCACGTGGGTTGCCAGTTTACCCGGCCTGGAGAATTTGGACCACTGGGCTCTCTAGTTCTGCTGTATTCTGCTTAAGGCATCATCAAGGACCGAGTGATGTTTGATGCCACAAATAGCGGCAACCTAGGGAACCCCGGACCATTCCCCCACGAACAGGTTTCACATCCGGGCGTTTGACAGAGGAATCCGACCCTCAAGAAGACAAAGGCGTGCTGGTGTTTGTCCTTCGAAAGGGGCTCCTTTCATTTTTTAAGCAGGGGGTCACTTCTCGGTTCGGAGCCCGGGGATCCCAAAACCGGGACATGGCCTGTGTTTGCAGCAGGGATGGTTGAGAAAATGTAACTCTGCCGGGTTTGTGCGTGCCTCAGCCACAGGCTGACTCTTCGGTTTCTTCTTCTTTTTCTTAGGCTTCTTCTTCGTCGAAGCCTGAGCGGTCACATCGAATCGAGGGACCAAACAAAGGGTGTCCTAAACCAAGAGAGCCCAGCAGAACCTTGGACATGCATACGCTTGCCTGTGTATATATATATATATATGTATATTGTACATTATATGCGATATATGGCCATGGGTCAAAAGCCCGTACCCCCAGTGAACATCTCAATCCCCACTAAAATAGACTAAAACGGGTGGTGCACCTACCCCAAAATGGTACTATTGGTTTTGACCCACAGCCATATGTTCCCTTCCAACATTACCCAAAATTACCTTGGGGCACGAAAGGTCGAAAGGTGATGCTTAAAACTGCCAAGCAAATATTTGGAGCCCTGTTGTAGGGTGCCTGCCCTTCTGCAACAAGTCTCCACCATTCTTAGAAGTCTCCACCATCCTCCCCCCCTCCACATGTTTTTCTTGGAATGATCCATTCCCTCCCACCAGCGAGGATACCTAAAAAGAACCATCCGGGATCAGGGTTCCACTTTCTGACTACCCCCGGGTAGACTTAAACCCAGGGATGGTTCACTACCCCCAAAAGGGGAACCCCTGGGTTTAAATCTATCTTGGGGTAGTCGAAAAGTGGAACCCTGTCCGGGATGGATTCATCCGCCCAGAAAAAACTGGGTGGGCAATCTGGCCGCCAGGAGCCCAGAATCAACCGATGTATTCTCACGGTTGCCATGGAAGACCTTGCCCTGGAAACAAAATTCGAAGAAAAACGCCCTGGCCTATGTCCATGATGGGCAAATGTGAAGAAAGCAATTTGTGATTTCGCACCTCCCATACCAAAACTGATTCACTTGCAGCACACCTTCGGAAGCCACTCAACTCGGAGGTGGATACTCTATAGCAAGAGGTTATCATGGAGAAAAACCAGAGTGGCCACTCTGATTTCGGTCCCTCACTAAGAGGACCCTTTCGGTGACCTATCGTCAGGATCAATTGCATTTGAAGAGCCCAGGCTTGGCTTGTAAAGTCGCTGTCTGCCTGATCGCCAGGTCAGGAAAGGAATCGATCTGATCGGCACTTTGGGATTGAAACCAATGTTGGCTCCTACTTGGTCGGCCAAGTTAGTCAGTTGGTAGCCTACAGGTTCTAACCTGCCGAGAAGTCCCCCTTTCAGTGGAGTCAGCCTTGTTACCAGCGAGCTAAAAGTTTAACACCCAGGTGGCTAACTACAATTTTGGCCACGAACCTGCAAGTAGCAATCCAGAACTTTGGTTCCAAAAGGTGATCACCTTCGGGCCATGAGCTGTGCGCTCAACCACTCATCTTTGAACCATTCTTATCACCAAGGTGTGTCGTTTGTTTGTGTGTGTGTGTGTGCGCGTGTTTTTTGGTTCTTTTTTTGTGGTGTGGTGGGGGCACCCTTTTGGGGGGGCTCCAAGTCCTATTTTGGCGGGGGCTCCGAGTCCTATTTTGAGACAAGACTCATATGAAAGCCTTTTATGGGTGGCTTCCGTTTCGTTTTGGCGCCCTGAAGACGGAGATCCGATTTCGCGGGTTTTTCACCTTCCAGACGGAGAAAAACACATAAATCTTTTAAAACAAAGAACTGGAATCGGGAGGGTACTTGCAAGCAACATCTAGTCATGTTTATAGGAGTAAACTATACATATATATATATATATATATGGTGGTTGATCTAAATTCCTTTGTCTCGAAACGGCCATTCTTCGCGAATATAAAAGTTACTTTCGCGAATCTTTCGCGGATTCATCGCCGTGCTCTTTTCATTTCTCGAGTCGGAGAATCGCAGCTTTTAAGTGCCAGCGTTGTAAGCGAAATGACGATTTCCCAACTCCAGCTGTAAAGTCGCAACTTTTTATCACAGGGGTAGTACATGACATGCGCCGGCTGGAAAGTCGCAGCTTTTCGTTCGCCGTGCAGCTCCAGCTTGAAGTCGCAGATTTCCAGTACCAAGCTAGTATACTGACTAGATCGGCGCTCAGACTATACCTCCCCTTGCAATCGAAGCCTGCGCTTTCGCGCGGGCTTTCGCGGATCTTTCGCGGAACTTTCGCGAAAAATCACCCACGTTTCAGAGCGGAAAGCCACCGACTAACACCCACAGACACACATACACAGGCTTGGAGCACTAACCAGCCAAGCAGGGTATCAAACTGTCGCCTCACCAGGCTTAATTTGCGCAACATCAACAAAGTGTTTTAATCAGAATAGAAGGAAGGCTCAGCAGAAAAGATGAACGGTTCCACATATCATTGATTAACCAGATACAGTTACGCAAAACTTTCGCGAGAAAAAAAGTTACTTTCGCAACTCCATCGCGAATCTTTCGCGGAGCTACCTCAACCAACACCGATGGTCACCGAATACTAAACTCCTTACAAGGACCTTTAGAACGACTCCCATATATATATATATATATTATAGTGATTCACAGGGAACCCCTCCTTTTGCCCCTGAACAACTTAGATTTGGTCAGCTCGGATTCTCCATTGCCGGGCGGCTTCCGAATCCGCCACGCTCTCGGACACTGCGTCCTGACTCCGGCTTGGAAGGTCTCTGGGAAAGGGCGACCAACGCCGGGGCCGAAGTGGGCTTCATGCCGCGTTCGGGAAAAGAGGGCGACGTGATGTTGTGGACCTATTTTTTTGGTTGGAAAGTTTGTACCTATCAATAGTACGTTGTTGGTGGCTGTATTAGAAATATGTTTAGGTGTTCAGAAACCTTCTTTTTCTTGGACATGATGTTCAACTGCGCCGTGTTCCTGCTGCAACTGTCGAAGGGCACTGTTGCCTTGCACAGGCAGAACATCCACTAAACATGTTGGGTTCTATATATTGATTTGCTGGGTACGGTTTCCTCGAACATGTTGTCTTGTGTTGGGTTCTATATAGTGGTTAGCTGGGTATGGTTTCCCGATCCCAACCGGGCTGTATAAACTAAACCTAGCTGCGTACAACAACCCCCGTCCATCCCACAGCTCCCCGAGCCCAGCCTACACCCGAACCCCCAACTCCCCAACTCCCCAACTCCCCAAAGCCCCACCAACCCCCCCAACCCCCACCTCCCCATCCCCTTCGCCATCCTTTTGGGTGGCTTCGTCTCATTCCACACTGCCTTCTCAAACCTGGGGTTCTCAAAAAACAACCCCCAACAGGTGGTTTCCCTCAAAAGCAACCCGCTGAAAAGGGGCTTCCCTCCCCCCTGGGGTGCAAACCATTGAAACAAGGGGGCTATTTATAGTATAACTAATGTAATAATCGTGTATCTAAGGAGTCTCATCATCATCGTTGGGACCGTTCTTTTAGTGTATCTAAACTGGGTACTAGCTTCATACCCAGGCTTGGGCTCAACCATTTGATACCTTAGCCTTATAGTGTATCCTAGGTCCTCCAGTAGAGAGGTTAGAATAAGGGTACCCCTGTTTCTGTAGTCCATTTTAGCAGGGGAACCCAAAACCCAAAAAAGGGGAGAGAAGGGCACGTAGCTGGGGGACCTAGTATCATAACGGATTGAACCCCGGGGCACCCATTTGAGTCACAATCAAAACCCGAAACAAACATGGTCTACCCAGAACCATGTAAAGAACAAAGAAGGCGGATGTCCGCAGCTATTTCTGGCTGGGATCGCCCCTTGCTAACCTTCACTTACCCGGGTTTAGCTTCTGGGTCATTCGTCTTCACCAAACGACTCCTCCAGAGCTTCCATGCCCTCCACGCTGCCCACCGAGGGTGCCAGAGAGTCCTGGCGAGGCGGAGTTTCTACTCCAAACACCCGCTTTGTTTGGGCGATGTGTCTGACAACCCGGGGTTTTCGGGTTGACATCATACACTATTATACCCGGAAAAAGGCGGGTATTGGGAGTAGGGGGAAGTTGTAGGATGCATTATTTGAGATTCTGGATAATTCGATAAAACAAACAGACACCTTGTCAAGTTCTCTTAGTAAGTTGTTTGATCAGCTAAGTTCAAGTTATCTTATTCAATGTGATAAGACAAGTCGAACACCGGGCCGCTGATGAATGTCCGAACCACGATCTGTGAAAAGAGCCGTGAGAAAGGACTCCAGTAGTTGAACCAGTAGATTAAATCTCCGCAATCGGTCGGCTCTTCCCAAGGAATCTATGACTCGGAACAAAAATTCTGACAAAGCAGGAAACCACCCAAGCATCCTGCAACTTGTGTCTGTTGTTTTCAAGTCGGTACCCGTAGGCTGCTTTAACAGTCAAGCAAACATAGAAAACGCCTTGCTCCCAAACAACCTCAGGGGAAAATGGGTCATTCATCGGGCGGGTGAACCCTCCAAATCCAATCGGGCTAGTTGGATCCCAGTGCTCCCTGGTTCTTGGAGTCTAGTGAGTTCCCCCATGTCCCTAATGAATGGACTGAACATTTGACTGAGCCTCACGAGAGTGTAGTCAAGTCAAAAACTTTTAAAAGCATGTTCATGGTTTGCTTACGAGGGGTCCATGACCATGGCAGCAGGGACAGGTAGGGTCTTTCTACCAGACACACATCACTCGGACACCTATGGGCTCGGAAAGCTGGCTCAACAAAACACAACCTGGTTGGATGTAAGGCACCCCTTTCTGTGGGGGGTCGCCTGATTCGGAGATTATCTTCAAACTGGGAAGCAGAACCCCAATATATGTATGTGGCCACAGGGATGCCTCTATCCTTTTCGAGAAACATAGGGGCTTGATCCCCGTTGTTCTGGTAGCTCCAACACGACCCCCAGCTCCACTGACGGTTGATTCGACCAAAACAGTCGATTTAGGTCTAGGCCCTTAGCCTCTATCCAGCGGGGTAGCAGAAGCCAGGTTGGAGGTTTCTCTTAAATGGCGTGCGTTGATTCTTTTTTTGGCGCACTCCGGAAGGGTGAAAGCGATTGCCGGGGCTGTTTAGAATGGAGTGTTGGAATTCCAATCCCGATCCACCTATTGGAAAACCGCCGCCTTTGCTTCCCCTCACGCAAGGATTGAGGATTGCAACTTTGAACAGCGGATTGGAGTCTTGCTTTGCTCCCGCTCCATGCCGAGGTCGCGCCTGAGACAGCGTTGTACTTTGACAATCCCAGATGGACTCGCGCACCTTCTCGCCTGCCATGCGCGCAAATGGGGTGATCCGTCGCACGGGTTCTCACCAACGAGTTTCTTTCGGATGCTACACGCATGATATTCCTTTGGTGAAAGCTGGAACCCTGTTGTTGCAAACTGTTAAGGGCATTTCTGAGCAAAGGACCCGTCTTTCCGACATTAAAGGCCCACGGCCACTTCTATGATTACATTAAAAAGGACAACAACATCCACATGTTCCTGGGCTCAAGGGAGGCGGCACAACCAGTTTTGTGATGAAAACCGAAACCAAAACTGCCAGGGTGTGGGGAAACAATGGGAAATTCAGACAGTCCATTGCATTCGGAGATCCCTGCTCCTCAATTGTGGACTCTTGGAGATACCAACACCACACCAAACCTATGAGGGCAACCAGGAATCCCAAGCCGGCGCCTGGTTGCATGTTGCTAGGTTTTTGCGTTGGTTAGGGTTCAACCCGTATTCAAAGAATGGCTGCCCCAATTTGGATGATGACAATGCAAACAATGGTGGTTCTATGAACCGGACCCCAGTGCTTTAAGGGCGGCTTGAACTCCAGGGGTTTGCGTGTGTGGTGTGTGTGTGTGAGGAACACAGATCTGCAGGTCAACTAAGTCTCTCACAAAACCCCCCGGCCTCAGACTCTCTCAGACCTGCCTGTGCTGCCTGCCAAATGGTTCTGAGAGGGTCACGAGGTTCACTGTAGGATTGCATATCAAGGGTTTTGTCAAATTACGGGGCCAATAGTTGTGTGTCCTCAAAAAACGACACGCCCACATGCTTTCAACACCACACGCATATCTAATATTCACCAAATGGCGATACTGAATCCCCCTCCCCATTCAATCGCTAAGCTCTTTCTCGTCTGCGCAAACATATAAATCCTTGGTATGAACCCCTGGCTTACGGGTTGATTAACAACGAATCGTTCTGCGTCAGGGGAAGAGAAGCTGAACCCCCGTAACACAACACCAGGATCTAGGACATTGAACACGCACACACACACACACACAAACAAACAAACAAATAAGCAAGCAAGCAAGCAAGCAAGCAAACAAACCAACAAATAAGCAAACAAACTGTTCTGGCTTCACACAACGCCACGCAGAGATTGCAAACATGTGCCAGGGTTCCTTACCCAGGGTTCCTTAGCTTCCCAAATCTTGGCGGGGCATCGCATCTTGTTGTCTTCAACCATGAGCACCCTGCTGACCCTCCAGCCTCCCAGGCTCTCTAGCTGCTCCTCCTGTGAGGGGCCTGGACATCAAGACGAGAATGCAGCAGACTCTGACCAGACTCCTTCAACCCGTGGCTTCCAGGTTTAAGGCACTCAGGTGCACGGGTTCAAGACTCCTTGGACGAATTAAATGACCTTCACCAAGCTGCGGCCGAATTGTTTGCTTTGCGGATTGGACTGTCCTCAAAAAAAACGGGGGTTGAACCCTGACTAGTCAAAGGCAACCTCACCATTTCAGGTACAGGGCTGCAGCAAATCTTCAGGCTTCCGTAGAGCCATCCACGGGGGATTGGAATCTTGCAAGCCAGTCACTGGAATTTTCAAATCAAAAGCTGCAATTTACTGGTGGGTTCCATCGAAACGATCGCCATTTTGGAGGTTCCAAAACGGGAAATTGGAGGGAAGCCCGGCATGAGGCCTTCTTTTGCGGGCTCATTCTCAAGACATGGGGTTTGTCTCAGGGTAGCGGAACCTCAAAATGTCAATTGTCCTTCTAGCGAACCCTGAAACGGGTGCCCTCAATTTCAATCGTCCTTTTCGCGAAGCCAAGGGGGAAACGACGCATGGAGCTGGCAGTGAACTTCCGTTCGCGTTTCTGCTTCGCCAGGGCCGAGGACTGCAAAGTCCACTTTTCTCCAAAAGAAGTGCACGAGTCATAATAAAAACCCGGTATGAAAATGGTCGTAATCCCAGAACCATGTAAAAAATTAAGAAGGCGGATGTCCGCATGTGTTTATGGCTGGGAGCATCCCTTATGATCTACCCAGGCTTTGATTGTGGCTCAAGTCGCAGCAAGCCACTTCAGCAACCAATCAACCTGCACACATCAAGCAGTAATGGGCTGGCAAACAAACAAGGCCAAACAGGAATTCAAAGGCTGAATGTACGAATCAAAGTGAACTGAGCCTGTGTCCCTTTGTTTTGGATGCACCCCCTTATTAACAAAAACAACTAAGAAAAACAAGTCAATTCGGGGGTAGGTTGATGTGAAGTCCTGATATGAACCCAACGGGTTCATCAAACAGCTCACTGCGCTCCCCTCGGCGCACATACCGATCCGGTAGCGACATCTTGACGTACCCTCTTCCATTGAAAGAACAAAGGGGTTAACTTCAATGACCCTGACAAACAAACACGTGACTGGTGCAAGCACCGCGCTTTTCGTCTTGGGGCAGCATCCCCGCCGGCCTCCCAGGCTCTCTATCTTCTCCTCCTGTGGGCCTGCGCGTTTGGCAACGAGAGCTTCGTGAGTCCCAATGCTTCATACCAAAGTAGGCAATCCCCACGACTGCTTTATCACTTTAAGGACTTTTCCCTCACATGAAGGCGCCAAAACCAATTCCCCGCCATCCTGCTCAGGGATGATCAACTCTGAGATTCCAGTACCATTCGAATAACGCTAGGAGGCTTCTTCTTATAAAACCATAGAGTACTAAGGTACAATAGGCCTGCCAGTGCGTACTAAGGTTTCCTTGCCAGAAACATGACCCTAGAAGTGGCCGTATGGGTCTCAAACAAGGAACCACAAAGCCAATCTGGGTTAGGGGGCGCAAAAACAGGAAGCATGCTTTTGTTGTGGTTTCCTGGGGACTGATGCTTTGTTTGCACCCACTGGATATTGAAGCGTTCAAGGGAGGAGGAATAGAAACCTTCAACAGGATCTGCCTGGCCATTCGAAACAAAACAAAATAACACATGCACACACACACACACAAGCTCAAAACCTCAAAGGCTGAATGCATGAAGCAATGTGTCAACACTTTGTTCCTTTTTTTTAAAGGGGTTCCCCTTGAACACCAGTCAACATCCAAGGGTAAGCCTTGATTTCCCTCATGGACACCGGGCAGGGCTGATTACATGTACACTATGAAGCCCTGGCCTACGGGCGACCTATGTGAGACTTTCATAGCGCTGGCGCCGCCTCTTTTGGTGCAAACATACGGTCAGACCTCTATGGCCTACGGAGAGCCATACTTACAGTGGCGACCAGGTATTCAGAAAGTGGGTAATAACCAGGCTTGTTACCCACTTGCCATGGTTATAAGCCTCCGTTCAGTGGGTTCTAACCAGGCTTGCTAACCACTTGCCTCACGTACCGAATCGATCGCCGCTTTCCGTGCAACTGGTGGCGCCAAAGCTTCCGTTCGATTCGCCGATCGCCCGCTTCGCCTTCCAGGCTCTCGATTCGCTGCTGCGGGCCTGGATCGAGAAGCAAAAAAAAGAGAAGCGACTGGGCAGCCCAACATGAAAAAAAGGGATCCGGATGCATAAACACCTGAACATTGCGTTGTACATGGTGGTGTCCCTGTATTTTGCAGGAAAAAGCAACATGTTTCAAATGGGCAAAATGTATCTGTTAAGGAGCCCTGGTAAATGGTTGCCCTTTAAGGTGATCAAGTAGCCATGGGGGTGGCCTACGTTGGTATCACAGAAGGGTGACGTGCCATAAGCATCGCACAGGCAGACGCCAATCTGGGCAATGGGTGCCACAGAAACAAACAAAAAGAAGATGAGCCATCTCTGGGTGGTTTTCTGGGGAAGTAACTGCTGATGCTTCGTTTGCATCCACCCAAGGTGGAATAATCCACAAGAGGCCGCGAGGATGCCTCGGGCAACATCAGGATGCCTCGGACTATTGAATGACGCAGGTGCTCCAGGTTCGAGAGGGTAGAATAAGGGTACCCAATATTTTCTCTGTAGTTTATTTTAGTAAAAGAACTCAAAACCACCAAAAGTTGGTAAAGGGGCACTGGGGGAGTAAGAAAAACTCAACCGCGTGTATAAACCCATAGTGTGAACCATCTGCCCCTTGGAATTAGCCTCCCCTTCAAAGCCCAACAATGGGCAAGTCTCATGCTCGCCTTGGCCACCGGGCAAGAGCATAGCTTTGCCGGCCAACGGAGACATGGGTCAGGCTGAAACCTTCGGATCCCCATGTTGATTGCCCGGAAATTTTCTGGGTACCACCAATTACTTTTGACACCTTCCCATTCAAAGTGAACAGAAACAGGGGTTGTCAAATGATGCAGCGCCATCTCGGCGGACGACCTTACCTTGCGAGAAAGCCGGAACGAACTGACAATCAATCGTTCACACACATCCAATGTGAAGAGAAGCTTTCATATAAGCAGCATGGTCTTCCAATTGTGGAACAATTGCAGGAGGGCTAAAAACGTGACTTGGGGATAAATCTGCACTCCCTAAATTGGGAACATCCTCACAGGAATTCGGCCAGTTTCCTCCCAAGGTTTACGTATAAAGTCTTGCGAAGTATCCCCCTTGTCCTCAAGCATGACCACCACCTTATTAGCCCATTCCGCCTCCCAGGCTCTCTGGCTGCTCCTCTTGTGGGCCTGGACACGAAACCGCCAAGAGAATGCAAGACATCCAATCTGGATGAGGCCGAAATGGACCAGCACACCATCCGTCCTTTTGTCGCCTCCTTTTCGGGAAAGTAGTAAACGTGTTTGTTGCATCCACTATTGCCGTTTGAAAAGTTCAACAAAGGCAGCGGCCAAACCCCGCAAATACTTCGGCAACCAGCACACATCAAGAAGCGGTGGGCGATGAAACGCACAGCAAACCTACAAACACACACCCACACACAAACTCGAAGGCCGTAAACCCATTTTAACCCTTTGCTTCTCAAATAATGCCTCTTAAAAACCAGCCCAACCCCCAAACATGTGTTTCCCTCATGGCCACAGGGCAAAGCTGATAAGGACCCCAGTGCTAACCACTAGTTCCAGCTCAATGATGATGTATGGTTCATTGCAATTACACACACAGAACACAACACCTGTCAAAGAACAATTCCAGCAGCCCGGTCAGACCTTCAAGCACACACACACACACACAAACACACACGCACACACAAACACACGCAAACACACGCACACACAAGCACACACGCACACACAAGCACACACGCGCACACGCACACACAAACACACAAACACACAAGCACACACAAGCACACACAAACACACAAACACACAAACAAACACACACACACAAACACAAACACAAACACAAAAACACACAAACACAGAAACAGACAAACAAACACACACACAAACACAAACAGTGTCACAAACACACACACACACACAGAAACACAAACACAAACACAAACACAAACAACAACACGAACACGAACACGAACACAAACACAAATACAAACACACACACAAACACAAACACAAACACAAACACAAATACAAGCACACACAAACACACAAACACAAACACAAACACACACACACACAAACAAACAAACAAACAAACAAACAAACAAACACACACACACACACACACGCAAACAAACACCAACAAAAACACACACACACACACACAAACACACAAACACACACACACACACACAAGCACACGCACACGCACACGCACACACACACGCACAGGCACACACACAAACACACACACACACACACACACACAGACACACACACACACACACCACACACACACACAAACACACGCACAAACACACACACACACAAACACACACACACACACAAACACACACACACAAACACACACACACACACACAAACACACACACACAGACACACAGACACACAGACACACACACACACAAACACACACACACACACACACACAAACACACACACAAACACACACACACACACAGAGACACACACACACACAAACACACACAAACGCACACACACACACACACACACAAACACAAGCACACAAACACAAACACACAAACACAAACACACAAACACAAACACACAAACACAAACACAAAGACACAAACACGCACACACACACACACACAGTATTCAGCGGCCTCCATGTGGGAAAAAGGAAAGCCACATATACAACATGTGACAAAAGTCTACCTCTCGACCCAGCCTCCCAGGCTCTCTAGCTTCTCGTCGTTTGAGGGGCCTGGACACCAAAGACCCCGGCCGCGGCGACGTCAGACTGAGCATCCAATGAAGAGGTTTAAGACTCCTTCGATGTTGGGCTCCCTAAAAGGTTAGAAGCGTTTAGGTTTTTCGGTAATCTCCACAAAACGAGGGAGCACCCTCCCACCAACTCACATGGAAGTGTACAAAGCCTTTCCAAGAGGAAAGTTGTCTTTCTATAGAGGTCTTTGCACTTCCAGGTTAGTCGGTGGCAGAGTATGTTCTTCCGCTTCTATCAAAATTCTCAATGATCGAAGATTGGTTTGGGTGCTCAAATGGAATGGCTCAACATTCAATGGGAAAATTGACCTCATCCCAAGCGTAGGTGACCTTTTGGAAAAATAGATGGGCCTGGTAAATGGAATGAAACCAATCTAAACCAGTGGCACCCATCCATTCCTCACCAAATTAACCTAAACAGGACGCCTATGACCCCAACTCCACGCAGGATGTTTACTTTTTGACACCTAGTGCCACCCCAATGGTTTTCTGAAGAGTCCAAAGCCCTCTGACTGGCCCACAAAGGGATACACAGCGAATATGCCTCGTTTTTGCGGATTTTTCTCGAGCGTACCTGTTTTTGGATTGTTTCTTAGTGGGAACCAAAAGGAAATTCAAAATCCGTATTGGGTGCCACCCTTTGACAAATGCTGTTGAGTTTCTGGCGCTGCGCCATAGTTTATCAAGTTTCGTCCTTTGGAGGCAACCGAAGCGCATGTGGGTGGCCGGTCTTCTTTTAGGTTGGACCCCCAAATGCCTTCAGGTTTCCTCTTGGTTCGCCTTTAGAACCACCAAGCACACAAATACAAAGACCCACACGCGCACAAACGCAAAGCACGCAAGCACGCACGCACGCACAAACGCACAAATACAATCGACAAAAAAAAAAAAAAAAAAAAAAAAAAACCAAAAAAAAAAAAAACGACGCACACACGCACGCGTGCACGCACAATCACAACGGCACACAACCAACAAAACAAGCAAGCAAGCAAGCAAGCAAGCAAGCAAGCAAGCAAGCAAGCAAGCCAGCCAGCCAGCCAGCCAGCAAGCCAGCCAGCCAGCCAGCCAGCAAGCAAGCAAGCAAGCAAGCAAGCAAGCAAGCAAGCAAGCAAGCAAGCAAGCAAGCAAGCACACAAGAAAGCAAGCAAGCAAGCAAGCAAGCAAGGAAGCAAGCAAGCACTCAAGAAAGGAATCAAGCCTCAAAGCCAGCACGCAAGCAAGAAAGCCAGCAAGCAAGGAAGCAAGCAAGGAAGCGAGCGAAGCAAGCAAGCAAGCAAAAACGCACGCACGCACGCAAAAAAGCCAGCAAGCAAGGAAGCAAGCAAGGAAGCAAGGAAGCAAGGAAGCAAACAAGCACGGGCACGCACGCCAGAAAGCCAGCAAGCAAGGAAGCAAGCAAGGAAGGAAGCAAGCAAGGAAGCAAGGAAGCAAGCAAGCACACGCGCAAGCAAGCAAGCATGCACGCACTCAAGAAAGCAAGGAGGCAAGGAAGCAAGCAAGTGTTTCACGCAAGAAAGCCAGTAAGCAAGCAAGCACGCACGAGCAAGAAAGCCAGCAAGCAAGGAAGCAAGCAAGGAAGCAAGGAAGCAAGCAAGCACACGCGCAAGCAAGCAAGCATGCACGCACTCAGGAAAGCAAGGAGGCAAGGAAGCAAGCAAGTGTTTCACGCAATACAGCCAGCAAGCAAGCAAGCATGCACGAGCAAGAAAGCCAGCAAGCAAGGAAGCAAGCAAGGAAGCAAGGAAGCAAGCAAGCACACGCGCAAGCAAGCAAGCATCCACGCACTCAAGAAAGCAAGGAGGCAAGGAAGCAAGCAAGTGTTTCACGCAACAAAGCCAGCAAGCAAGCAAGCACACACGAGCAAGAAAGCCAGCAAGCAAGAAAGCCAGCAAGCAAGGAAGCAAGCAAGCAAGGAAGCAAGCAAGCATGCAAGCAAGAACGCCAGCAAGCGAGCAAGCAAGCAAGCACGCAAGCAAGCCAGCACTCAAGAAAGCAAGCAAGGAGGCAAGCAAGCAAGGAAGCAAGCAAGGAAGCAAGCAAGCAAGCAAGCATGCACGCAAGAAAGCCAGCAAGCAAGGAAGCAAGGAAGCAAGGAAGCAAACAAGCACGCAAGCAAGCAAGCCAGCAAGCAAGGAAGCAAGCAAGCAAGGAAGCAAGCAAGCAACAAGAAAGAAAGCCAGCAAGCAAGGAAGCAAGCAAGCAAGCACGCAAGAAAGCTACCAAGAAAGGAAGCAAGCAAGCGAGCAAGCATTTTTTCATGGCCACATAACCCAAATGAGAGTTCCCCGTGCCCCAAAAGGCGTCAGACCTCAAATGAATTACAAGGAAGGACCAAGCGGGTCTCTCAGGCTCGCGGAATCTATGCAACCCAACTCATACCCCAATCAAGCCTTACCCCTTAAAACTCCAAGCCCTGGGGAAGTTAATCTTTTACAGACATATAGCCCATGTTATCCCCAAACAGTTGCAAAGTTGTGTTTTTAAGAGGTAAGAAGCTGATTCAGTGCAACCCAGAAGCTGGGAGTTCTATGCCTAATGCATTGGTGGCCCATCAATGGGGCATCCATAAACGGGTTTCACCTTTGGGCTGTTTTGGGCCCATGGTAGGTAACGTGTTTGGGGGAACCCCGCTAATGAATCCCCCGTTTAGGGACCTCTAAAATGCAACAAAGCTGTACAAGCATCGATGCCTGCGCAACACACTCAACGCACGGCCTCGCGCCCGCCAGCCGAAACGATTGCGTGGCCTCCCGCGCTCTCTAGCCGCTCCTCTTGTGAGGGGCCTGCACACACAAAACTCGAAAACTCCAGCAAGCTTAGCTTACTTGCCCAAAGGGCCTGGAAACCAAACGTTAAACTTCTGGGGCCATGACCAAAAACGAACCAGTTCAGGGAAACGAAAAGGTCAAAGATAGCCTTGAAAAAACGGCCACTTTTCTAGGTTGCTCTCCCCTCGAGCAAAAGGTGCAACATTTTGCATATGGGAAAGTGTCCAGAAGGTCCAATGGCGATTCGATCACCAAAGCCTAGCTATGTCAAGAAGTTTGTCTTTAAAGGGCAAGCCCCACAGCAAGCGTTTGCGCATCCCCTTGTCTCTACTTGTTGCCACTGAGTGGTGTCCTCTACTTGTCAACGATGCAAAGTGGCAAGCGCAAAGCTACATATTTTACAGAATCAAATCAAACCAGGCATCCAAGAAGTCAACCCCAAACCATGCAAATAATCGGCAGGGCGGCCGTCCTTCTCTATAGTCGGAACTGTCCCCGATGAACCTTCAAGTAATGTTAACCCCGGATTAATAAACCCCTGGTTGATTAATAGGGGGTGTCCCCTTTTGGTGGGGATTCATCACTTTTGGGGGGAACACCCCCCTAATCCTGGGTCAACATTATAGCGAACCAGGTTCATGAATCTGCACAAAATCACCACATGTCTCGCCAACATGATCGCTCGTTTGCCAATTCCATTTGCCCCGATCAATCAGACGTCTGTATACAAAGAACTCCAAACGGGTTGACGAGATCCGCTTCCTCCGAGCCAAGGATCGAACCGAGGATCAACAGGCAGAGCTCCTTCCTTTGATTCATCGTTGGCAACACGAGTTCCCTGGGTAGTTGGTACGTGGAGTCTCCATGGAGGGTCTTGAAGGCTACATGCTTATGATGATGAATTAGCAATACCCTCCCAAATGGTTGGTGGACATGAATCACCCTAAATCGATGCCCACCCAAAAAATCCCAACAAATACCCCCCCTCAAAAACAATGAAAGGAACAAAAAGGCCCACAACGTCCCACTCCCGTGTCACTTTTCGGCGCGTCAGGTTGCCCCCCCCCCCCACAGCCCCCAAGCGCTTGCTTCGCTTCGCCGAGCGGCTCAAGGTCCGGGGGCTCAGCGTCTCTCGTGGCAAAGGCCTCACAGGATGTCTTCCTGGATCCCTCTGACCCTCTAAAAATGGGTCAATGACCAACCATTACTTTGGGGAAATGACCACATTTGTTGCGGGTCATGGAGACTCCAGGTTGAATGGCCGTCATGGCCCGGCTTCGGCTTTCCCCAGCAACTCTTGAAGGCCTTCCGCATATTGCTTGTTTGGGTAGCAAGCGGTCTTGTGTGAGTGGCTACGAGTCTGGAATTCTAGTCCAGCCACGTCTGCAAAAAAAAGGGGGACACTGAACACTGAAAAATGGATATGTGCTGCTGTTCCACACTTCGTCTGACGAAGTCCTGACTCTGTTCCGGCGCTGTTCTGACTTTGCACATGCATTACGAGGCTCTTGCATGGCTCTCCCCTGACTCCAGAACTGCCAGCCGTCCAATTGAAATGGCTGGCATGGGAAACAGTCCCTATACCTACCTGAAAGCTGAGAGGTTGGCAGCAAAAGGTCAAGAGGTCGATTCGCTTTGTACCAGTGAGAACAACACCAATCCAATATATGGTATACGACACACACACACACAACACACTCTATTGCCGACTCCCGCTAATTATGACTAATCAACCTGGATTGCTACGGGTGTTTCCCAAAAAAGTAGTGAACGCCCTCTTAAATGGACACCCTCCCGCTCAAAGCCAAAAAGGGTTTATATGATCAGCTGGGTTCTCATTTGGGTGACCCCAAATGGTTTTCAACAATGTGTTCCTTTCGCATGCTACACACATGGGTTTGCTTTGGTGCAAGCCATCAGAACTTGCTTGCTGGGACCTGTTTGGGTTTGTCAGGTTTGTCTCAAGATAGGGGACCCCCACAAGTTGGCTGTCTGGTTTTCCTTTAAATGGGTGTGTCTTCTTTTGAGGGGACGTTTGGTTTCCTTGTGCTTGTTAATTTGAAACCAGCCAAAAAGGGGGTGCTTCAATAAAAGGACCGTCCCGCATGAACAAAAAAACGGGGGGTCCCTGGACGCACCAACGTTGAACGGGTCCCCGCAAGACCCAGCGCCGGACAAACCGAAAGCGGCGCATCTCTTGGCCGCCCAACTCAGGCGCACTCGAAAAGGTGCCCCTGGGGTCAAAGGACGAGCGCCAAAAGCCAAAGTACGAGCAACCCTTAGTTGGCAAAAACCAAAGTACGGAGCATTGGTGGTTTGGATTGGTGCTGAAACTTGAACCCCACGTTCTTGCTTTAGGGCAAATACACTCAAACCACCCCAAAATAATGCCAAAAACAACAATCCAACTGGAGGGAAGCGTAAATTCACGCAACCCTAAAACCGCACCTGACACAGCTCCAAGCCCTGAACCCGAGCAACTCACTGCCACATCCGATCCCAAGGTTGCCAGATCCCCAACACTACGCCCAGCCTTGCCAACAAGGCCCCGCAGAGAATACCGTAATACCCAGCCCCGTTTCGTGGACTCGGTAAGAAAAACCAGCGCTCGTTTAAACAAAACAAGACAATGCAAACCAAACAAATAGCCCTACTGGGATGTTTGGCCAGGATAGTAAGTTGTTAGTAGCCTAAGCCATAACCTGCTTACAAGTCCCTCTGAGCAGAGTTAAGCTTGTTAAATACCAGGAAAAACATAGGGTTCATACTCCTGGTTTGGTTAATCTGTGGATGTCTCCGAATCGGCAGCTGGCAGCCGCAGATGTGATCTTGAGCCACTCTCATTGATTCAGAAGCCCAGTTGCCCAGTGACTCCGGTGGAAAGAGAATCAGACCCCTTTTTGGGGTTGACCACCACTTTGTTAAGGAACCCATCAAACAAAAAAGAGGATCATGTCCCCCCGAATTACAATGGGAAAACCTGGCTTTCCAAACGCACATAGCGTAGACAATGAGTGTCAAGGTGATCAATCCTTGCAGCAGGGCGGCTTGCCGCGGCTCATATTCCACAAGTCGTCCTCGCCAGATGAGAAAGACATCCAAATTGGGGGGCTTAGTACCCAAGGGGTGAGGGTTAGCTACTTGAAGGGGCAGCGCACTTACTAGGTGGTTACTAAGCCTGGTCATATGTCACTTAGGACACTAACCATGGTAAGTTGGCTGTAATTAGGCTGACTAACAGTAAGTACCCTGCCCCTTCACGTACTTCGTCAGCCCCAGTTAGGGTTTGAGGGGCTGTTTGGCCTGCGGCCATTGGCCGTGCCTTCTGCGAGGCGATTCCCGGGCGATTCCCATAGGGCACTCCAAGTCCGCACAAGGCGCAGTGCTCACAGTCCAATCCACCTGACTTCCCCCTTCACATCACCCCACCAAAGGGAAACTCACTCTAAATCGACTCAAAAAAGGACCTAGTTATCCTTCACAAGTTTTGACCGTGCACACCTCACCGTGAGTCCTCGGTGTCCGAGTCGTTCAAAAGGTCTGCCCATCTTGGACGCGAGCTCACCGAGGCCTTCGAGTCGTTACGAATCACCTCAGGTCTGTACCCCTCCCCGAGGATCGCGGGGCGGGGTTCCTTGAAAATTGTCGCACCCCGAGCCTTACGCCTTTTTATCGCCAGCTTTCCCCATCCGCTGCTTTGTTGTATCCATGATCTCGCTTTCCTAAGGCCCTCCAAAGGCAGGGCCACACCATGGACCTTCACCAGTGAAGCTCCAAATGTAAGGGACTAAACTCATGGACATGAGCCACAGGCAAATCTGGGTCCTCATGTTCGAATCGGTGAACACCTTTGCATTTGTCTGAAAGAGGTTGATGAGCAATACCAACATGTGAAGGAATTTGGGCTTTGGCCAAGGCATGCTGACCGAACCACATATCAAATAAATCAATTCACCTGGTATGCCCCCCCCCATTCTTCCTCGGGAATACCTATTTGGGGTGGGGGTACTTGGGTGAGTGGAAGCCAACTTGTAAGGAATCCTCAACAGTGCCCATTGTCCAGTGTCGGTTGCTTCTGCCAAGATGGTTGCTTCTACAAATTAGACAGGTCTCACTCTTAAACCAAGTAGGAATCAACCCGAATCATCGCCCTTTTGGGAATCGGCTTAGGACCCCTGTTCGCAAACCCCTAGGGCCCTAGGGTGACCCAACAAAACGGAACACCGAAAACGCTACCTGGAGTCACCTTCAAACATGGGGTGTACCCAAAATGAAGAGTCCAGTTGTTTAAGCGTCATGGAGAGGCCTTGGTAGCTGATATTAGCCCCAATTGGGGTGGACCCTTGACAATAGGAATCGTGCGAGGAAACCGCGCCCTAAACATATCGGAGAAGAATAGTTACTCCAAGGTGAAATCAAATGGTGCAATTTGTGTGGTAAGTAAGGAAGGCGACTAAACCCTCATGATGGAATTGACTTCGCCATCTACTTTCACTCAACTGAGATCCTATTCTAAATTCAGGTTGTGGATAGGCGGCACTCCCAAAAAGGTTGTGATTCACCAACCGAAAACGAGAAAACACTCGGGCGCTTCGCACTTAAGTGCTCGCCCAAGTTAGTAGGTTGTTGGTAACCCGCTTCTAAGTCCCCGGTTCATTTGGCCTTGTCATTGGTGGGTTATCCCCAGGCATTTTCCACGAACTTGGCGAATCGAACATCCAAGTAACCACAACACTGGGATGTCAAAACCACCGAACAAGGGACTAGCGAAGCCTGAGCGATTCCTTGCAAACACCAAACAACGCAAATCAATTCATAAGGGGTCGGGGCATAGGTGTCCTTTTGGGAGCAATAGATGGCTCTGGTAGATGATTAAACCACCAGGTAAACCAGGGCCATCTATTGTTCTAGCAAAACAACCAAAAAGGACACCTATGGGCCAGGGCTTACCATTGCTCAAAAGAATCCTGGGCTGTCCTCAGATGCCCTGCCAAAAGTTCAACCCACATACTGTCCATGGACGAACTCCTGCACCACCTAAGAGACATTGGAATGATGATTCCCCTGCAAATACCGACCTATAATTAATGGTTTCCCTTGGTTTTAAAGGGGTGCGATTTTTGGATTTCGCAACCATCCGCAGGGTAAAAGCCAAAGCGCTTCAAACGAGTCCGCCGATCTCAGCGCGGGTGACTCTGCCGGGTTCGCCGCCTCAGCTGATTGGGTATCCCGAGACTGTCAAGGCATCCTGGACGCCCCCCCAAAACAAAGACTTGGCCCTGGTGTGTGTGTGTGTGTGTGAAAGTGTGTGTGTGTGTGCGCGCGTGTGCGTGTGTGCGCGTGTGCGTGTGCATGTGCGCGTGGGCGTGTGTGCGTGCGCGTGCGCGTGCGCGCGTGCGCGCGTGCGCGCGTGCGGGTGTGCGGGCGGGCGTGCGGGCGGGCGTGCGCGCGTGGGGGCGTGTGGGCGTGTGGGCGTCTGGGCGTGTGGGCGTGTGCGCCTGTGGGTGTGTGGGTGTGTGGGTGTGTGGGTGTGTGGGTGTGTGTGTGTGTGTGTGTTTAACGGGAAAAGCACGCCATGTTCGTTCTGGACCCTCATACCGAATTCAGCCCATGGTGGGTTTCCCATTTTGATACACACCCATGTCAAAACACCGTACAAGTACCCCCAGTGAACATCCCAATCCCCACTAAGATAGACTAACATGGGTGGTGCACCTACCCAAAAATGGGATCCCATTGGTTTTCACCCACAGCCACTGCTTTATGCGTCTGTGGCTCAACAAAATGGAACCCGAAATGGCACCAAAAGGCAAATGGAACCAAAAGACTAACACCTGCGGCTTGCCCTAGAGCCACATCCATGCCTTTCTTCTACGTTTTACGGGTCACACTTTCAGAACCAAGGGTCTGAATTGAATTCATGGTGCAGTGCATGCTGGTTGCGGGAAGTAACCCCTGGTCTGGAAACAGCCAATTGCCTGTGCTTTCTTGGCTTCATTCTGAAGTTGACAATTATGGTTGCCATTTGGCACCACAATCCCAAGTCGAGAAGGGAACACCTTGAAGATCTAAATTTGAGAGATTCAGGCTGAGACACCCAAACTTGTGGCTGAAACTAACAAAAGTGGTTGATTCCCATCCCTGCTACGACTTTGTCATGAAAAAGGTTTTCCACAATACGGTGAACTTGAGGGGTCCAACATGATGGGCACCCTCTCTCCCTCCGTCTCTCCGTCTCTCCCTCCCTCCCTCCCTCCCTCCCTCCCTCCCTCCCTCCCTCCCTCCCTCCCTCCCTCCCATTCCATCCTGGATAGGGTATACACTACAAGGGGTCGAGCCATTCGGGCAGCTTTGGTTTCAACATCATTTGCGCATGTCCTCTTCTACACTATCAAAACAAGACCCCAGCTGTTGGCGCAAAGGAGACGCCAGGTACTTCCGACTGACAACTCCTTGAAAGGAAGCACAGCTTGCCCTTTGCTCCACACTCTCCTCAACCGGGAGAAGGGCCGACACTGTCAGCCAATATGTTCGTTACCACCAAAAGACGATAGGAAACTACCCAAAACCGAGACCCATCAACCTGCGCCATGAATCCGGGACCCCAAACCGATTCTCTTGGAATGTTGGTTCCTCGAACGGGGTTTTCAAACAACCCCCAAGGAGCTCAAGGTCCGGGAACTCAGCAAGTGAGCAAACCTCCATTCAAGAAACTCATGTTTTGAGTGGAGTGGCCGAAAAAAATCCCAAAACATGTGGGTTACCACCAAAATTGTCCAACCCCAAAAAGGATGTAGTCCAGCAACTGCAGGAAGTGAGAGAAAAAGGAAAAAGGCGGATGAGTTCCACCCCCCAAAAACAGGCGGCCTCAGGCTCGCCCGTCCGTTTCCGGTCGGTCGTGTCCTCTGAGTCGGTCGTGTCCGGCGGAAGCGCGCCGTGCTGTAAAGCGTCCTGGTCACACGCCTCCCTTACTTCCTGAGTTGATGGGCCAAAAAAAGTTCAAACTTTCTGTTTACCACTAAAATGGTCTTCCCAAAAAGTTTAAAGTCCAGGAACTCAGGGAGTGAGTCTGTTGCGAGGGGCAGAGGTCGGTCCGCAGCCAAACGATGGCAACATCAAGCTCGAGTTGGGCGCGTTGTTTTTTGCGGGTACCCTAAAGAAGCGGTGGGTTCAAAAGCAAACCAAAAGGAAACCACCTATTGTTGGAGCCCCCCCTATATTGAGAAATTTAGACAACCCTCAAGGCCGACGAACTTTTGCAAAGTCAACAGGGGAAGACCAAAGCTTCCTCCGCAGAAAAGGTTCGCCTCGTCAAACGGGTTGGTCTCCAAATGCAGCAGGAAGGGGCAGCAGGAGGTTTAATTTATGTCTGTAATTCATGCAAATATGCACCACAACTATCATGTTGCAAAGGTTCACCACCCTGGAGAGATTGTCTCAACCAAATGGCACTCTGTGATACCACACACTCATGCACGCTGCGCGGGGCGAGGTGCCCTGAATGTCAACGTCCACTTCACACACGCCCGGGGTTGGTTTTGTCTTTGGTCGGGATTCCATTCCTAACAGTACTTCATATGCCGAGATAATCCAAAGTCAAAAATGGCTATGTGTCAAAACTGGGAGACCCCCAAAATGGTAGGTTCCTTTTGTTTGCCCTTTAAACCCACAAAAAAGGGACCCGCCCAGAGTCACCCCAGTCCCCTTTCCCGCATATCGCAAGATTTAAGTCGTTTCAATGCACCAACACAAAACAACCCGGGCCTCCGCTAAAAGTTCAACCTGTGGGTTTAATGGAAACACCAGAAACTAAACGAACTAAAAACAAACCGTAAACAAACAAATATGTACATATATATATATATCAGCAAACAAAAAACGAAAAACAAGGAACCGGATGGCTGGGAACCGCCTCGGCCGGCCTCGGCACTCGCCCGCAGCGTCGGCGCTTCTGCCGGAGGCGGCGGCGGCACGAAGTGCACGAGGCTCACAACCTGGCGCTCGGTTTTCAGAAAACAAGTTGGGGAGCTGTGAGTTTGTCGTTTTTGGTTGGTGCCCTTTTGGTTTGGTCACAGAGAAAAAACCACAAGGCGTCCTCTTTGTCTTTGTCTTTTGCTTCTTGTGTTGTCTGAAGGTTTGTCTGAAGGGTTTTGACCTTTCCATTGGTTTCGGAAAAAGGGACTCCTGCGGCTTTGTCGTTTTTTTTCGGCACCCCTCTAGTTGGCGCTAGGTCCCCAGAGAGGATAGAAGAAGGGTACCAACTTTTTCGCTGTTGTCTATTTTAGGGGAAGCCTCCCCCCAAGAAGGGGTGAGAAAGTTCAAAGGGCACTACTGGGGGACTTAGTTCAGACACTTGGGGACCTCTGGGTTTGCATTCAAAAGGACCTTTGGGAGGGGACCTGTTTTTTAGAGACCCTTCCAGGTATTTGGTGTCCTTTTGGTCTTTGCTTTCAAAAAAAAACAGGGTGGTAGTTGGTGTGCTTTTGGTTTGCTTCCAACAAAAACTATCCGAAAAGGGGCCCCTTATTTTGAGACACACTCATGTGTTGAAACAAAATGAACAAGACCGCTGAGTTGGCGATTGTTTGACGCTTGCACAATTGCATTCTAGAAAAAAAAAAAAAAACAAGCTCATGGCTTCCATAAAGCAGTTTGCATTGTAACCGACTCTGTAAAACAAATGGGAGGAACGCCCGTCAAAGGAGTCTCACCGAGCCTCTCCCCTTCCCTAACTCCCCTTATCTTGACATGTCACGAAAAAGGCTTCTTGCTCCCCACCTTTACCAACAAAAAATGTGCAGTTTACAAAAAAAACCCAGCCCTAACGCTCCGAAAACAGGTTGGCTGACCTCTTCGTTGACCTCCTCCCTCCTTTTTGAAGGGCCTTTTCGGGGGTTCCACTCCGTTTCGTCTGGTCTGTTGCTTGGACTTATGATTGTGCCACAACAAATCGGTGGATTCGCCCTTTCGAAAAGGAACCCCTGAAACGACCCCCAGCCCTTCTTGGGTAAAAGCACATCCAAACATTGGCCTCAAAGTGTCCGCAAAGCTTGAATTGAACATAGGTGAAAATAACATCCAAGGAGCGCAACCACTAAATCTGAGACTCTCCTTTGGCCTTCTTTTTGCTTTCCCTTTGAGCCAATCCCCTAAGAGGGTTACCAACTCCAGAGAAGACACGCCCATACTTGGCCCTGTTCTCTCCTCGCCTTGGGAGGCTCGCTGGGCGCATTCGGTGGGAAGTGCCCGGGCGGCCGCGGCTGGCGACTGCAGGCGCTGGGCGTCCCGCAGGGACTGGTGCTCAAAGGCGCGCACATGGGCGTCGTGCTAAAAAACCTGAGCTCGGCTTGTTCTAGGGGTTGATTCCTTTTCCATTCTTTTCAGCCATCGTTCTGTTCAAGAACCAGCTGTTTTCCCAGGGTTTCAGAGGTGGTTTTCTGGAAAGAACCGGATCCCTGGAAAGAATGGAAATGGAAGTTACCCTTAGACTTCTGGGAAGCGCCCCACTCTGAACAACAAAACCGGCTTGCTTTGAGTGGTCGACTGGCCGCCTCACACCAATCTAAACTAGGATCTCAGACCCAAATCCCGGAGAACACCGCTCGCCCACCCGGCGCTTGCTCTTGCCGAGTGTCCGCAGGCCTGGGGCAATCGGCCGAATGGTCTCAACATGCCACAGCTCAATGACTCAACCAAGGTCAAAGAAGTAAGCTATGACCATGGTTATAACATGGTTATTACTATAGTTCTTACACTAACTTCGTTATAACTGGGGGAACTAGAAAGTGATGACCATGGTGGTACTTAGTAGGTACTGGTACCTGATGGGTAGTGGGCAATTTCCATGGCTATAACTATAGGGTAACTGGAAGTACTAGTAGGTTATAACCATGATCCCCTTACCATGGTTAGAAGCTACTTAGTTGGTAACGATGGTAAAGGGGCAATCGGGTACTTAGAAAGTAAGTAGGTAATTACCATACCATGATTATAACATAGTTATAATAACTATTGTTATTACCCACTTACTTCGTGGTATCCATGGTAAAAGGGGCCTAGCGGGTACTTACTAAGCTTTCTTGTTATAACTATGGTTATAACTAGGGTAACTGGGGGAACTAGTAGGTGATGACCATGGTACTTAGTAGGTGCTGGTACCTGGTAGGTTGTAGTACTGTACCAGGTACTTAGAAAGTAGGTTGTTCTCAACCATAAGTCAGGTACTTAGTAGGTTATGACCATGGTAAAGGGGCGATCAGGTACTTAGAAAGTAAGTGGGTAATATCCATGGTATAACTAGGGTAACTGGGCTTGGTCCCCTTACCTTTTATCATAAGCTAATTACAAAGTTGGCTAAAGGCCGATTACCTTACCATGATTATAAACAACTTAGTTGGTTGTACCCTACTTACCATTGGCATAGTTAAAGGGGCGATCGGGTACATAGTAAGTAAGCGAAGTAAGTAGGTAATAACCATGGTTATAACCCACTTAGCATGATTATAGCTATAAGTCGTCCTAAGTGGGTTATAACCAGGCTTACCAACCACTTACCTGACCTGCCCCTGTAAGTATCCACCTTAAATTGGTCCGAGTCATGTCACGAAATCCACGGGGGAATCCGCCGGAAAGAAAAGGAATCCACACATGTTGATCATTGGCAAGCTTGCTTACCCACAAGTAAGCTCGATAACAATTGTGCATATACAGTCAGTGACTCCTGACGAAGGCTTCTTCAGACAGGGTTCACGTAGGCCGCTTCCTGTCTCAAAGAAGACACAGATCTATGGCAAATTGCGGACTGGTATTCTCACCTCCTGAGCAGATTGGCCCTAAACAGTCCAAAACGCTGGTTTACCACTAAACTGACTTGTTCATTCACTTTAACGTCCAGAAACTTGCGAAGTGAGTTTGACTCCCCAACTTGAAAAACGGACAGCCTCTACTTTACAGTGGCTGGTGGTTGGACCGGCCTTGTTTGCGACCGTCCCTCCTTAACAAAACCAAATTCATCCAAACAGCTAAAAGATCCACTTGGCCAAAAGATGTCCCTCCGAACAAAACCAAATTCATCCAAACAGCTAAAAGATCCACTTGGCCAAAAGATGTCCCTCCGAACAAAACCAAATTCATCCAAACAGCTAAAAGATCCACTTGGCCAAAAGATGTCCCTCCGAACAAAACCAAATTCATCCAAACAGCTAAAAGATCCACTTGGCCAAAAGATGTCCCTCCGAACAAAACCAAATTCATCCAAACAGCTAAAAGATCCACTTGGCCAAAAGATGTCCCTCCGAACAAAACCAAATTCATCCAAACAGCTAAAAGATCCACTTGGCCAAAAGATGTCCCTCCTTAACAAAACCAAATTCATCCAAACAGCTAAAAGATCCACTTGGCCAAAAGATGTCCCTCCTTAACAAAACCAAATTCATCCAAACAGCTAAAAGATCCACTTGGCCAAAAGATGTCCCTCCTTAACAAAACCAAATTCATCCAAACAGCTAAAAGATCCACTTGGCCAAAAGATGTCCCTCCTTAACAAAACCAAATTCATCCAAACAGCTAAAAGATCCACTTGGCCAAAAGATGTCCCTCCTTAACAAAACCAAAATCATCCAAACAGCTAAAAGATCCACTTGGCCAAAAGATGTCCCTCCGAACAAAACCAAATTCATCCAAACAGCTAAAAGATCCACTTGGCCAAAAGATGTCCCTCCGAACAAAACCAAATTCATCCAAACAGCGAAAAGATCCACTTGGCCAAAAGATGTCCCTCCTTAACAAAACCAAATTCATCCAAACAGCTAAAAGATCCACTTGGCCAAAAGATGTCCCTAACAAAACCAAATTCATCCAAACAGCTAAAAGATCCACTTGGCCAAAAGATGTCCCTCCGAACAAAACCAAATTCATCCAAACAGCTAAAAGATCCACTTGGCCAAAAGATGTCCCTCCGAACAAAACCAAATTCATCCAAACAGCTAAAAGATCCACTTGGCCAAAAGATGTCCCTCCTTAACAAAACCAAATTCATCCAAACAGCTAAAAGATCCACTTGGCCAAAAGATGCAAAACCAAATTCATCCAAACAGCTAAAAGATCCACTTGGCCAAAAGATGTCCCTCCTTAACAAAACCAAAATCATCCAAACAGCTAAAAGATCCACTTGGCCAAAAGATGTCCCTCCGAACAAAACCAAATTCATCCAAACAGCTAAAAGATCCACTTGGCCAAAAGATGTCCCTCCGAACAAAACCAAATTCATCCAAACAGCGAAAAGATCCACTTGGCCAAAAGATGTCCCTCCTTAACAAAACCAAATTCATCCAAACAGCTAAAAGATCCACTTGGCCAAAAGATGTCCCTCCTTAACAAAACCAATTTCATCCAAACAGCTGAATCATCCACTTGGCCAAAAGATGTCCCTCCTTAACAAAACCAAATTCATCCAAACAGCTGAAAGATCCACTTGGCCAAAAGATGTCCCTCCTTAACAAAACCAAATTCATCCAAACAGCTGAAAGATCCACTTGGCCAAAAGATGTCCCTCCTTAACAAACCAAATTCATCCAAACAGCTAAAAGATCCACTTGGCCAAAAGATGTCCCCCGAACAAAACCAAATTCATCCAAACAGCTGAAAGATCCACTTGGCCAAAAGATGTCCCTCCGAACAAAACCAAATTCATCCAAACAGCTAAAAGATCCACTTGGCCAAAAGATGTCCCTCCTTATCAAAACCAAAATCATCCAAACAGCTAAAAGATCCACTTGGCCAAAAGATGTCCCTCCGAACAAAACCAAATTCATCCAAACAGCTAAAAGATCCACTTGGCCAAAAGATGTCCCTCCGAACAAAACCAAATTCATCCAAACAGCTAAAAGATCCACTTGGCCAAAAGATGTCCCTCCGAACAAAACCAAATTCATCCAAACAGCTAAAAGATCAACTTGGCCAAAAGATGTCCCTCCGAACAAAACCAAAATCATCCAAACAGCTAAAAGATCCACTTGGCCAAAAGATGTCCCTCCGAACAAAACCAAATTCATCCAAACAGCTGAAAGATCCACTTGGCCAAAAGATGTCCCTCCTTAACAAAACCAAAATCATCCAAACAGCTGAAAGATCCACTTGGCCAAAAGATGTCCCTCCGAACAAAACCAAATTCATCCAAACAGCTGAAACATCCACTTGGCCAAAGATCTCGGGGGGGGCTTCTGTTCTTTCTGTTCTTTCTGTTCTTTCTGTTCTTTCTGTTCTTTCTGTTCTTTCTGTTCTTTCTGTTCTTTCTGTTCTTTCTGTTCTTTCCTTTTTTTGGGGTGGGGGGGGTGTCACCTGAAAAAAGACACACCTCATGTCTTTACTTGGCCGTAACAAGACTCACTAGGCCTTTAGCATCGTTGTAAGGCAGTGTGCCAGCGGCATGTCTCCATGCAGTACAACTCCATCATCCAACCACAAACACCATGGTAAGATGCGGATAAATCTCAGGGTGTCCAACTTGTTCCCTACCATTCTACCATTCTGCAATGGGTTGAGGGGAGCACCCCCCAATGCATCAGCCAGGTTCTACTTTGTTAGCTCCTCGGTCGACCTTAGTACCTTACTCAGCGTCCCATGGCTTTGCGGGTTATAAGCAGGCTTGCCAACATACATAGCAATCAGCCTGCTTATCACGTTTGCTCGTTTGCTTGCCTGCCTGCCTGCTTAGTTGCTTGCTTGCTTGTTTTCTCTCTTGCTTGTTCGTGTGTGCGTTTGATGCAAGCGGCGATGCTTTACCTGAGGGACAGTGCCCCCCCGCGACCCCCCCGCCCCCAAAGCCAAGAGGCCGGAGACGGGACCCATTGGGCTCATCTCCGCCCGTTCCATGGCCTGCGAGCGAACGGAGCTGGCAGACTTGGAGAAGTCGCAACCAGTGCTTCCCCAGCAAGCCACGACTCGGGTAATCAGGTTGGGGAAGCAACAAGCAAACCAGGGGAAAATAGGTTCTTACCTGTTGGTTTGCATCCCAAACAACAAGCAAACCAGGGGTTTCAATGATTCCACCCTTTTTCATCAGGGGAAACCATGCAAACCAACAGCGAAGAATAGCAAAGGGTGATCTACTATAGTGGGAACTGGAAGCATTGGGGACAGATATGTGTCAAAATGGGGACCCCCCCCTAACCCTCTGGTATGATGGATGTTGAACGGGTCTATTTTGTAACAGTCATTTCCGTTCTTTGTTTCTTAGGGTTTTTCTCTGCAAAATTCGCTCTGGACACCCCCTTTTTGGGGTCCCCTACTTTAAGACACACCCAAACAGTTCCCTTTCCACATGTTGTCTATTTTGCGCGTCGAGGGGTTTCTGGGATCTCAGATGGGTGCGTCTTTTTGAGGGTACCCTGGGTACGGTCATTTTGGAAGGGAAGCACAAGGACGTTCCGAGCCATATCCTTGGACTTTGGGAATTGTTTAGCGCTTGGAGGGTGTGCGACATACCTGACAAGTCATACTTTTTGCAAGGTATCAACGAACCACTAAGTTTCACTTGAGGGGACACCATTTTTCTCAAATAAGGGCCTCTCTACTTGACGAAAAGTTCAATGAAGTGGTTGTGTTGAACATTGGATCTTGGTCACTTTTCGTGAAACAAGGGTTACCTAGCATGAGGGCCAAATCCAGATTCCATTTGCCATATCTCTGAGGGACTTCACTTTGGACCCCTTGGTGAGAACGGTATGGCCATAGTTGGTCTCTTTTTACGGGACAAATGACGGTTGGCACTCGATTCTGTGATTGACCCAACTAGCCTCTTTGGGGTGGTCACGAACATATGAAATATTTCATATATGGCTATATACTATACATGGGATTACTCCACCAGCAACGAACATTAAACCCACCGCAGTGTCCTTTTTAGATGACAATGGTCCCCCAGTGAGGTTGCATGTTTAGTGGGTGGGTGGGTAGAAGGACCTAGATTTGGGGCACACGATTTGGGGCATTCCATCACACCACAAGCCAAAGGCCAACCCCCCACCAGTTCTGGAATCTGCCCAGAACCCTCCGGGTCATCTGGCAAACAGTCCTTGCACCTCTTTTGCCTCCCTCTGTTGTCTCTCTGTTGCATCATTCTTGCAAAACACCAACCCCCCGACCTGTCCCACGAGTTGATGGTCATTTAACCAAGTGAATATTGATCCACCCCCATGCCGCTGTTTGTGCCGCTTCGCGGCAAAGGCAGGTATTTTCCCTGCACTTCTCAAGCTGGCCGGCGTGCCTTGGCGAATCGAGTGCTTGGGGAAAGGGTTTGGCAAGAAAAATAAGAAAAAGCGGTCGGGCCGGGCTTGGGAGGATGAGGTTGCGTGGCATGTGGTTGGGGTTTGGGAAGAAGGTGCCAAAGGCACTTTGATTGTTATAACATTTATCAGCGCATCCACAATACCTCCACAATACCCTTAACCTCCGTTTGCGACTACTTCCAGGGGAAAACATAACAATACCCTGAGGCAAGACCCGAAGTGTCCATGTGGCAAGCGTCAAACTTCGGGCTATAGACCTGCGATTTAAGAAAGCGTTCCCAACCCAGCAAATGCGCACCTTGGATCTACGCTCTGGTCTAACAAGTTAGAATGGGGTTCTGAGGTACTTCGAAACATTTCCTCATGATTTTCGGGAGTAATTGGTTTGACCCTCAGGTTATATTACCCCTTTCAACAGTCATGTGGAAAGGGTCGGTTGTATTTGCCGGACTCCCTAACAAGGTAAATGGCACATGAGTCTCGGAACAAGGGCCCGTCGCAAAAATCGGCCGGTCTCGGCACAGTTTCAATCAACGGCCCCAAACAAAAACACAGCCGTTCACATGCGTGCTCCAAGAAAAGGTGGTTTCGAGCTGGAACAATGAAACACCCAGCGCAAGAGATTCCAAACAATCTAAACAATCTCACGTCATGGAAACTTGAAAACATTGGTGTATAGGGGACCCCCAAAATTGTGGATTGCCCCTTGGTGTCCCTTTAAAATCACCTTAAAAGGGTACCAACTGCAAAAAGGACAGCCCACATCGATGCGAGAAGGCGCCCAACCACGCCCTGTGCTGCCGGTCGTGCCGGGCTGCTTGGCTCCGAAACGCAGCCCGGCGGGTGGCCGAAAATGTACATGCCGAGGCAGGTGTACCTGGGCCGATGGCAACCTGACGGAATTCCGAACCCAAAGGAAACCTGAAGAAAACCTAAAGGAAACCTAAAGGAAACCTGAAGGAAACCCAGAAAAAATACAACAAATCTAAGGGCCCCCCGTTTTGAAGCGCTATCGTTTGATTCTTTACGGGGTTCAAACAAGATATCCACCATTCTCCACCTATCTCACCAAAGCCGAGTCGCAGCCACCTTGACTTCTCCAAAAGGTTTTTGCGCAGATCTGCAGCGATCGGGGACTCGACGTGCCGATCGATGAAGTTCTCGCCGGGTTCCGCAGAATTCGCGTTTCGATTCGTATTTACAGGTGCCGGGCTGAACCAATGGCAGCGGTGCGCAGGCGAAGGTGACGGCCGCTTTTCACCCACTCGGTGCCAGTATTTTTGAAAAGAAATAAGAAACTAGAGGAAAAACAAACACAATGCAAAAGGGTAGCCCGGGGCAAAAGGTCGGCTGTGAGTTTTGATCTGGCAATGAAATATATCCAAAACATGAAAGTTGGGTGAAAGTCGATGGCACACGTCCCCCAGTTAGGTTTAGTCATCCGCTTTAAGCCAGGCAGTATGACTCTGATTATGAAGGCAAACAGGCTTGGAGGGAATGGCTATTCGCCAACCCACATCTTTCCCCATGGTCCAAACTGCCTCTTTACTTCTCTTACCTCCTTATTTCACAGTTGGGTGAAAGTAAATGGCACCCCGCATCTGGGTTTAGGCACCCTTTTTGAAATCCACAAGGGCTTACGGCCTGGCGTGAGGGCGTGGACAGAAAGGGTTCCTCCAGCTCTTTGACGTTCCGATTTGTATCTTCCCAACCCCTGCAGCAGGTCCGAACAGAACCAAAGGTCATATAGTAACGGCCGCAGGTCCTATCCCTGTCAAACTGTGAATGGACAAAATCCTGCACCAGCTTGAAACAGTGGGAAACCATACTTTGTTTGGTATTTACAGGGAAAACATCATTCCATGGATTCTTGCGTGGTGCAGGATTTCTTCCATCCACAGTAGCAACCCGTTGCGGGTTGCAAAAAACACGGAAGTGCTTGACCGTCGCTCAAGCTCGTGATGGCTCGCATCAGTAACTGGCCTGTCTCCCAAATCGAGCTCTGAAATTCACCCTTCCATAAAAGAGGAGAACAGGAACCATGCTTTTGGAACATACCTTTCTGTATTACCAGTGGGATTCCCATCTGCAATGAACCCTTGAAGGGCGCAGGGCTGTGTGAGTCCGCACGCCCCAAGCTGCCTGACGCCAGAGGCCCAAGCTGCCTGACGCCAGAGGCTCCCGTGCCGGTCCTGCAGACTTTGCTGGCTTTCTGGATCTCCTTCGGGAAAGCGTCCGAAGCACAAATTTCAGGCGACCCAAGCGACCCCAAAACATACGTGCCAAGGTCAAAACTCCGAATCTGCAGGTGTGGGTCAGGGTTCCCTTCATGGGACCTGTTGAGTGAAGTTCCCTCAGATATCGAACACCTTCTCTACCAAGCTCAGGGGGTCATGTGAGCGTGGCACATATTGGGAAGTTATCAATCGCCTGGTGCTACAGGAGATGAATTGCGTCCCTGCTAGTAAACACAACGCGCACACACACACACACACCAATGGCGAACACGCAATAGCCTTCCTGTTCCAAGCTAGCGTGACGATGTCTGGGGGCCCCGCTTGGGGAATCCAATTTTGCGTTTTGCCGAAATCGAAAGGAAGCCGCCTGTTTGGGGGGTACTCCTTCGAGACAAACCCCTCTAGGTGTGAACTTTGATGGGCACTCTGGTGGACATCATTTCGGTGTCGATGAATGCCATCTCCACCAGCCACTTTTACGTTGGTTCCAACTCTTAAAAGCATAGCCGCCATATATGGGTGTGTCTTGTTTAAAGTTGGACCAACAAAACGGCGTTGGTTTTCCGTTTGGCTTCCCTAAACAAAAAAAAAACTGGAGTCTCCCATGACCCTTAAAAATTGGGTCAATGACCCCAACATTTAGGTAATGGCCCCATTTTTCAAGGGTCATGGAGACTCCAGGAACACAAAAACCACATCAAACCAGGGGTACCAACAAAATTAAATGGCATTAAATTGTTTTCCGTTTGGCTTCCCTTAAAAGCAAAACAAAACAACGACGCAAAAACGATTTATATCAAACCGATATAGATGTCCGAGTCCTCGTAGTCGTCCTCCACCAGCACCACCTCGTGGCTCTTGAGGCCTGGAAACCCAGCCCGGCGGGGAGGAGGGACGGGCCGAAGGATCTCCAGGGGAATGGCACCCGTGTTTGACTTATTTAAATTTGTTCTTTTTTTAGAGGGGAGACCCCTCCAAAAGAGAGAAGCTAGGGCTTCAGTAGAGAGGCTAGAATCTCAGAATCAGGCTACCAACTTTTTCTTTCTGTCGTCTGTTTTAGTAGGGGAACCCTCCCCCAAAAAAGAAAAAAGGTAAAAGGGAACTACGTGGGGCCTAGGAATAGGAAGATCCCGACCCCAAGGTATCGGAGTCCAATGTGCCGCCTCACAGCTCCGCGCAGCTGGTGATATTGACTGACTCGCTACGCATTCCGAATGCCTATGGCTGAGCCTAGCGTGGGCACCATCAGGTAGCCCATGTGAAGGGAACTCATCGTCCTAAAGGGACGTAAAACTGGCTTTGAAGTCCCACAACTACCCCGGCGCAGACTCAGAAGCGTGGATTTCCATGGGAAAAGGGGGGGCCCTGTATTGGGTCATTCTACACCACGAGAAATGTTCAATCTTCCCCTTACCCGCGCAGTAAACTGCGCTGCCTACTTCCACCCAAGTGTAAAGGGAAACCCCTCTTCTGAAAAAGAAGGGACAAACAGGGGGGGGATTCCCGAAATGGGAATCACAGAAGCTGGCAACCAAACACCCAATTTCCACCTTCCTTCGGGTGCTGCTGGGCATGCAAGCGTCCCAAAGACTCTGCGACCCCCTAAATGGGTGACTTCCGTTTGGTGTCCCTTGCAAACATCCCCCCCTTCCAAACAAACACAACAACTCCCTTTTGGTTTTCCTTGAAGACACCACCACCCCCCACCCACCCCCAACAACGGGTGCCTAAAAAGACAAAAACCAACACGTGAACACACGCCCAGTTGCCCGCTCTCGATTGCATCCACGCCTTTCTGGCGCATCAGGCTCTTCGCCAAGGAGTCCTTTGAGGACCACTCGGCCTGGGATGGGGATGGGCATTGGATGGGGGGGTCTGGAACATATGAACAAATCAGGGGGCACCCCAAAAACCCGCAAAACCCGATGGAAAAGACAAACGAGGGAAACAAATCAGGCGGCACCCCACAAAACCCATGTGGTGCCTCCCCCCAGGCAAAAAAAGAAAGACCATTGGGTGGTTGGGGGACTTGAAGCCGTACCAACCCTTTTGGTTTCGCTTTGAACCAAGCCTAAAGCACAGACACACACACACACACACACAGACACACACACACACACTCCGAATCCAAACCCCAATTGGGGGCAGCTGACAATAGGGGGGCCTGAAAAGTTCATTGTGTGGATTCCAACCCACTTTGCACTTGTTGGGATGGATGAAATCCGATTTATTGCTGGTTGAAAAAAGGATCTACCAACAGGTGCAGGAGTTTGTCCACACTCGCCACCCCTTTTGTGCTTCTGAACCAATCCCCCCAGCAAACATGGGCGTGTTTGGCTTCATTTCGAATCAGCTTGTCCCTACGGGCTGTGGCTACTTGCGGGAGATAAAGACTGCAAAGACTGGACTTACCCAGGGGGTGTTCGCAAAATGGGCGTGCCAAACCAAATAATTAGGGCACCCACCAAACTGGGTGCTATTCCCTTTGACTTTCTTTTTAAATCTATCCCAAACCCATCTCAAATGGAAGGTCAAAGGTCGCATCCTTTTGGCGAGGTTCTCGCTTTCCGTTCAAAGGCAAGAACGCGAACCTCCGTTTGCTTAAGCATTCCTGGCAGAAAAAAACACATATTTCCACTAGTGGTAGATTCCCTTAAAACTTTAAAACTAACAGGGCAAAATGACAAAACATCATTTCAGCGAGGACTCATCGGGTCACCCCCCCCTCTTCCAGCCCTAGGGACACTTGTTCCTTCGGATTCGTACCCCGCCCCACAAAGAAAAAAACTTGATGAGGCCCGAAGAACCGAGGCCTTTCCGAGCAGATCTGGACCCCTTTCACTCATTGACTATGCACCTTTGAAGCGCTCATTGATTCTCGGGGCTGAAGCAACTCCCCACCTCTTCTGAGAATGCGGGTAAGGTTGGGTGTAAACTGTGGATTGGCGCCGCTAGAAAGATGGGAAGCATGAGCGCACGAATTGGAGTGACAAGAGGGCACGCTTTGGTTGTGGGGCTCATACACGTCCCCGCCACTTGCATGACATAGCTACACCGGAATTTAGGGGTTCAAATATGTGTGCATCCTCTCTAGGGGCACGCCAAACTGGTGAGTGTCCAACTCTTTTTGTTACTCAACATCCACAAATACAAGCATAGCCAAAGCAAAAAACAAAAAAAAACACCCCGATACAGCCCAACTAAATCCGTATTCATCCCCAACCCCCCAAGCTTTGTCTCAGATCTGTGCCTGTCGCTTCTCCCCCAGGAAGCTCTGCAGCCCCGGCGGGAAGTTCACGGCAGCCTCTCTCGCGCGCGAGGATCGATCGAAAGGCGGGAGGTGGCGGGAGAGAGACGCGGCCAAACACTCGGAAGGCTCATGGGGTTTTAGTGCCTTTGGCTTTTTTGTTTTGTGTGTGTGTGTGTGCGTGTGAGTTTCGCGTGTTTCTTGTCAGTAGGTTTGGCATTTTCCGGGAGTTTGCCGGGGGGGGGGGGCTAGCCTTTTTTGTGAAGGGTGGTTTTTAACATCTCCCCTTGGATGTTTTTACGCGAGCCTTCCTGTTCCCCATACAAGTTTATTGAATTTACCATGCGATTATTGGTTGAGACCGTCGGTTGACTTTTCAATACCGGGGTTTCACGGTAAACATTGTTCGCACGCCAAGCAGGAATACTCTGGCGCTGGCAGGAGCAATGTCGCAACTAGCAAGTTGCTCCTTGTTTAAACCTCTTATTCAAGAAACACCTACCCTAAATAAGGGGTCCTCAAGATACTACATTAAATAAGGCGTCGTTATCGAAGATCTCCGGGTTCTCTTACCGATCCCCCGCGCCGATTGCACGGTCGCCCGCACAGCCACCCGCAGTCTGCGGACCTGACGGCAGATCTCCGGAGCGCAAGTGGATGCTCGCCAACTGGCACTCTTCCAGCGAGTCAACGCAGGCTGCGGGGCACCGTGAGGCTCTGAAGCATCGAACCGTCTGGAGAGGCGCGGTTGGGATGATATTTTTAGGCTGGACAAACCAGGCGACCCGCGTGCTTCCCATTGAACACTTGGACCCCTCTCCTGCTGAGCATCTTGTTTGGTCACCCCTTCTAGTCCTCAAACCACAATTTAGACTGCAGTTGGGCAATTGGGCTTGGTACCCTGTTCAGGTTTCAAGGAACGCCAAAAGCAAAACCACAATTTGGGCGGGCCTTCTTAGACAGGACCAATTCGTTTTGGCTCCCCTTCCATTGTTTGAGCGAGCCTTTTCCAATGAGCTACATGCGTGCTTCAACAGTCGCGGACCATTTTTCTTCTAACCCACCGGGGGAGAAATATAGAAACTCAACTTCTGCAAATGGGTTCGGTTCAGTTGGGTCTGTCAGCTTGGAAGTCGCTGTAGCGTGCTGATGGGTTGGAATTGGTGTTGGGTTCGGCTCCGGGTGAGGCCCACATCAGTTGGCCTTTGGTCGAGTTGACGCGGACCAAACGCTCGAGCTGCTCATTGAAAGCCAGGTGAGAATTCGTAGGCTCCTGGTTGATTCATCCAAATATGTAGTCTCTCTTGACGAAGCTGCCACCACGTCCTTTCATAGTCCAAGCAGGATCTTGCGGATTGCTGTTGAAAACCTCAAGGGAAAGTAAAACTCTATCACATACATATCTGTATATTATATATATATATATGCTTAAACTGACCGTTTGAATCACATTTCGCACAGCAAACTAGGGAACTCCATGTAGCCATATTGGCTACATGGGGGTTCCCTAGTTTGCTATGCGAAATGTGAGAAAACAAGTTCAGTTTAAAGTTTGATTCATGTTTCGGGGTTTCTGAGGGGTCTGTTTCGTTCGCCCTTCCTCATGTTGGTTAGTTGTGTGATGTGTTTTGTCTGTCTGTTTGTTATTACCTTTGGGCATACTCCGTCCCTGAGTTCCTGCACAACAGGTTCCCGGGAAGACCGTGCTAGTGGCAAAGGACAAGCTTTGGATGACAGGGGGTGGCGCTTGTGGGTTCTTGTTCTCTGCCAGCCGGATGCAACCGAATTCCGAGTTTCAGGTCCCGCAATCAGGCAGACAGACAAACATTTAACAAAACTAACCAACATAAAGACAGGCACCCCCAAGAAACCCCGAAACATCCATCAAACTGTGGACTCCTTCCCTCCCTGACCGCGCGAACTGGGCGAAGGCGCGAAGGCGCGCGAGCGAGCTCTCAGCGCCTCCTTGTCGAAGTCCGAGGCTCCATAGGTCTCGCCGATGTGGCCATAGACCTGGCGAGGTCCATCCCTCCGGTCGCTCGGTCGGGCGACCCTGCGCGACCTTGCCATGGAACCCACCAGGTGAGTGGTTGGCCTGGGGTATATCCCACCAAGGTGATCTTTGCTTAAGGGGGACTTAGCAGGTAGCTGGGGATGAAACGTAGCATGCCCGAACATCCAAGCAAAGAAATGCTCCCATTGAACGAAATATGGTCCAAGCCAGAACCCTGTGAGGTGCCATGCGGATGGGGGAGTACTGATCAGGTTTCATAAGATGTCTTGTGCAAAGTTGGCCATGAAGAGTCAGTTTGCTACCTAACCCGAATGTCCAAGTTCTCTGGGTTGCTCTTCCTGGTGGAATCGAAAACGCTAATCTGTTTCCAACATACAAGGTCTCAGGGACGATTCGCGAGGACAAATTAGGAAATCTCAGAGGGTCTTCCCCCAACAAGCAACACCCGCAACACCCTTTGGAGCCTGAAGTGAAAATTCAGCTGCCTCTTTCTAAGGGCATTGTCTGGCTCCCCCAAACCCAATTTCCGACTGCCGCACTGTTGCGCAACCCAGCAACATCCCCCATCCTCTTCCCTCTCCGAGAAAAAGAAAGAAACTGCGTCTGAAGGGAGGGAGGTACTGGTGTGAAACCTGACTTGGCACGGTCACAAGGCATCTTGCAAATTGCCATGGCCAGTTGGCTCAACCCCTCGAGCAAGGCCTCTTGCTGGCATACCCTGGCCCCGGAAAAGTGCCACGGCCACTCAAGTGTAGCAAAAAAAAAGTGAGACTATGCACGTGTATACACAAACATATATATAATTTGCCATCTGTACTCAGTGTTACAACTTATGATATATAATATATTTACCTTTACACTCCTCAAGACTTCCGTGCCCAGCCGCACTTGATCCCGCGCAACGCACGGTTGAGCGGTTCCAATCCCCAATGGCAAGTATGTTACCCACAAATCCCGCACCCGGCACCGTCGTATCAAAACGACAACGGGAACACCAGGGGGAAATACAAGACTTAACATTCAAATTAAATATGGGGAAAAATACCGATGCAAAAGCCAACGCCAATCCCGCAATTCAAAACGAATCGACTTGCCATCGTGTCTTGCCCACATCTGGGGCATACAATAGTGTCTGACTCCAACACTCTAAAGGAGTATCTTGTGATTCTAAACTAAAAACATACTTTGTCACTCCAAGTGAACGTTGCTTTACCCTAATATGTAAGCTGGGTGTTGAATAGGCGGTAGGACACATTTCAACAAACATCCTGTTTTCTTAGTTGGCGGGAAAAAAACAAGCTGTGAGTTATGGGGTGGTTGAGCACTCAGCAAATAGCCGTGCTGCTATTTAGACAAATGCGTTCTGACTCTAACATTCCAGTACTATATGTCCTGACTCCATGTCATATTTGGTCTATCTTATGTCAAATATGCTTGGGCTGGAGGCCCAAAGAAACCAACGTGCGCCTTCAAAGGGGAACTTGTCAAAATAGGGAATTGGACCCCCTCCTTGGTGGTCCGCCTCGTGCTTTCCCTTCGCCACCAAAAAAACCAAGGGGGTACCCTCCACAAACGACACCATGATTCCCCCATTCCAATTCCAATTGGAGTCCCTTTGACAACGGGTACCTGCCAGGCTTGCTTGACGTGGGAAAGGGAGCAAAAATTGAAGCTTTGGCAGTTAAGTGGTTGGATTTCAACCACTTAACCACAATAAGCAAAAATGTAAAATGTTTCCCAACAACAACCGTGCAGGCGCCCCTTCGAATCCATTTGCCTGGCTGAAGTGCTGCAGAAGCTTCAGCCGACCCAAACAGATCTGCGCCGTGCCCACGAAGCCCTGCCAGCGAGGTCTCACGGCCATATGATGCGTGCACGTGTCTGTGTGTGTGTGTGCGTGTGCGTGCGTGGGTGAGTGTGTGAGTGTGAGTGTGAGTGTGAGTGTGAGTGTGAGTGTGAGTGAGTGAGTGAGTGAGTGTGTGTGTGTGTGTGTGCGTGTGCGTGCGTGGGTGAGTGTGTGAGTGTGAGTGTGAGTGTGAGTGTGAGTGTGAGTGTGAGTGAGTGAGTGAGTGAGTGAGTGAGTGAGTGAGTGAGTGAGTGAGTGAGTGAGTGAGTGAGTGAGTGAGTGTGTGTGTATGTGTGTGTGTGTGTCTCTCTGTGTGTGTATGTCTGGGTGTGTGTGTGTGTGCGTGAGCGTGTGCGTGTGCGTGTCCGGGTGCGTGTGCGTGTGAGTGCGCGTGCGTGCGGGCGTGCGCGCGCGCGTGCGTGCGTGAGTGTGTGTGTGTGTGCCTGTGTGTGTGTGTGCGTGTGTATCTGTCTGTGTGTGTGTATCTGTCTGTGTGTGTGTATCTGTCTGTGTGTATCTGTCTGTGTGTGTGTGTGTATGTGTGTGTGTGTGTGTCTGTTTCTGTGTGTGTGTGTGTGTGTGTTTGTTTGTTTGTGTTTGTGTGTTTGTGGTTGTGGTTGTGTTTGTTTGTGTGTTGTGTGTTGTGTGTTGTGTGTTTATGTTTTTGCTTGTGCTTGTGTGTGTGTGGGTGTGAACTTGTGTGCAGATATATGCATGATCTATATGTTGATGCAACATATGAATGTATGTCCATATCTGTATATATATATATATATATTGTGCGTATATGTGTGTGTATGCATGTACATGATAGAAGTATATGTTTATTGTGTATGTTATATATATATATATATGTACACACATATGGTCTTAACATATTATACAAATAGCGATTCAAGCTGTACCCACTCGGAGAACAGGATCACCTCTGAGTACGACTCACGCACCAGGACTGACATCCTGAGATGAGGCGATCAAAGCAATGGAGGTCTCAACATCCCAATCGCCCAAAGAGTGTCCTCATCACAACCCCGGTGCTGAAAGGAACCCAAACAAGTGTTGGAAGATCCCGAATCCAGGCCCGCCGAATAAGTGCACCCTGTATATTGGGGGGGAGAGGGGCCACATTGATTGTGTGGGGAAAGGATTCAAACCAACGGGTTTCCAAACAAAGGGATGACTCGGATTCACAAATACAGCCCATGGCTGCGAGTCAATCCCCAAACGCTTCACCCGGACTCAACTTGAGGTACCCTGTAACCATGGGTGGCCTTTTCAAAAAAATAAATGGCCCTGGCAAATGGAATAAAACCCATCTAAACCAGTGCCATCGATTTCTATCTAAATCTGGGCTGCCCTCAGATCCCCCGGCTACAAGCTCAACCTTTAGTGAGTCAAATAGAAACCGCTAAACACTAGAAAGATCTAACAAGCTAAGGAACCGGATGGGCTTCGGGAGCCGCCAAGAAACCTCAAAACACACCTTTGCTTGACACCCTTGCAACTGGGATTGCCAACAAATCGCTCACCAACGACTCAGGCCATTTTTGTGATAAACCGAAAATCAGATATAGTCCGATTTCGTTTCATATTGAGTCTAATGAAAAAGATAGCCCTCGTTTATCATATAATTTTGGAGGAGACCCCAGATCCACGTACTTAACGTCCACCTTGACCCAAGCCTTGGTGCAAATGACCAGCTCCGCCCCGGCGTCTTGCAAGGACTGCAGCAGGTTCGCCATCTGGCGGAAACAAACTCGCGGCGCTTCGAAGGTTTCAGCATGTTAGGGGGAACCTTGGGAACATTACTCTAAACGGGATTGAAATGGCGGTGAACAAACATTGCAGGTTAAGTTTGCCGGTTGGGTCAACAAGTGCGTGTTAACTGAGGACCCTTTGGGGGATTCATGGCCACCAATCAGAGAGAGTGCGTCGCAAATCGTAGTGATTCAATATATATATATATGGTTTCTCACAATGCGGGCTCCCAAGAAAGGCAATGTCATATCCAAAAGCTGCAGACGTGCCAGAGAACCAACGGTATTTTTGTTGCCTGGGCCGGAATTTAGACATTTGCCATTAGTGTGGAATCAACCATGTTCGAACGGGCAGGTACAAACCGAAGCGCAACCAAGTTATGAATTCACAGAGTCAGAGCGTATCTCTATCATTCTATATTAGCGGTCACCCTTGTAATTTAGCCAAAGGCTGAATGTGTCAGTAGCGCAAACCCCTTATTCAGGCCCGTTTTGTGGTAAATGTAAATGGGCTGCACCTTTCCGTGGTGCCATTTTGTTTCATTCCCATCATGACTTTACTTCAAATGGAACTCCCCAAGGCTAGTTGAAAAGTTGCAAAGCTATCCGATCATGTCTTGGAAGAAAGTACCCTCTGCCAGGCTCCGTGGGAGAATCGAAATGTTGCAACGCCGAAACCCTGCTTCCCACCCGCTTATGAGTCTCTTCAGAGCTGTCCCGAGCAGTGGCTCAACATTTAGGGGCCTGGACTGGAACTATCCCTGGTTTCCCCTTACCGCAGGAACAAGCAAAAACCCGCTGAACGCCCAGGCCATCTAACTAAAACCAAGAACATCTTAGTACTCCCACGAAGCTGGGCCCGACCCGAGACGCACTAAAACATATGGGTGTGGGTCAAAAATCCAACATGGGGCATTTGTAAATGGAAACATGGACTAAAACCTGCGGTCCCCTGGTAGTTTGATTTTCACCCATACCCATATGGCTAAAGGGGAAATAACGGAACACCAGAAAGGGAAACTAGTTAAACAAGTTGGGCTACGGTGAATGCCCTACATTTGCGAGTACACCACCCATACTCAACCACAAATCCATGGTAAAATGGTGCAACATAGGTTTTGCTGTTGCCTTACTTATAACACGGGCATCCACGGCTTCCGACCTTCCGATTTCAGGTTGCAAGGACTGGGAGTGCTAATCCCGGTCCAAACCGAGGGCAGTGAGGGCAGAGTGATCCCTCAGCTACCCAGTGAAAAGGGACCCCTCACCTAATTACCCTCTTTCCAACAATCATGGAAGTGGACAAGCTTTGGCAAGAAGGCATTTTTTCTTCAACAACCCGCCGATCCTCAGCTTCCTAATGTTTGGCTAACCCCAGAATGGTAAATGGAAACGACTACAACCGGTCCATATCACGTTGAAACTTGACCCAACAAATCGGGTCTTCATTTTTTTCCATACCTTTTGCTTGAACAAACCCAAGGAGCATACCTTTTTTTCCAAGCAAAAGGGTAAGCCGATTCAACCCCCCACCCCCTTCCCTCCCACCCAAAAAGAAAGGCCGGAGCAAGCGGCGCCTGCTGGACACGCTCCGGGCCACCGAAGGCCATGGCTGGAAAGCCGCCCTCCTAGGTTCGTTCATTCGATTGGTTTCTTTTCCTGACGGACACCACCTGTTCATCAACCGGTTTATTCATCCGGGGTTCACAAATTACTGTGTGTGTGTTTCTCGAAAGGAAGCTAAAAGGCGGTTGGGCCAGGGTTTTCCCTGACTTCTGGTTGACGGTGGCCAAATCTGCGAAGCCCTGCTAAAAGTGACTAACTGTTAGTGGTTTAATACGGCATTTGCCCAAATTAGTTGGCAAAAAAGTGAAAGTCCTAGCATCCAAGCAACATACACCATAGTTTAGGTTGCTTTGCACTGCGGGGCTTTGTTTTGCTCCTGTCTCTATTTGTCCTTCCTTCCTTCCTTCCTTCCTTGCTTGCTTCCTTCCTTCCTTCCTTCCTTCCTTCCTTCCTTCCTTCCTTCCTTTGTTCCTTCCTTTGTTTCTGTCTTTCGGTATTTCATTGTATTTCTTTCCATCGTTCTTTCCGCTTGGTCTTTTTTCTTTCTCTCTCTCTCTCTCCCGCTCTTTGGTATGGTGTCCATCACGATTCCGTCCTAGAGTGGGCCCTCATACCTTGTGGTGTCCGGTGAAACCTCCGTCCGTTCTACGCCCATATCTCGCCAGCCCGCTTCCGAAATACTAGGCCATGTGACGGGCTCAGGATTCTCACACATGATCTTCATAATATGACTAAATATCAGCTTCCCTCTGATTGGTGGTTTGGATTCCTGAAAATATGGCCCTTGAGTGCCTAACCCCGCTCTAAATACTTTGTTTGATCAAGCTCCAAACAACGGTCCTGTATGAAGACGTCTCTGCTGAGCTCCTCCACACGTAGCACCTGAAGCCGAAAGGCAGCCGAGGTGGCAGATCGTCGTTGCAAAAAGGGACGCCCCTCTGTTCCGCCTCAGCTTTTTCGCCGACCAAAGAAAAACAAGGTGTGTGTTCCTTGTCCATGTTTTAGTGAACCTGAACATGCAAAGGTGATCTCTGGATGTACCTGGTCCATGTTTTAGTGAACCTGAACATGCAACAGAGATCTCTGGTTGGTTGGCTGTCTTCAGAGAGGGCCCTAAGCATGACAAGACCAAATTCCCTGATTCTGTTTGGCTGGGCTAGGGGCAGTCCTCTCCAAAAGTCACAAGATCTGGATGCACTTCCCAGCCATTCGTTCAAGGAGCCTTCCTTTAAAGACAATTGCCCAAACCCAGGGATAAGTGGCAGATATCAAAAAGAGCGATGGGTGAACGACATGAGAGATCTTCACTTCCCAAGACCATATTCTTTGCAGCTTCCTGCTCCCCGATAAACAGAACAGAACGGGCAACTAAAACACAAGCGTGGCCACCAGCCTGGCGCCATGTTTGGACTTAAACCCGTATAGGGTGGTCCTATTACAACCGCCCCCTTAGACGCTGCAATTGTTGAGGGCCCCTCAAAAGTCCATCAGAGCAACGGATCCAGTTAGCGTGGTTTGGCTGGTAACCAGGAATTCTACGTCTAGTTGTTTGCCCTTGGTTACCCACGATAGGGACAACTGGACATACTGGAAAGCATGGAAGGATCTGACATGGTACCGAGCATTCAGCACCTTTCCCCCATTGGCAATTTGCATGGGTGGCTTGTAGGTATAAGCGTGTCCCAGGGTTGATCCCTTTGGCCCAAAAAAGTACATAAGGCGCAAATGCTAAAGCCAGGTGACCTGCAAATCGTCAATCCAAACCCAGTGCTTCCCTCATACGCAGAACCATGAGGTAAAGCACATAAAAGTACGAGCTTTCCTCTTAGGAAAATCGCAAATGATGACAATCTGAATAGGGCTCTCTTTGTGGACGTGAGGGAACCAAAAGAAAACCAACTACAGTATCTGAACGGCCCTTAACTTTGAGAGACGCTCTTTTGGGGGTGTCTTTTTTGGGAGCCTCCTTTCACTTGGTGTTCAAAGGGGAAACCGACCATTTTAGAGGTCCCCAATTTTGAGGCGCCCCCATTTAAGGTTCCCCGAGTTGTCCCAAACCCCAGTGGTGGTTGACTTGTTAAAAGGCTCCAAGCAAAACAAGAAACTTGCTCATGGTAGCTAACCAAGGGACACCATTCCGGTAACCCCCGGTTGGTGGTTTGGATTGGTGGATTGAAAACTCAAACCCCTGGTGTGGGTAAAATGAGAAACCACCCACCAAACCTCCAAACCAGCAATCCAAACTAAGGGTTGCCTAAAACATGACTGCCAACTACCAAACTACCAACCCCAATGTAGAGGTTCCCTGAACCCAGCAAACTAATCATTGCCTGAAACTTGCCAACCCAACTACCAACCCAAACAGGGATCCTTGCATTATACACCTGAACATTGCCTCGTAAATGGCGGGTTCCCTTTATTTTGGTGTAAAAGGCAACAGGTTTTAAATGGTTGCAAAATTGAGATCTTTTAAGGAGCCCTGCCAAATAATGTAGGGGTTCCCTGAACCCAGCAAACTAATCATTGCCGCAACAAAAATGCCAACCCAACTACCAAACTACCAACCCAAATGTAGGAGCAAAACCTGAGCCCTCGTAAAAATTGCTCCGTCGGCTCGCTCCGCCTGGCCCGGCTCGCTGCTGGCGTGGGGCTTGGGGAGAGACACCTCGCCGACACCCAGCGCCCGTCAAACCCAATGGAGCCCGGGCGTTGACGCGGTTCAACTGCGGCCCCTTGCGGTAAATCAGGAAAAAACGAAATGGTCTAACATGCAGGTATTTCTGCTTTTTGGGTGTTTGTATTTTTTAAGATGACATGGTCGAGTCAAACACCGTATAAAGCAATGACCATGAAACTCGTGGGAGAAGGGTGTGTCTGTGTCTGAGTGTGAGGGTGTGTGCGTGTGTATCTATGATAATTCAGCCCTCTTCGTATGATTTGCTTCACAACGGGAGGAGCCTCGATTGTTGTCTGTAGTGGGACATCACTACAACAAGAGAAGGCATCCATATGTGCAGTAAGGGTTCATGTTGAACAACCCAGCCTGCTATTGGTGTTGCAAGCGTGGTTGTAAATGTTTACAAACACGCTCATAGATCGTTATGGATAGATTTACCATTTAGATGGTCATACATGTTTGGATAAGAAAACTTGAGTTGGTTGAAAACTGGACTCTATCGTGATTCTTATACATGTTTCTACGGCGCCCACAAGTAACCACCCGGAAATTTACATAGGTCAACTGGTTTTTTGTACCACCTCTGGGGTCGACCTGCCCAGACCGGCCTGCGCTAAGCAACTTGAAATTTGTTAAGCAGGCGGCTGAAAGGAATCAAGTATACACTGCCTATGATGCCTCCGGCCTCAGCCTCCACAAGATATTTGTAGGGGCCCGTTTTTGACCCTTGCTAAACCCCTATCAAACAGAAAGCAGAATCCTTGCAAAGATTTGGGCGCCTTCTATACCAGGAACCCTTCTGCTCCCCTGCTAAAAGTTTAGCTTTTAGTGGTTTAATGGAAAACCCATTAGTTGGCAAAAAGTTAAAGTCCTAAGTGACCTAACATCCAAGTCCTAACATCCAAAGATCCGCTGTGTGAACCCCATGAGGTTTAACTCCTCTGGGCCTTTGAAGCGCCGGTCACTTCTCGGTTCGCGCGAAATCTTCGCGCCTGTTTCGGCCATCCGGCCAAGGACTTGAAGACATGGATCACCTGCACCGAAGCTTTGCATCGCGATTTGTTTTCGGAGAAAAAATGCGACGACCAGCGAGCGCTTGTCTTCCTGAGAAGATGAGCCAATCAGTTTGTCCAAACTTTGCTTGGCCAAGTCGTTCCAACTTCTCTTCTCATTTACCACTAAAATGGGCCAATCAATTGTTCCAACGTTTTTGTTCTTTTCCTTCTCATTGCCGCTGAAATGGCAACCAAACCCGAAAAGTTCCAAGTCCGAAACGGAACTCAGGAAGTGAGACTTCCAGTGATTTGAGTCCCTTGAAAAAACCAGGGGGCAATGAGAAAAACCACGCATCTGCTTCTTCCCAAAGCGGTGAGCTCCGCCAAGCCCAAGCTCATCCAAGCTCTGTGGGGATCTGTTTGTTTTCCCTTTTTTTGGGCCAATTTGCCAAAGGGGTAAGATGGGTTGCGGTCAAAAAAGGGCTTTCGGCTTTGGAAAACCTTTTTGGGGGCCCCTCTGGTTTGTGGCTGTGTGGCTACACCCGTCCCTGGTACTGTAAAGCCGGATTGAGTCATTTTTTAAGAATCAAGCATCTCCAATGGCCCATACCCTTTGGGAGTATATGGGTGGCTGAGTGATGGTTGTGGGCGGTAGTGGAGGTCAACTCTCCCCGGATTCACAGGAGGAATGTGGAGTACCTCTGCGCTTTCCAGTTGGGGGGATAGAATGCGATGGTAAGTGGCTACCCAAATATCTTCAAATGAATATGACATGTCAGTCTGCAGATTCATATGAAAACAAGCAACCATTGTCATAGACTTCTACATCCCCCAATTCTACAAACTGTGAGTAATCTTCCTTTTTGGGACGCCGCCTTTGGGGTTCCTTCTGTTGATTGCTAAAGGGATCTCTATCCGGACAATCCCCGGAAAACTGAAGAGACACCACCAGTTCTTTGTTTTTTTCTTTTCTTTTTTTTCCCCGCTGGTTTGGCAGACATGCCCTCATGGAATTGGACGAACAATATGTCCACCGGTTTGTTCACGACCGACAAACGCTTGGTATGTTAGCAACCATGTGTTTTACAGCTGCCCACTTAACAACAACATATTTCATCAATTAAGCAACTCTCACACATGCACACAACAACGACGAACCAAGTGCAGTATCGATTCCTTCCATTCGGGTCAAATAGGGGCAACTAAAAGCAAGGCACATTTCCCGTAGGTCAACCAGAAGTCAGGCAAAAGCTTTGCCTAACCGCCTTTTAGCTTCCTTTCGAGAAACACACACACACAGTAATGTTAACCCCGGATTAATAAACCCCTGGTTGATTAACAGGGGGGGGGTCCCCTTTTAATTAGTGGGGATTCGTCACCTAATAATGAAACGGGTTTGTTAATCCTGGGTCAACATTACCAGTCATGACCATGTCGCTCTTACATAAGACCATGTCTCTCTAACACGATTGGCGGAAGCCAAACCTTTCCAACCGCTATGTTGACGTCTACGTCTTTTGCACCGCGGAAAAAAAGACAAGAAAAACAACTGAACACAACCCCAAGAAACCAACAGCTAGCACAGATCCAAGAACATGTGAAACCACCCAAGCCTCCATTCCAATAATGCTTTCTAACCAGTACTTGTTGGAAGTACAAGGTCTTCCAAGACCCCATTCTTTACTGAGAGGTCTGTTCGCTTCCGTTGGAGCAGATCAGAAGAGCAGGCTATGAGCAGGTGAATAGATCTCTCCCGCACACGCAGCGCGAAGAATCTTTGTGCAGCTTGGAAGCTGATAACGTCTGGTCGAAGTCGAAGAGGAAGAGCCTTCCGCTTGCGCCAAGGACTTATTTGCAAAGGACCGCATTGAACCTCCCCTCCCCTAACCCCCACCCCCCCAAGTCCAAGAAAATATCCGAAGGCCTTAGCGTGGCCTTAGTCTTTGTTCCATGCGAACTGTTTGTCGCAAATCCGCAAATTTGCCAAGGGCTCACAACCGAAGCCGATTTCGACCTGTGGCTGAGCCCCAAAGTGAGTTGGGTCGTGCCCAGTGCCTTAACCGGAAAGCCTGACCATGTTAAGTGGGCTTCCGCCTGCAAACCACTGGACTCAGTAAGACTATCTGCAAACCACTGGACTGAACAAAAAAAACCGATCAAGAAACCTGGCCATTGAACCCTCAAAGTTCGGATCGGCCACCAAGAAGCCCAGGCCTGGGAGAGTGGCTTGAAAATGGAAAACTTATCTTGCCTCACTTGTAAAGGACGCCAGAAACTATCCGGGCTGAGGGATTTCTGGAGGAAACTCACCTTCTCCAAATGCTATTGTTGTGGGAGTCCGGCGAGTTAAGTTTGCCAACTGCGCTTTTCTGTAGCTAGCCAGACGCGGAGAGAGGGTAGCTTCTGTGGTACCTGGGAGCCTCCGAAACAGAACAGGATTCCAATGTCAACATCAACGCGGAAAGCTAGTTCCATAAGACCTACTGAAGTCGTACTGGGAGGCAGGACTTGCGCAGTGAGGCCAAAACGGACGCTCTGACGCCATCCAGGGCCCCATGTGGCCTCCATCCATACTGTGGATGGACGAAATCCAGATCGCACCAGTTTGAAACCATGGTTGAAACCATTGTTGGTTGGTATATTTACAGGGAAGTCGAAGCATGCCATAGTGTCTTGCGTGCCGGATTTCGTCCATCCACAGCTTTGCCCAGTGCCCGAAGGGATCCGCGAAGGAGATCTGGTGCGGATGGCTTCTGACGAGAACCATGGGCTCGGGAAGTGAAGTGCTGAATTCAGCACTCTCAGCAATCGCCCGAACAACGCGGAGCTAAAGTTTGACTTGGGCAAAGTGCAGGGACCCTGGAAAAACAAGTAACACTGGAATTGGTGGCTGGCTTGGGAATCCCAGAAACGCAGCTAAGGTATAACTTGGGCAAAGTGGGGACCAAAACACAAGGCTTCCCATGGAACTGGCGGCTCGAATCCCAGTTCTGGAGCCTTCAGCCCTTCCAACATGCTTTCCACTACCCTTCTTCCAAGCTGCACAGGCAAAACAGAGAGTTGGGCTATGCTATGCTGAAACTTTCCGAGTGGATTGGATAGAATCGGATAGAAAGAGTCCAGACTTGTTGTTTACTGAACTGATCTGCCCATCAAGTTCAAAACTGAAAAGGCGTCTGTTTTCTGTTGGGCGCCGTTTTGAGTCACATGGCAGCGGTTTTGCAAAATCAAGCGTTTTGCAGAAAGACAGCAGCAGGAAATTGGCGGAATTCGGTGGCAAATCGGCGGATTTCCTCGGACAAAGGTTTCAGCACGGCGGAGGGTGTTGCGTTTCGGCGCTTTTCCTGGAGGGCGCCTGTTTTGGCTTGTCGGCGGAAATGTCTGCCGCAGCCTGACGGCAGAAAGTTCAGCCGGAGGGTCTATATACCCCATTGTTCCCACGACAGGAGAGGGTATCTGAACATTCCTCATGGGTGTGGGCCAGGTTTCTTGGTATGGCAGCAGTAATTCAGAAAATACCCTCCCATGCGGCAAACCACCACAAAAAAGGAGACAAGGAAACGGCAAAAGGCGATTTCAATCCGATTGGTGGCTATACGAGTATACTCAAGATGCCGACCTTCGCCCTCTTAGAAGCCGCAGCTTGCCAACATAACATGGCGATGTCACGATACGCTACGATACGGAACGATGCCGGCACGCCTCACGGCTTCATTCGGCATCTGGCGGATGGGCTCTTCACAAATTAAAAGTGTTTGGGTAACCTTTGTAAAGCCCGGTGTGCCTAAATGGGTTCAATACCCAGTTGGTGTATTCCCAGGGTGTGATACAACAACCCTTAGAATATATCATCCTTTGTCGCAACAGGGCCATGCTCCTCGAGGAGTTCCTTTAGGGTGACCAGATAGTCACGGCAATGCTGGCTGCATGGTTCATAGTCGCATTGCAACTGGTTTTGGGTGCACCTTATTAAATCATGCCTTGCCAGGTTTTCCCTCAAAAGATGGTCCTCAAAGGGGTTGACCTCCACGCTTATCAAGGAGAGCCCTGGGCAACCCCGAAATGGCCGTTTGATACAACGACACAAACAGGACCTAAGCAGGTCACCCAACAGTTGTAAAGCATACCACCATGTTATTCTGAACCATTCTGGTCATTTCCCAAGGGTGTACTCCCAGGGTGTGATACAAAAACCCTCAGATATGGCTGTGGCTCAAATAAATGTACCAAAATGGCAGCTTGGTAAATGGAACCAAAGACGAAAAGCTGCGTAACCCTAGCTCTTGAAATTTGAGCCACACCCACATATTGGTTGGGCACAAAATAAACCGCAAGGTTTGGATGCGGCTGTGTGCTATTGTTGGACAAACGGCCCCGTTGCCCGGCGGCATCCTTTCTCCGTTTCAGCCGGATATGCGGTTGCCTCATGGACACGGGGCAAGTATCCAAGTAGCTGCTTGATGCTAGGAATCGTTAGATAAGATGACACATGGAAATTATCGCAAGCGAAATCCGTTGTCACACCATCGTTGAAGTAGACACTTCCAACTATCACGTGGCGGCTGCAAAGAACATATGCACACGTTCGATATCGATCCAAATCTGGGGTACACACAACATCATGACTCCGTTCCCCATTTAGTCTACCATAGCATATGACATACTGTAGAGAAGACCCCGATAAGGGCCATCGGGGACCAAGGGCCGTATTCCTCCCAATCCTCCCAATAGCTCTGATGGCTATGGCTCTGAATCAGGCTATGGCTCTGAATCAGTGTTGGAACGTTGGGTATGAGACCCTACCATGCGGCCCACACACACACACACAAGTTGGTCCGCCAGTTACACATGGTGGGGGAACGTGAGTAGCAATCAACCAGCATACCCAACATTTGAAGAGTTCAGCCAGGAAGTTGCTCGTAAGTACTTCCGCCTGGAAGAAACAATCGCTTGAACAAACAACTGCTAGGTGCCCAGATTGCAAGATCATCAGTATTATGTACAAAGCAAGTCCCAAAAAAAGGCCTTCCCAAAGAATGCCAGGTGCGGAAAATGAACAACATGGTCAAAACGGCGTTCCCAAAGAATGCCAGGTGCGGAAACAAAACAATAAAAACAAGATCATATATAAAAAACAATAATAACAATAATAATAATAATAATGGAAAAAACAAAAAAGATAAACAAAAAGAGGGAACTTTGGTGCCCACTGAGCCGAGCCTTCGAGCTGCGAGCTTCAAGCTGCGCCTTGGGAACAACGGGAGGGCAGTGGGGTCCTTTCGCTGTCCGAAACCGGACTCCCCCGAAACACCAAACGGGGGGGGTGTGCCCCGAAAAAAACGAGCCTTGGTGGGGGGGGGTTTGGCCTGGCTGGATTTGTGAAGCCAACTTGGCCTCCCAAATTGGCAAAGGTCAATTCGGAAGACCACTCCAAACCAAACCACGAATTTGGGGTAAGGTGAGTTTGGATGGTTTGGATTTGGAGTTGAATCCTTTCTTGTAGAGGGTAAATGGGAATCACCCGGAAGGCCTGCAAACCACCGATTTGGCTTCGCCCAGTAGAGGGTTCCACCACAAGGGAGTGCCAACTTTCTGAGTGGATTGGGTCGAACAGGTCCCTGGGCTCCTTGTTTACCACTTGGCTGATCTTGCCCAAAAGAGTGTACCAGGTCCTGCAGTAGAGAGGATAGAATAAGGGTACCCATTTTTTTTCCAGTATTCTACTTTAGTAGGGGAACCCTCCCCCCAAAGAAAGGGGAGAGAAGGGCACCTAGCTGGGGGACCTAGTGCACAAGCGCAGGGAGGAAGAGATACTCTCTGTTCCAGCTGGTGGACTTCCACGGGAAAGCTTTGTCCTTCCAAAACAGAAGACACGGGCCGACGGGGGGTGCTTATCTGTGTTTGCTTCAAAAGGATAACCTCCTTCAACAAACAAACAAACATAAACAAAGGGCTTGGCCATTCTGTTGCCAGCTTAAACGGCGCCACATGTGGCACTGTATTTGGGATTGTCTCAAAAAAAGCCAATCCAAAACTTGGTGGTTTCCCTTTGATTGTCTTCTCCCAAAATGGAACCGCCAACTCAAAACACGAGCCTCATTTCGCGACCCAAGCGACCGCAGCACGGAAGCGTTGCGGCGCAGCACGTCTCGGATGCGATGAGTCCAGCCAATCCGCCTGATTTGTTTTCGCGTCCGTCCTTGAGACAAGCGATTGCTTTTGAAGGTCGTGTGCCGGGGTCGCTTAAAGTGACACCGAAGCTTCCAGCCAAACTGCATTTTTCGGGGGGATCCCCCCTTGTTTGACACGACCAAGTCTTCCAAAGGCAGACTTTGCATTTCCTTACTTGAATTTGGGAAAATATAGGGCCAACAAGTATCAAACAAGTTTAAGGAAACCCCTACAAAAAAAGCCACTTGTCTGGGTCATTGCCGACTCTCCAATGGCCTCAAACATACTCAACAAACCACCTGATCGCCGTGTTGAGGTGCTTGGATTGAGTTTGAGGGAAAGCATCCAAGAAACAAGCTGGACAAAAGCATATGAAATCACCCAACTGGTCACTTTCAAGGAGACTCCCAGAAACCAGCTAAACAACAAAACAAATCTGAGATTTATTTTAAATTCGGGTCACTTCCTCGCCCTCGCTAGGGTCATTGCCCGCCCGTTCGCACCCGTTCGGCGCTCAAACGCGCTGGTTGAAGGCGTAGACCTCCAGCTCCGGCAAAAAGCTCCGCAGCTCCTGCAGTGCCTCCGGAGCGGCGATATCGCGCTGCCGGCGGAGTGGGGGCAACGGCACACACGGATTTTGCCTTTCTCATACCCATGTGGGCAAGTTAATTTTCAAGACTTGGGGACTTCGCTTTTTGACGGGTCGCGGATGAATGCGTGCCGGGAGTCGAAGCTTCTGACCCTTCCATGGGGGTCATTGCCCCAAAATGGGGTCGTTGACCCATTTGTTGAGGGTCAGAAGGAGACTCCAGCCCCAACAGCTGAACCCCCAGATGTGTGGGAGGAACCTGAATTAACCTGGGCCTTGAACAAAAAATAATGATGTTCAGGAGTGATCTGCGAGATGCGGCCCCTTAAATGAGATACAAATGTCAGGCCTGAACACGGCGTTCGCCACCTAATCCATCCCACTCCCACTGTTTGCTCACAGAAACCCTAGCTCGACGACCAGTGGTCTGTTTGGCCGCCTCAGGAATCAAATCACGCCACTCCGATTGCGCAATTCGAGCAACCACTCCCAAAGAGCACTCCCGGATCTTCGAATCTGCTTTCCCTTTCCGAACGGAAAAACGGAACACGAAGAACCAAAATGAATCTGGTCTCAAGATCGCCCTTGTTGGATGCTTGAAGGACATCTTGAGGACATCAGTCCCCACTTCCAGACTACGCCCTTCATGAATCCAATCGTCAAACCAAATACATCATCCGAAAGGCCTATTCCTGTGCTTGCTTGTTTCAATCATCCAGACAGGGTTGCACTAAGATCAGCGACAACACTGTCTACTGCAAGGCCGGTGTGAGGGACATCCACCAAATCACAAGGTCCTTGGGCTTCTCAACGTCCAAAGTCTTGGGTATCTCAGGCCCTGGAGGAAGTGTTCCACGGCTTCAAGATATGACAATGTCACGTAATTTGGGTCCACTTCTGTGATCCAGAGCTGGAACCAGGGTAGCCATGGGAAGCTTCTGACCAGGGTCTGAATGGCTCCCAGGCACTGTTGGTGAGAGCACATAGCAGTGGCGACCCATTGGCTCAAAATCAGCAATGTGACTTTTGGATAGTTTCCGAACAAACACCAAAACTACCAGAACAAAAAATAAAAAATAAAACTGTCCAGCTTCGTGTGCTGCCTGTTCTGCAATGCCATAGTTTGCTCCACTTTTGGCAACCAGTAACACAAACATTGTTTACATATCCTACCTTGCGAACCAGGACACCCTTTGGTTGGTTGCTTGCTTGCTTGCTTGGTTGATTGGTTGGTTGCTTGCTTGGTTGAGACTAAAGGGAAACCCAAAGACTTGGTCAACGTTCAGCCCCAAACCCAGGATCTGAATCCAAATATTCCCCTCATCTTCAGAGACAGTCCAAAAAGGGTAACCCCCCCCCCCGAAAATCAAATGGAACTCTCCAGAAAGGATACTTTGGTGGGGGTTCCACTCTCTAGTGCACATGCTATCAAAACCAGACACGCCCGAAGAAATTTCAGACCCAGCCTGCGGCGTGATGTAGTTCATGTTGACCTCAAGTTCCCACGGGGCGTTTCTTGGCCGCATACCAAGCGTTTGGCCTTGGGGCCGACTTTCTGGGGGGTTGTTGGGTTCCTGACCTGCGCACTCCGAGCACGCTTCGGCTTTGGACCGATCCCTTGAAGCGCCAACTCCTCTCAAGTCATTTCGCCGCCACCTCCCCGAAAGGGGGCAACATGGGGCCACTTGCTTGCGCGATGCCGGGTGAGTGGCAGGTAAGTGTGATAAATTCCTTCACTGCTTTCCCCGCAAGAATAAGTAAAACCCTTGCGCGCAATGGCTCTCACAAGGGGCTTGCACCCTCAGACCCTGCCTCTAGCAGGAGTTCCTTCTGCCAGCAACAAAGCAATGCAACGAGGGGTTGGCAAAGCTGAGGCAAACAACAGTACCCTGGCTCTCTTAAAAGCGATACGGAAACCAGAAGAAGGATGTTTCAGCAGTGGGCTTATCCGGCTACTTCACATCCTTGTACACTACATCCCTGTACAGTGTACAATAAAATAAAACTTCATGGGCACCCCTTAAAGTATTCTTCCCTTGGCTCCCACCAAACAAATTTAGTGGGAGCTGGACCAACAAGCCAATCAATCTTGGTTTCCTCGAGTGCAATCGACGACTGTCAGTTATCCAGCTTCTTGGAAAAGGTTGGATTGAAAAAGTGTTCCCAGATGGCTGTGACATCAAAGAAGGGACCCTTCCGTTTCACTCAGTTGGACAGGGCGCCAACAGGAGATGGGTGCTGTTGAAAAGGGTCCCGGTCCCGGTCGAGGCTTGTCTTTTTGCTGGGGAAGCCAACAAAAAACCGTCCGTTTCCCGGGCTTTTCGAGGTTTTGTAGAAAGAAGGATCCCTGGAAAGAATGGGGGTACCCCTAGAAAAAAGAAACCAACCACCTGAAGGAATTGGTCCCTCATTTTGAGAAACACCCAGATCGATTCAACCTCTCAAGAAAGCCATCGGAAAAGAAACCCAAAAACACGCTTCTTCGGGATGGCCTTGGGAACCATTCTTAATTGTAAGATGGCAGGGGCTTCCACCATACATCTGTGCACAAGCTATTTGGTACTGTAGGATCCGTCGCCTTCAACTTTCAGCGATGAAATGTGTGTCAACTTTAACCAGCACATCAACTTTTGCAGAGGGACATGGGCCAAGTGGAATGCCTTTCATTGCTGCCCTTTTGGGGGCTGGTTGAAACGGAAGCCAAAGGGAAACACTATGTTTGGGGGCCCCTTACTTCAAGACACATGCCTAGATGGTTGCCACACAAAAGTATATGGGGTTCTCTCGCTCTATCTCTCTCTTACCCTTTTTGGTTTTGCGCCCAAGGGAAACCCAATGGACAACCACAACTTTGCGGGCTCCCAATTTTTAACTGGGCTGCCCTCAGGTCCGCTAAAAGTTTAACTTTCAGTTGGTTAAATGGAAACTACTACTAAACACTAAAAGGCTAAAAAACTAAGTGGATGGCTGGGAGCCACCAGGCAAAACACACCCACGGAATTGCTTTGACCACATCAGCCAGAGCGACCCTCAGGCTCCGCAGGCACGGCGGCAAGGCGCGCGCGAGGGCACGCAAGCCTGGCAGACAGAATGGGTGAGAGTAAGGACTACGTATACAAAGCGAAATATATATACATATGTATATGTGTATGTATGTATGTATGCATGCATGCATGTATGTATGTTTGTATGCATGCATGCATGTATGTTTGTATGTATGTATGTATGTATGTATGTATGTATGTATGTATGTATGTATGTATGTATGTATGTATGTATGTATGTATGCATGTATGCATGTATGCATGTATGCATGTATGCATGCATGCATGCATGCATGCATGCATGCATTATATTCATACATGTATATGTATACAATCAGATATACGGGTATTTTGTTTGACGTGCCCGCACCGGGAAGTTGGCATAGGGGGTATGAAGCGCAGGTATGGTTCGGGGTATGATTCGAGGGTATGGTTGGGGGTCTGGCCCGCTCGGCTCAGAATGCTTGTTTTATGGTTTTGGGCGCTGCAACTCTCGCTTACACTGGCAGGCAGATAGCCGGGAGAAACGGGCCCCCTCCCTACACATCTCCCCAGTGGCCATGGGAAAATATCCAAAGAAAAACATGAGCAAAGGATTTGCACCTTTGTTTGGCAGACTGTTTCCCGAAGCAAGTTGCGCAAGGCGCTTGTGCAGGGCACTTAGGAAAAGAGCAACTTGCAAAGAGTATCTTGAACCCAGAACTTGCGCCGGGCAGATTGCAGAAAGCAACCTGTGCGGGGGCGCTGGCGCTCGCGAGATCGACGTGCAGATTTGCGCAGAGCACAAGTGCCACAACAACAACTTGCGCGAAGCACCTCGCACCGCCTCGCACAGAGCCATCGAAAAGAGCCACTCGAAAAGAGCTACCTGCGCAGAGAGGTTGCGCAGAGCAACGGCGCATAGCAATTTGCACACAGCGTCTTGCAGCGCGACACTGCGCAGTCCACTTGCACAGCTGCACTTGCTCAGAGCCAAGTCTGCAGATCCCTCAGCTCCTTCTGTGGAACGCTCACCATTTTTTGGGGGGGCTTGTTATCATCGTAGTGGGAGGACTGAGGGCTTGGCAAGACATGGCGCCAACATGCTTTCAGGCCAGTCGAACTCTGGAAGGAACCCCCCCAAAGAAAATGAGCCGACCAGGGGGCCTCCCAACCTACTCGTGCGCCCTCAGTTGCCTGCATCCGCGAAGGCGTTCTCGTTCAGCGACAAGCTCCGCAGAGTGTTGCAGGTCGCAAGCTTGGGCGCCAGGGCAATGAGCCCGGGGTCGCCCAAACAGTTCTCGTCCAGCTGTAGCTCCTGCAACAGCACAAACACACAGAAGAAGTGGACCAAAACCGGAGGTGTGTGCCTTAACTGCTGTAGCTTGTGAGGAGATGAGTTTCCTTTCTCAAGCCTCAGGATTGGGTTGTTCCTCCAGAACAACAGCTTCGTGGAGCCAGAGCTCGTTTCACCCCAGAGCTTATTCTTTGCGCGACGGGGCATTTCCGTATCCAGTCACAACAGGGGATGTGTTCTTCAGCTAAACGGCCATTGGCGTGGGTCCTCTGATAAGATCAGGACCACCCTACTCAACACTTTTCTGCCACTCCCGTACCCCCGGCCCTATTTGGTTTGATTTGGCTGTAAGCTTGTTCCTTGCCAGTGCTGCGGAAGTTTGTGGCTTCTTAGCTTCCGCCTTTTTGTGGCTTTTACGACTTAGCAGTCTCCAAAAAATGCGGAGCCGGCCCCTGAAAAATGACCACGGCTTTCCCTTCAAATACCAAACACTCAGACCACCGGCGGCTTTCCCGAAGCGGCGCTGTGAGCCGATCGGATTTCTGGCCTCCAGCTGCGGCGGGAGGTGCAACGCCGCCACCCCTTGGCCCAGCTGAACCTGCCCATGGCGCGACTCGGGGCATCTCTCTGTTGACGGTACCTGGTTTGGGGGTGGTTCTAAAGGGAAGCAAGAAGGCAAACCATCTTCATCATGACCACGAGCGGATAAAGCTAGTTTTATATTTCATTGAGCCCCTCGCAGTGTGTTGTTATTTGTTGCGTGCTTGCGGCGTCTCTGTTGAGTTGCGGCTGATATTGCACCGAGCACCTGCACAAAGCAGCTTTTACTTAACTCTTCCGAGGGTTCCAGTTCCCATCAGATCGTTGACTTGCAAATCGACGACCGATTCGCGGGTGCAAAACAAAGCATTCGAATTGGGCTATTCGTGGATGCCTCAATTCAGGCTTGTGACGTTGGTCAGTGCTGACTTACGGGTGACAAATTTGGGCGACAAGGATTCAAGGAGCCCCAGTAGACTGAAAAAGAAATCCTAAAGGTCGTGTAAACACTGGTTCTTCCTGGGTGTTGAGCAAGTTACCAGGGGCGACTCATGGCGACTCGCATGGAATGTGCAAAACGAGGGGTGTTGGGTTCCCGTGAAAATATGTGGCGGGAGGATACAGGGGAAAACAAACCAGCCGGAGGCCTTCGTTTGGGGAGAGATCCCGCTAGGGCTGCAAAATCATGTTCGGCTCAAGGGGCAAGGTGTCTTTTCAAACAAGAACGGCAACTGAATCCGCCATGCAAAGCGGGGGTTTGAACAGCCCCCATCTCTTTACCCATTCTCTTCAAACGACGTTTGATCCCTGCTACGAGAATCAGGAAGGTACCAGCTAGAACGAGATCATTCTCGACCCTGGAGGAAAAAACCCTCTGGGGCCCTAGTCAATAGGGGCTTCCCACAAAAGACGAAAAGATCCCGAAGCCTCACTTCCTGAGTGGCTTGGCCACCAAAAGTCCAAACGTGTTGCCACTAGAAGCCCACAAACTGACAAAAGTCGAACTCAAGTGGCTGTGGTCAAAACCCTGTACCCCTGGTGAGCATCAAAATAGGTGGTACGTGGGTGTTCATCCGCCCCAAAATGGGATCGGCATAGGTTACCGATGGCCAAGTGAGAATCCGGCGGATTTCCCTTTTGGCCGAGCCACCTTACGGGGCCTGGAAGTCACCCACTTTGAAGTCACTTGCTCAAAACCCGGTATTCAAATGGTAATCCCAGAACCATGCGTCAAGAATTAAGAAGGCGGATATCCGCAACTATTTCTGGCAGGACTGCCCCTTACTAACCTTCATCTACCCGAATCGGTTTTGAGCAAGTGGCTCACGGGACCTCGGCCAACTCGCGCCGCGCCACGCGCCGCGCGCCGCGCCTCCGCGAGGCTGAGCCGCGCCACTGAGCGCAGCTGCCCCAGGTCCAGGGAGAGGCCCGCGCGGCCCAAGGGCAGGCGGGCGAGGCGGAGGCTGGTGAGGTCCAAACCTGACGCCCGGTAGTTGAAATCGAGCCCCGAGAGCGCAGGCCCACCAGTCAAGGAAGGCCCGCTTAAACACCACCACAAACCCAAGGCGATTGAAGTGACTAAGGCACCACGGTTCATGAAACTACGGTTCATGAAACCATGGTTGAAACAATAACGTTGCTTGGTATTTACAGGGGAAGCATCAGAAACCAGGGTTGATAAAGGCGGTGCAGGATTTCCTCCATCCGCAGTATTTGCACCACGCAAATTGGAAGTAAACTTTGGAAGGGTGGTAACAGTTGTGCGGTACAAATTTACGGAAGGGTGGTAAAATATGTGTTGTTCCCTACCCTGATCTGGAACAACTATATGAACAATTGTCACACAATCGGTCAACGACCCTCAGCACCGGATTTAGTCATCATTTTAGCCAAGGGCAAGCATGTCTCCGATGGCCCATTGACACAGTAGCCCTTACTCAAAGGCCACTGCACCATTTACCTAAGGGCTGCTAAGTACAGCCCAGCCATGTTCCCCAAGCGTTTTGGCCATTTGAATGGAAGGATCCCTGCAACTGGGAAGATACAGCTACAAAACTGAATCTCGCCGGAGGAATAAACCCTGGGGCTTAATAGGGGGGGTTCCCCAAACAGTGACAGACTTGCGAGTTGGACCCTCCTGTCAGTTGCTAGGTTTACATTCCGGCTTCAAGATGACAATGCAGCAACCTTGTTGTCTAAAGCTGTGCTTTACTTGACCCTTACTCCATACCTAGCCTGCTTGGTTAGCTTAGTAGCTGGTTACCAGGTACTTCAAGCTGATACTTCTGAAGGGGTCTGGAACACCCACAACGATAAAACCCATCAGACTGGGCACGGATGGATTTTTCGGACCCATTCGGATCACCGGAAGAGGATCCAAGGCGATGCATGTTGCTTCCCGAGTCGGGCAGTTGCAAATATCGAAATGGGGTTCATACAACCGACCATTTACCTAGGTCCACCAGTAGAGAGGTTAGAATAAGGGTACCAGATTCTTTTTTCTGCAGTCCATTTTTAGTAGGGTCCCGAACCCTCCCCCCAAAAGAAGGGGCGAAAGAGCACTACTGGGGGACCTACAAGTAGTTACTGTTCAGGATTGTCATCTAAATTGGGTTGAAGCCTAAGGTGTAAGGGCCGAAGGGTTTCGGATAGCGAATCAGAATCAACCCTCCTCGATTTGATTAAGTCTCCTGGAGCAAAACGACATATTCCCAGTATAGTCATTAATTCCCTTTGAACTCAACAGGGGAAACTATCTGGGTGAATTGTAATATTTCACCAACCTGAAATAAGGTGGTTGGGGGGCTATTCCCCACATAAGCCACCATTTGGGTGAGGTCGTGTGAGGTCGTGTGAGGTCGTTATACTTCACCCATAAGTATAAACAAAAAACGTATTCTTAGGTATATATGCGTTCTTCAGCCAATGGAGGCCCTTCGAGTTGTGAGGCTTGCGCTCGGTGGCCGATTCGGCTGCCGAGCGGCAGCTGGGCAGGCGGCGCAGCAATGTCTCCAAGCCTGCGCGGGGCTTTGAGGGTACCTGTCCATGTTTTTGGCGCTAGTTTAAAGGCAAAGGGAAAGGAAACCTCGTAATTCCTAATTCCTGATGGTGGACCGGGTTCCCCCTCCAACAGAAGCTGAACAAAGGAAAAGTCTGTTTGTTGGTTGACTTTGACTAGGTCCTCCAGTACAAATAGATTAGAAAAAGGTCTTTTTTGGGCGGTACTAACTGCCCAGGGCTGTGGGAAATGGAATCCACTTCTGTGATACAACAATATGGGCTTCCCAAAGACTAACCCACCACATAACGGGGGAGATTCCCTTGTATCACAGAAGTGGGATAAAACCCCTTGATCCCACAACCCTGACCCTGCCCCTTTAAGTATTCCACTTGTATAAGGATAATTTTCCGAACCCATCCCTCTGCTCGCAAATGGTCGATAACCTTTTGTCCTCCAGTAGAGAGGTTAGAATAAGGGTACCCGATTTGTTTCTGTAGTCGATTTTTGTAGGGGAACCCTCCCCCAAAAAAGGGTAAAAGGGCACTTCTGGGGGACCTAGGAGAGCCATTGGGCCTCATATCTTGCGGGGTTTCCAAAAAAACAAAACGTGTACAACGGGTACGTCTCAGAACTGGGAAGCCCATTCTGGATGGAAACCAGGTAACACTGGGAACAATTCAGCATTTGGGCGGTGCAGGCTCCGTCGGATCCTGTTTTGTTGACTACCAACTGGTTTCTCCGGGCCCATGAACCCAAACCCTGGGGTTCCAACAGCTATCAAAACAATGGGGGTTCATTTAACCATAAAAGGTGAGGGGGGCAAGGAACCCCAGGGCAAAGGTAACATGGAGACCCTCCATTTGCTTAAGCCCCCTGGGAAAAAAAAACAAATCCAGCAGTGACAGATTTCCTGTAAAACCAACAGAAAAAAAGTCACACAAATATTCATTTCAGCAAATGGAAGAAACTGGAGAAGCTGACCTCCGACGGATCTCCCGAAGCCCACCTTCAGCACCGAAGGTGTTGGAGCTAAGGCACAGCTGCTGCAGCCTGCGCCGCCAGCGTGAACCCCAGCTTTGGGCGAAAAGGTCGCACGCGTCCAGTGGCGTTGCTATGCGAGTCGATTCTTTTAAAGGGAACCCTACTAGGTCCTCCAGCAGAGAGGTTAGAATAAGGGTACCAACTTTTTTCTGTAGTCTGTTTTAGTAGGGGAACCCTCCCCCCAAAAAAGTGTAAAAGGGGGGGCACTACTGGGGGACCTACCCTATCCAAACGAAAGGAACTTCAGGAACACAGGGCTTGGTTCCAAAGCAGTGAGCAAGCATCCCATGGTTAACCAATTGGGCTAACCTCTTGAAAGCTTTCCAACAACAAAAACCATGTTGAGAAGCACCGATGGTTATGGAACATCCCCATAAATCCCCAACCAATCAGAACCAACCAAACAAAGAACTGTGCGGTTGGGAGAGAGAGTCACTCAAAAGCAGCACATGGTCATGTAGTCCTTTGTACCCCCTGACACTCTGCAGACAAATACGAAAAAACACACTCCAAAACATCAACAAGTCTGTTTGTTACAACAAACCGTGTACCCCTGGTACCTCAATTATTTTGTAAACCCTCTGGTCCTCTTCACGGCACGGAACATGGTTGTCCACCAGGCAATACTGAGATACTCGGCTTTTGCTGCTGTAATGTCCACCTAGTATTAGTAAATGGGTGTGGAACAAGGCACGAGCAGCCCGAACAAGTGCTGACAAAAATAAAGACACGCACCCCCGGGAAACCCAACAAAAATAGTTAGACAACTACACCAACAAAAATATTTGAGCCTGCTCCGCAAAGTCATATTGTCTCACATGTCTCTTGTTTCAAAAACTGCCCACAATCAAACCCACTAACGGGGTAGTACTTCAGGCCGCAACTTGACTTTATTTCAGGGGCCCCTTCCGGTAAAGTCTAGTTGCCTGGCACATCAAAATCTCAAACGGAAGCTCCAGCAATACTAAATCAAATGGAAATTCAACTCAGTTCCACATCTCAAAAGGAAACTCCAGCAATACTACATCACCATTGAAATGGATCTCAATATATTTTCGCAGGTACCCCCTCTGTTGACCCGCCTTTTCCACTGAAGAGTTTCCAAATACCCCTTGCCTCGTTTTTTTGTTTGGGGGGGGGTATAAACCAGGTCCATTCATTGCAGTGGTTGCCCCCCAGTTCCGGAACCGGCTTTCCCGGACGTCCACACATCCCGCCTCGGCGGCAGGTGTTTGGCGAGCGCGGAAACGCCCAGGTCCCCCACCGAGTTCTGCGACAAGTCCAGCAGTTTGAGGCTCGCTGGCAGTTGTGGGGCCAGCCTCGGCTATCGACTCATGGGCCCTTGGCCCTTGGCCTCAGGGCAAGGCCCCAGAGACCCCAAAGCTTGGACATGTTCAAAACATGTGTTGAGTTTTCCTCAAGCTTCGAACCTTGACCAAATGTGGGCCAGTTTCAGGGGGGAGCCTTTTGAGTTTTCCGAAGACACCTCAAGGTCGTACCACTTGAGCGGAATGCAGTGCAAAGACTTGGGCATGAATTTTAGTCAGGGACCCTCTGGTGGACATCATTCAGGTTGGGTTTTATGTCCACCAACCACTTTTCAGGGAGTTCTTTCTTGAAATTCATGGCCACTTTGACTTTTCGATAGGGTACGCACTTCAGACCGCGAATCTTAGAGAATCGGCCAAGGGCCCGTCCTGGAGACTGTTTTGGTGGGGGCGCCTCCCATCCCCAATTTGTGCAGCGATCGAAACCCAAGGACTGTTGGTTCTACTAGCATGGTTAATGTTCACCCCGGATTAAGCAGAACCCCTGGTTGATTTTCGTCGGGGGGTGTCCCCTTTTAGTGGGGATTCATCACTGTTGGAGGGAACACCCCCCTAATAATGGGACGGGTTTATTAATCCTGGGTCAACATTATTGTGCAGGCTTACATAGGCCTTATTCTAACCCCAACTAAACCATTAAAGCTGGGAGTAGAACCACCGACTAAAACCCGCCATAGAAACCGGATTCAGGCTTTTCTCAGTTTGGGCCACAAGGTTTGTACCACGAACAGGTCGTACCTCCGCCGAGCGGCGCCTGCATTCCTAGATCCGAGATCTGGTTCTCGGCGAGGACGAGCTTCACCAAACTTTGGCTGTGGAGCAAGACCTGCCAACGGTTCAGGGTCACCCTCGGTTAAAGGGGAGCGGTACCCATGATTCTGATATATAGCCCATACACATGCATATATATATATACATGGATATACATATCCTGGAGCCTCCATTGCTACCTTAATTTTTGCTACGACATATTTTTGCTCGTGACACGTTCTTCTCAAAAAAACGCTCGTTTTAACAGAAAGTGCTCGAGACATCCGCGCAAATGCAATTTGCTACCTGCGATTCGTAGCATTTTTTGAATTTGCGCTCGTTTGCGCTTTTTTGCGCCGATTTGCGCTCGTTTTGCATTTTTTTGCACATTTGTGTGCCCGTTTTGGCGGCAACTTGACCCTGGGGATCAAGAAAACACGGCCGAATGGGATTTCTGCCCGAATCGTCAAAAAGCGCTCGGAAGCGAATGGGAGGCAAAAAGTGCTACGTCGAGTCAATTTTGGTATCGAACAAGGGGGGAGGCAGAAATTTATGCTACGATGGAGGTTCCAGGATATATATATATATATATATATATATCACGTGCACGTCTATATTATATATATAGCGCTCACAAGCCGCTGAATTGCGAGTCATTCCTAGGCTGATTGCAATATGTCCACATATAAGCCATGATCAATTTCCATGTTGGACCCTTTTGGGGGCCCTCAGTCTTTGAATCTGTTGAAAGGAAACGGTACCCCTATGCTACCTTGGAAGTAGAATTGGCCAGCCCAGGAATGTCAAAGTACAACTCTTCCTGTTTCTCGATACTTCGAGCTTTTCGAGCAGCCTTAAAACCCGGTTTCCAGGGATAGTCCATGGCCAAAGAGGAATTTGGCTTGGGAACATATCCCGTGAACAAAACAAGTGGCTTCTCTGCTTTTGAAGGAACCCCTAAAATCAATGGTGTCCATGGCTTTTTCCCTTTAAACCAACCGGACACGGGTGCCGAGCCAACAAGAAAACGAGCGACCAATTAGAACTATTGGACCCACCAAACTCAAATCTCACGTGAATGCATTAGCCTTTAAAAAAACGTCCAAGCCATTCAGCAAATGGAATCCAATTGCCTGGACCTTGACCCATAAAACAATGGTACGAAGGCAAAAACACAGAATCGGTCCTTTGTGGGGTCCAGGCTAAGTAAGTGGTTTCCTTTCACTCAGTTGTCCAGAGGACCCAGAAACAACAAGTGATCACCTTCTGGGGCCATGACCACATATGGACCAAAGGTGAAAAACCAAAAGGTCAGATCCGGTCGATTCGCTGTGGGCTTTTGTGAGTTCAACCCATTGAACGAAGACTCATAACCGCCGTTTGCTAAAGCCCGCTGGGGAACACAAACATACTTTCAGTAGTGAAATCGATTCCCTTTTAATAATCCAACAGGAGAAGAAATATAATAAACAAGTATTCTTTGCCACTTGGAAGATAACCATGGCCTTTTCGGGTTATCTCACCATGTTTCTTCCCCACGTACCCTGCATCGACCTCGCCGCTCCTCGCCTCTGCAAGCTGCACCGCGTGAAAGTCGTCCAGGCCGAAGCCGCTGAAATCCATCCATTCCTCGCGTCGAAAATTCCCGGCCAGCGGAAGGCTGTGGCGCAAACACAGCGGAGACGGACGCCCCAAAATCCCAATGTGGCACCTCCGAAAACCGCGCCGTCCGAAAACCGGTTTCATCTGCGGTTTGGGAAGCCCCAAATTGGCACCTTGGTATGATAGGAAGAAAAGGAAGACAAGAAAACCTGCGGCTTGCCCCAGCGGTTGATTTAATGTTGAGCTAGAAGTGAGTGCAGCCCCAAACAGGGCAGAGGGCAATCAGCTAAACGGTTGAAGGGTTGGACGGGGGTCTGTGGGGGTTTCCGGTTTGGGATGGACCCTCAGATCCTCAAAGGCGGAGCCATTTATAGAGGAATTAGAGGAGTCTACGCTTGGGTGACGCCTCTTTTGAGGTTCCTTCCGCTACTTTCCGCAGCAGGGCTTAGAAGTTGAGAACCATATGCCCAACGAAGGCCAGGCGATAGCAGTGCAGCCTGGGTTCATGCTCATTCGTTTTGGGTTATGTTTGGGAGAAGGGGATTGGACTCATGTAAGCAGTGCCTAAAATCCGTTGACTGTTTGTTCTACCAGCATGATAATGGTTTCTGGGCTGTCCTCACATCCCCTGCTAGTTGAACTTTTGGTGGGTCAAATGGAACCCACCCTCTAAACCCTGAAAACCTGAAAAAACCCAAGGGGACGAAGGTCCATGCCCATAGGGTTCAAGTAGCCGCTTTTTTGTTTAGCACATTTGTAGGGTTCAAAAAATTAGGACCCGGGGGACTGCAGATTTTTGTTTTCGTTGTCTAGAAAACTGGAGTTCCAAGCATTGGCATCCCAACGATTTGCAATTCCTGGGTGGTCCCAAGGAATAACCAAAGATCAGAAACATGCCATGGTTGAGCCAAAAAGAAACATCATTCCATGTTCAACCCTCCCAATCTGAAACAATGCATCTCTGAGAACCCCGGATTAACAAAGCCAAAGGTTGATTTTGATCCGGGTCCCATTGAAGAGCCTTTTTAATGGCCAGAGTCAGACCACGTTTGGAGGAACACTCAGGGAACCAGACGTCCCCAGTCTTCTGCCAGTATCGACGCCACCCCCCAACTTAATAGGTCGAAGTGAGCCCATTTAGTTTCTCACTTTGATAACCCCCACAAAGCGGTCAAAACAAGCATCCCAGCACCACCTTCAACTCGTCGTGCCTGCAAAAACTGCCCCCCACCCCCGGGTCCAACTCAAAGGATCGAACAAACATCTGCTGAACAAATGGGCACGGGCAGAAACAAGTTCTGTGGTGACACCATGTTTTTGGTCCAAATTTGGTGTCTAGGTCCTCCAGTAGAGAGGTTCGAATAAGGGTACCAACTTTTTTCTGATTTTTTGTTAAAGGGGAACCCTCCCCCCAAAAAAGGGGTGAGAAAGGGCAGCTAGCTGGGAGACCTAGGTGCCTACCCCCTTTTGGAGTTCCTTTGAAGGAAACCCAGGCACTCCGCCTTTTTTTCCTTGCTAGTGCTCAGCAGGCAATGAGCACTGGAATGACCCCCAATATCAACAAAAAACATCCTCTGGTTTCCATCCTATACGGGAGTCCCCAAAACCGGTTCATTCAACCAACTCCCCTGCAGTTGTCATTCCCTACCTATCGCACCGATCGCAGGCTTCGGCTTCGGTCCGAGCGTCTCGGGCGCCGAGCACCCGCTCGAAGGCCTCTTTGTACAAGCCCTGAGTCGAGGCCCCGTCACTTGGACCTAGGGATTTCCCATAAGAAAGGGCACCTTGAATTCTTCCACTTCCATTTGGTTAAGACCCCCGGAAAGAATAACAATATTTCCAGTAGTGCTAAATTATGAAAAACTCCTTTTACAACCAACCAGGGACAAAATGCAAGTCCAAGGTCTCAAGTCACAAGAACAAAAAGAAGCTCAAGCTTGGTACATGAAGGGAATCCCTCTCCCATACACCAGTCCAAAAGACAGAAAACCCGAGGCCCAGCGCGAATTTACATATCCCCCCCTTCCACACCCTGGTTCTGTGGTTCTGTGGGATGGATCTGATGGGATCCCGACATGAAAATGGATGGCCCATGGCCCTTTGGCTTCGTGGCCCAAGGACTGCTCTACCACAAAAAAGTATCCCAGAAAGCCCGGCAACCAATTCCGCAGCCATGCTCTGAACAACCACTTTTGCTTTAGCAGTATTATCTTTATACACTGGAATTTGCTCACAATCATTTAAATGCGATGCTGGTGGTGAGCTCAATTTGAGTTCTGCAAAGTATTCACTTCACATGACATCCCCGCAAACAGTGAATGAAGCCACAAAGGCCGCACCCGTTTGAACATAAGTCAAGACATGTGGCTAACAAAAGGCAGGGACAAAATTTGTAAATCCTCTTGGTGCTTGTAGGATATTCTGACCAAACTCTTGCGCGACACCGGAGATCACTGGGCATGGTCCAAAGGCAGGGTCCCGCGTGAGGTGTCTATGAATCTGCACCAAGTATGCTTCATCATGCCCAGGCTCAGTTTATGCCCAGAGCTCGCTATACATCCCAGTTAAATCAAGGCGGACCTTCATCCAGATCAAGAACATGCTTCAGCATTGCTCTGGCTTGAGAAATTGGCTTGCCTTGCAGGCATTCTGGGGCAGACAATATGACAATATGCCTATGCTTGCTTCGCTTGCAAAGATTCTCTGGACACAAGCTGAAGTTTGACTGCCAAAGACATGTCAAAGGGACCCCAGCCCACTTCAACCCTTTTGCGCCTTGTTTGGACCTCCTTCAAACCGTTTTGCGGAAAACCCCTGGGAAACAGGTTCGCGACACGTCCGCAGATCCCACCCGACAGATCCACCTAGATTCCACCAAATTCAGCTCGCAACAAAGGGCTTGGTGCGGTCTGATTTGGCGCAAATCGGGGGGAGAGATCAGGCTTTGGATCCAAACAAGTCCGACGCTCCTCAACTAGGTCCTCCAGTAGAGAGGTTAGAATAATTTGGTACCAACTTTTTTCCGAATGTCAATTTTAGTAGGGGAACACCCCCCCCCCCAAAAAAAAAAAGAGACGGTAAAAGTTGGCACCTAGCTGGGGGAGTTGGGTCGCGGCACCTTGATGATCTCGAAGTCCTTCGGTCTTTGGAAGTGCATCCTGAGTGCTCCAATTCTCATGGGCTCTTTCTCATGTTGTGGGGAGAGGAACGAGTGCCCCATGGTAGGAACAAGTGCCCCATGGTAGGCACCCCAAGAAAGGAACTGTACCATTTCGCTCACTCTCACTTGGTTCTAGGGACTTGAAAACCGACTGTTCGCCTGCGACCTTGACTAAAACTGAACCCGTCGGAGCCTAAGAGCTCAAAAGGCTGGGTTTCGTCTGAACTTATTCTCTGACATGTTGTCCGTGGCTCTCCCAACCAAAAAAACGGGTTCAGACTTTGATCCATGCTGATGGACGAACTCCCATACCAATTGATAGGTGTGTCACATTCATGTGTCTTCATCGGGCTGGTGTCGGAATTCGTCCATCCACAGGACCCAACCCCTTCTGAAGTGGATTGTCCAGCAAAAGAGCAGACCCGTGGTTTGCCACTAAACTAGTTCTGCAATACAACATCATTTGGAGGAGACCCCCCAAGTGTTCAGCTAATTTCAGCCATGTTCAACGCGTCGCCACCAAGAAGGTGGTCTTGTCACGGGTCCACACGGCAATCTCCTTTTTGGTTTCCCCTTAAAGTCAAGCAACGGGGCTTTCCTCAGAACAACCAGTCGCCAGTTGATGCTGATTGTCAAAATGTTGAACGTGCGTAAGACTTTTTATAACCCACAAAAGCCGGGGTTATGCCAGGCTTGCTAACCACTTACCTTTCGTGCCCTGCCCCTTTAACTTGCTGCTGCTTAGCGGGGAATGAGACATTCGAATGACCCTCATAAACCATCCAACTGGTGCTTTGCTATAAGGGGACCCCTTGGTTCATTCCCAACACCCGCACTCGGTCATTCCCTCTCAGCACCAGCAAGACAATGCTTTTTTGTTTACAGGTACCCTCAGGTTGGTTAAGGTGGTGAGCCCGTGGAGGTTCCGCAGACTCGTTTTTAAAGGTAGCCTCAGGTTGGTTCTTGAGGTGGTGAGGTGGAGGTTCCGCAGTCCAGCCTGCAATGGGTCGACCGCCGCTCATTCCAACTTTCAGCACTGCAGGTGGACTAGATCCTCCAGTAGAGAGGTTAGAATAATTTGGTACCAACCTTTTTCAGGATGTCTATCTTAGTAGGGGAACCCTCCCCAAAAAAAGAAACAGCAAAAGTTGGCCCCTAGCTGGGGGACCTAGTGGATCCGTCAAGCCGACGTCCGCTCAGGCTGCCCCAAGGCGCTCCGAGAGGATCACGTCGAAGGCTGGCGGCACCAGCGGCAGACTATGGGCCCAGTCCAGGCGCTCGTCGAGGTCGCTGACCTCCCAGCAATCATTTGCTTAAGGGTCTTGGTATCACAGGGTCTTGGTGCCAAACACACCATGCTCCAACCGGGTTGCCCCTTCAAAAGCTGCAATCTACCGGTGGTTTCCATTGAAGCTGCCACCTTTCAAGGTTCCCAAAAAAAGATATTCTAAATCAGGGAAGCCGGGGGGAACACGCCTGAGCTTTTCCTCCATTGGCTTAAGCCCGCTGGAAAAAATAAAACATATTTCCAGTAGTGAAATCGATTCCCTTTAAAACCAGCAAGGGCAAAAAACAATGTTAAGCAAATGGATGCCAAACAATCAGCAGGAAATACTCTACGGGACATCCTTGTTTTTGATGGGCGTTCGCACAGTTTTCTGTTGGATTTGTTCATGGGTTTTCGGCAAGGGTCCCGTTTTTTTGCATTGCAATTTGGCCTCCTCTAGGAATTCCTGGTTCACTGGTTTCTCTCTCACCAAACGAAAAAGTTTTTCCAGCAATGATTTGGAGTCCCTTTTTGGAACCCCAAAGGTATCAGCAGCTTCTCTTGTTTGGAACCCCTTTTTTTTCCGGATTTTTTTTTTTGGAAACTGGGGGGAACAAGCCTCCAGCAGCTTTTCCCCGCCTCCAGCAGCTTTTCCCGGGAGTTGGAGGCGAGCTGCGCCAGGCACCGCTGGAGCCAAGTCCACGGCGCAAATGAGCGCGTCAGCGACCAGGTGGTCGTGAAGGGCGAGGCGAACCACTCCTGAGACACAGACATCTGCATATGTGTTAGGGTTGGTTTAGGTGGTTTAGGGTTGGTTTAGGTGGTTTAGGTGGTTTAGGGTTGGTTTAGGGTTGGTGGAGGTGGTTTAGGGCTGGTTTAGGTGGTTTAGGGTTGGTTTAGGGTTGGTTTAGGTGGTTTAGGGTTGGTTTAAGTGGTTTAGGGTTTAAGTGGTTTAGGGTTGGTTTAGGGTTGGTTGAGGTGGTTTAGGGTTGGTTTAGGTGGTTGAGGCTTGGTTGAGGCTTGGTTTAGGGCTGGTTTAGGTTTGATTTTGGGACCACCTAACTAGGGGTTGATTGCCCATTCTTTTCAACCATCGCTCTTTTCAAATGTTTCCCCTAGGGTCTTGATGGTTTCCTGAAAAGAAGGATCCCTGGAAAGAATGGAAGGTACCCCTAGATCTGCATAGGTGTTATGTTGGCAACCACCGAACTCTGCGTTCTAAAAATTAGTTGGTCCCTTCAAATGCTTGGTTTCATATGAGTAAAGTCGATGGCCCTCAGAAATGGAACAAACCAACTCTAATCCAGTGCCATCTAAATCTTTGTCTATTCAAACTAACCCGAAAAGGACACCCCGAACCCCTGGGTTGTCCCCTTTTTTTGAGCCTCGTTACGCCTTGAAAGGGAACCCAAGGAAACCCATCGCTTTGGGAGGTACCGTAGGTTTAATGGAGATGCCGATTTGTTCCCAGCAAGGTCTAAGGCGCTTTAGTCCAAGACGGTGTCATCTGAGAGAAAGGATCCCCCAATGGGAACTAAACCAGGGGAACCAAAGAACTCAGGAAACGCTTCCGGAAGTCTGATATTCCCCATGAGTTCATGAAAGCTAAGGCCCGAAAATCCCCAGAAAGGTTTGGCAGGGGTCCTTAGAGGAACCTTGGGGGGGGAGAGGAGGGAAACCAGGCCAGTGAAAATGTATCAAAAAGGCCTCTTGCTGAATGTGGACCCGGGACGCTCCCCATGCAATCTTTCTATGGGATTGCAGGACCATTCTGGCGCTGCCAATCAACTGAAAGGTCTCCTCCAAATGAACATAGCAAGCCCAAACCTGTTTTTGTTTGTACACCACTGATGTGGACCCCGGAGTACTCAACCCCAGTTTATTCATAACTGGGGTGTTCCCTCCAGAAGTGGTCTGATTCCCCACATTTCACCCATGGACACCCCGCTACTGTGGATGGACGAAATCCGAAACCATGGGAAACCATGGTTGGCTGGTATTTACAGGGGAACTATCAGAAACCCGGGTTTCTAAATGGTGCGAAATGGATTTCGCAACCATCCACAGTAGGTCAAATAAATATCAAAATAGGTCATGTTTTGGTAAAAGGGCACTACTGGGGGACCTAGCCTAGCCCCTATTAAACCGGTTGGTCGCTTCATCCGGGGCGACACCTTCGGCCGCGGCGCCACCATGGCCCCGAGCTTCGCCCACTCCGAGGCCTCTGGAGCGCAGGTGGTGTCCTGGCAGGCTCCATCGTCCGCTGGTGGTAGCTTCCGTCGATTCTAAAATGAGGAGGACAGCACTCCGAAATGCTTCCCCTTGTATTAGTTGTTTTTTGGTGCTTCCCCTTACAGAAGTTTTTTTTGTTGCCGCTTCCCCTCATATAAGTCTACGTCGGAAATTGGGTGCTTCCCCTCAAGATGCATTTGCTTGGAGCTGCCCCTTTTGGATGCGTGCTTCGGAAGGGAAACCACAAGAAACACCTGTTTTTCTTTTTTTCGGGGACTCCGAAAAAGACACACCCAAATGTTACTGCATGACATGTATGAGTTTTAATTGAACACCCTTTGCTGGACATGGCATTAATTGTATGTCCACTTAATGGTCATACCCTCTAAGCGAAAAACCTTCAATTTTAAAGGGTCAAATGGGAAAACCTGGTTTTTGGGCAAGTTTTGGAAAAATAAAGGTTTTCCAGGGAAAAACCTGGTATTTCACTTACATCCTTTATTTTGGCACTTTTCGCAAGCGAAATGTCGGATGTTTGAAGAACAGAGCAAAGGTGCCGGATCTCGAGCAGGTGTTGAAAGGAGCCGCCAGGATTCTTTCACTGCCAAATTGTATATTGGGTTTCTAGATGTTTTTTGGGAATCTCTTGTGGTTTCCTTTTGTACCGCCAAGTGCGCGATAGCCCCCTGCTCCTCAAGATTGGAGCTCAAAAGGCAGGGGTAGACGCGAGGGCGTGGTCAACCAAAACTCAACAATGCAGCGGGACAACCAACTTGAATGTACAAGTGTGCAGCTCACTACATGACCATCAGTAGCTCTGCGTGATTGACACATCATGCTCATCTTGGTACTTTTTTGTATTTTTAAAACATCAGGCAGTATCCCAAAGTGACACTTGCATTCTTTACTCGGCTCGGCGCACAAGCCAAATGCCAACAAAGCTGGCCTCCGCCTAAGTCGCACTTTCTTCCAGCACCTAACTTTGATTCGATGGGAAGCACAGTCCAAGCCAAACATGTTGCGTAGTACGTGCTTGTGCCCGAAAACCTTCGGACGTTCTACCGCAATGTCATACAAAACCAGTTCGCTGCTCGCGCAATCTAGCTGTGTGCCCGCTTTTCTTTGCTGGAAAGCTTCTGAAAGGCCGAGCGCGTGCGAAAAAAAAGGAAACCCATAAAAATCCCGTACGAATCCCATAAAAATCCCATACAAACCCATATTTGCCCGAAAACCAGGTTTTTCCTAACCCGTACAAAAACCGTACAAATCCCATAAAAATACCGTACAAACCCGTACGCAATTTATGGGATTTTCAGCCTCTGCTCAAGCAGCTTTCCAGGCCCGAGCTGCCCGAAATAAGCTTGCAAGGTGACCCTGCGAAAAGCAGTCATTCATGTGTTCATTTTACTACCTGAGCGGCCGGCAATATTACAACTACATCCGGGCGGTTTAGTGACCAAAGTTATCGTTTTTGGTAGGTCCCTATATCGTTTTACATGTTTTGGTGCATGCCTCTGCGCTTTTCGGTTTTTGATTCACAGCTCGTCTGAGGACTCATCCATAGCACTGCTGGCTATGGCAGCCTCATGCTTGCGTTTACTACGCGCATTTGCCTTTGCCAAACGCTTTTCGTCTCTTTCGACGAGCTCATCAAAAGTCAGGGGACGCTTGGCTTGCAATGACCCACGGAATGCTGCCAATTGAGCTTTGTGTTTTCTGAGGATTTCGTTCTTTCGCCCCAATGCCAAAGCTGGCTTGCGCCAAGTAGGATCTTGCCAGAAGCCTCGCTTCCATTCCAGCTGCTCTGCGTCAAGCTTCCTTTCAGTGATCTGGTAGGAGATGCGATGGCGTTGGTCGCTGTTGCCTTAGATGCGCGCGCGGTTGTTTGGAAAGAACGCAGAAAAAAAGTAGGAGATGTTATTTTGGACAAGGCGCTGAACACGCAGCTGGAGATCCGGACCGGGAACCTTGTATTTCTATTGGGCACCGCTTCCCAAGAATACGATCGCGTGATGTAGTCATCGTCTACAAAGCTCAAGGCCCAAGTCTTCCGAGGCTTTGCAGGGTTGAAGACCTTCACTGTAAACTTGGTTCCACCGGGGTTTTGCTTCGTTTCTCTTGCTGCGTAGGTTTTCAGCATGTTGACCACCTGTTCCTCTGTGTCGCAAAATGCATCAGCATTAAGCAGGAACTCGTCAAGCCATCGCCGGATAGGAGAGAAAACCTCGGAATCGCACATAGACTTGCCGTGTTTCTCAACGAGGTAATTGACCCGGCACTGTTGCTTCTTTTCTGAGGCTATCTTGTACAGGAAGTAGTACAAGTTCTCATAAGATCGGAAGTGTGTGCCAGTGTCAAAGCCCAGGATGAGCTCGTCCAGCGACCCCAAATTCTGGATGTGGTTCAAGGATTCAAGGACGCATAAGCTTCCAAAAAGTGCACTCAGCTCAATGATTTCGCTAACCAGAACCACAGCAGAGACCTGCCTCTTGCCATCACGACTGCGTTCAACAGCGTACATTGTGAAGACACTCAGGGTCTTTCTTTGGCTACCGTGGAATTGATCACTCGTTTCAGACCCACTGATTGGGATTGGTAGCTTCTCCATGAAATCAAATTGGCAATAAGCGCGGCTGGGCCCCAAATTTTCAACCCGGCTCCGCATGTTGTTTTGTTCTAGTTGCGCCGCGGCCATGTGCCATTCGTAAGCGGCAACAACTTCTGCATGGAGCCTGGCCTCAGTAAGCAACGCTCCCTCCACGTGGCGAACTCCTTCTGGCCTTGGGGCAGCTGCGCGTACTTGTTGAAAACAACGCTCGTGCAGTGGGCCGAGAACTTCTTGAACCAAAGTCAGGGAGGAACTGGTGTCAAAAGAGCTGAACAAAGACTTGAACTTCGTTCGCTTGAGCACTGGATGCCAATATCCGGGACAAACAGCTTCCATATCTGCTTTGGCGCGCTGCATGAACTCCTTGGCTCGTGGCAAAATCTTCTTGCTGTAGGACACGCAGTGGTCACAAAGATCTGTTTTCTTTCGAGCTTTTTGTACTGAGGAAAGTGCAACTTGTGGATGCTGCGGAACTGGCGGAAACTGAGGTGTCCGTGCAAGGCAGGCGAGCTCCTGAGAATCGTGGTCGGTCTTGCACATAGGCTGCACACTTGCAGCCTCTCTTTGCGTGGGCCAACGCAAGTCCAGCTTGATGGCGTGGAAAAGAAGTCCAGCGCGTCCTTGACCAGCTTCTGCCACTTGGGGTCCTTCACCTTGGAAGGTCGGCCAACAGACTTCTTCATGCTCCACTTCTTTAGGGACCTTTTCAGTTTTCTCTTGTAGTCCCCCTGCGCCACGTAGCCTAAAGACACGATCTTTTTCGAGCTAAAGCCGCTGGAAAAGACACACCCGTCAAGCGCTCGCGCGACAGGTAGGCTGACATGTTTCCATGCTTGTCGCATGGCTGCAATGTTTGCAACAAGAGGCTCACAGTGGCACTCTTTGTCTGCTGCTACCACAACGGCCGGCATGACCCCGGGAAAGGTAGCTTCTACGCGCTGTAGGACAGATGACATAAGCTTCACTGCGTCTTCTTTTGTGGAGCAATAGCTCAAGGCTTCCTCAGCTAGCTTCTGGCTCTTGGCTCGGAAGGTCCGGTCGGTCCACTCAGCAACGGTGTACGTCCTCGCCTTGCGTTGTCTGGTGGAGGCTTCGGCTTCTTCGTCGCCAATGAGAGGAGGCTCATGGTCGTGCGGTGCCGCTGTAGGAGCAGCAACAGAACTGGAGGCTGTGGTCCCACGTGGAGGTGCAGCTGTTGTCTCGCCAGGAGGCGCGAGAACGCTTGATCCAGCAAGTCTAGTTGGGGCTGCTGCAGAGAGGGATGTTGTAGTACCGGTTGCAGGCGTGACGGAGGCGTTGCCGGGTTTGAGATGCTTTGGCTCAAGGCCGGCCAGAAGCGCAAGGTCCTCGTACAAGTAGCTCAGAGAAGGGCAGCTCTCTTCTGTTTGCAAATGCGCGCGGTCGCTTTCTGTAACCTCGGATGTTTCAAAACCAGAAGTAAAGCAGCACCTACAGTAGCATGGGAAACACGCCAACCTGCTCCAACAAGAAAGGCGCACTTACCAGATGCGTGCAGGGGACCAACGGCCAAACCTTGCGTCGGACAAAGTTCCAAGTCCAAGTGCGCTGTTCCTGCGTGAAGTCACCACCCCGCGCAGGCTTGCCAGGCTTAGCTTGTTGTGCTGCGTGCTGGAGGGCTGCTTTCAGCTCTTTGTCCGCAAGCAGCGCCGCCCGAAGGCGGTTCATCCCCTTTTCCGCGCTCATGCCGCTAAGCTTCTCACATGTGGCACGTAGGCAAGTGTTCACGAACGCAGGTTTTGCTTAAAAGTCGTTGTCGTTTCCTTATCGTGTTGGTTATCGTTTTGGACCGCTATGAGTTTGGAGTTCCGACTACCCGCCAACTATGAAACCAAAGGCGAGCGATTCCACAATAAGCAAGGGACATGTGAAGCTCATGCAGATGTCTGCCACCGTCAGTCAACTTGCGCAAGCTGTGTGCGGCGCACTTTTGTCTGCTCCCCTCGTGCTCTGCGCAATCTCAGATTGCACCACGACCCCAGCAGAACAGCATCACCACGTCAGTTGATGCAATCCTTGCAACGACAGTGGTCATCACCCCGAACCCGAAGCTCATGCCGCACAGCCGCCGCTTTCAGCAGCACGGCCCTGCGTGCAAGTTTCACCTGGCTCAAAACAGCACAGCTCCGCGTGCGCACTTGAGCGCGAAGCAGCCATAAGGCTCGCCAACATGAGTAGCAGGTCGCCCCGCAGGTGACCGTCTTGCCGCGGCCACTCACTCTCGTCATCCACTTTGTTTCGTGCCGTGGCCAGAAACAGAGACGGCATTTATCGACTTGCTCCCGGCTCCAATTGACACGGTCTGGGTTTCCTGACCTTGAACCACCCGAAGCAAGCTTGTCCACAATCTCATGCTGGACACTCTCCGACACCGCAATATGTACTGCTTGCTTGCAGCGCAGTCGCTTCGCATACTGCGGCATCCCGGTCTTGGTTGGAGTGTCCTCCTCAACTGCCCAGGGCCGTTTCTCAGGCGTTACGCGCACAAGCTCAGATCCAACGGCTTGCTGGTGCAGGTTCGCTTGAAGCGCGGCAGCTCCAGCAGAGTCCTGCGGGGAGCCACAGCTTGGGAAACAAGAAGGCTACCAAAAATTGGGTATGTCCTCAACTTGCGCCGGCACGTCGTGCTCTGCCACTCGCCCTGCAAAGTGTCCAGCAGTCTCCTGCGGGGGCCACAGCTTGGAACACAGGATGCTGACAAAACTGGCTATGTCCTCAACTTGCGCCGGCACGTGGTGCTCTGCCACTTGCCCTGCAACATGTCCAGCAATCTCCTGCGGGAGCCACAGCTTGGAAAACAGGATGCTGACAAAAACTGGTTATGTCCTCAACTTGCACCGGCACGTGGCGCTCTGCCACTTTCCCTGCAACGTGACCAGCAATCTCCTGCGAGAGCCACAGCTTGGAAAACAGGATGCTGACAAAAACTGGTGATGTCCTCAACTTGTACCGGCACGTGGTGCTCTGCCACTTTCCCTGCAACGTGACCAGCAATCTCCTGCGGGAGCCACAGCTTGGGAGCACAGGATGCTGAACAAAAACTGGCTATGTCCTCAACTTGCGCCGGCACGTGGCGCTCTGCCACTTGCCCTGCAACATGTCCAGCAATCTCCTGCGGGAGCCGCAGCTTGGGAAACAATAAGGCTGGCTAACAAAAATTCGGTATGTCCTCAACTTGCGCCGGCACGTGGTGCTCTGCTGCAACGTGTCCAGCAATCTCCTGCGGGAGCTACAGCTTGAGAAAACAGGATGCTGACAAAAACTGGTTGTGTCCTCAACTTGTGCCGGCACGTGGTGCTCTGCCACTTGCCCTGCAAAGTGTCCAGCAATCTCCTGCGGGAGCCACAACTTGGAAAACAGAATGCTATAAAAATGGTTCTGTCCTGCACTTGCACCGGCACACGGTGCTCCCCCACTTGCGCACGTCCAGCAGTGTCCTGCCCAAGATAGCAGGTAAAAAAAGCATCGGCAGTGCCAGCAACACCTGCAGGAGCAGCAGCAGCACCACCACCACAAGAACCAGAACATGAACAAGAACGAGAACAGAGAAGCAGCGACAACGGAAACACGCCCTGCCAAGCGGCTGGAGGCGGAGCGTGGCCAGGTACATCTCGAAATAGGACCTGCGGGCGACGTGGACAGCGGACGCACACACGCAGACACACACGGACACACAAACACACACACACACAAAGATACACAGCTCCATCCCACAAGACGAGACAAAGCCACAAACGCCACCACAACCAACCTACCCACCGACAGCAGCAGCACCACCACCACAAGAACCAGAACATGAACAAGAACGAGAACAGAGAAGCAGCGACAACGGAAACACGCCCTGCCAAGCGGCTGGAGGCGGAGCGTGGCCAGGTACATCTCGAAATAGGACCTGCGGGCGACGTGGACAGCGGACGCACACACGCAGACACACACGGACACACAAACACGCACACAAAGACACACAGCTCCATCCCACAAGACGAGACAAAGCCACAAACGCCACCACAACCAACCTACCCACCGACAGCAGCACCAGCAGCAGCATCGGAAAGAAGCAGAAGCAGTTGGCGCAAGGCTGCCGGCACCCAACTCCTTGGCCCGGAAGTACTTGCTGATGCAGGTCGTGAACTCCCATGATGAACCCGAACTCAGACGCGCAGTGGCTTTGAGCAAAAAACAACAGAGCCACTAATCGAAGCAATGGAAATCCATAAAACAACATGGGAAACCAGCATTAGCAATTGTTCCGCCCAAGCGGCTGGATGGCCATGTGATGGCTTTTGCGCCAGTGACCAGAGAGCGTCATGCTCTCATTGGTGCATCGAGCCACCTCAGCGCTGTACTTCTCCAAGAAGTACGGCGCCGTCATGGCAGCGCCGCACATCTGACAACTGCTTGGGGCAGCCATGCTGAGCCAGGACACTGCGATTACAGCCTATCTCAGTCACGACCGCACAAAACCCAGAAAAGCAATGATATCGTTTTTTGTAGGTCCCTATATCGTTTTACATGGTTTTGCAATGTTCTGGCCAACCAACGAACCGCAAAGCCACCGAAGACATATCCTTTGAACAGAGAGTTTTGCCTGTTGCTCACCTGCTGTCCAGTGTTCAAAGTGGGTTAGGTTCTTTTGGCTCGCTCCAAAAATGATGTTCCTGCGACGTTTTAGACAAGCCTGCGAGAAGTTCCGGGATCAATGCTCTAGCACGGGACTTGGTTGTCAAACAGTGAGCATTTGCAAGACGGCCCTCCAGATGTATCCGACGCGAGCTTTACGCAAACAGTCCCAAGCAGATTGCTCAGTGCCATACAAAATATGTATACACGTGCAGCTACCGCTTGCGGTAAACTGGGACTACTTGTTGCCCTTGTCAGAAAGTTCATATTCCAATGCTGTTTTAAACTTCCCGAGCCACGATCTGGGAAGCCTTCCCAACAAATTGTGGATTGACCATTGTTTCGAGTTCAGCAGGTGATTTGCAACAGGTGCCATGCTCAATGAGCTTGCTTGGATGGGATCGCTAGGCGGCCGTGGAGCGATTGACTGGATGTAAGAGAGCCAACAAAAGGATTATATTGAGGGAACCACAATCATAACTCACGCAAGACCATTCTGATTACAACGCAAAAAAGTAAAAACCCGGTATTTCCTGGAAAAACCCGGATATTTTGCCATACCTTTAAAATAAACGGATATTTGCTTAGAGGGTAGTTGCAAAAAACATGTGCAAGACATGTACGAATGTAAGGGAAATACAAAATTCAAACTCATAACCTGAGACTCTTGCTGCCCATGTGCCCCATTTTCAGGGCTAGGGCAGAACCAAACTCGACAAATCCCGGGGCTCCCGGATGCCAGGATCCTACCAGGTGGACCAGCCCAGCGTTAAGCTCGAGTAAAGGAGTTGGTCTTTTGACCATGGCCGAGGTGCTATCCATTGGGAGAACATTATAATGAACCTGGATGTCGGACATGAGATGATAGATTTTATCATGTTGGTGAGATGGCACCCTGCACTGCACAAAGATTGCCTGGATGAAGACACACTGCGATTCGGCAAGATCATAGACCTTGAAAAGCATCCAGAAGGCACTGGTTTGATGGGCGTCGGAGTATGCAAGCACTCCTAGCAAGGCGTGATACCCCCTTGATATACGCCCCGCCTTGCTGATGTTCACGCCGCACAAGTTTTCGGAAGGAAGCCAAGGAGCCGGACATAAGGGTTATGCTACGGCTGCCAAACCAAAAGATGTTTGTTTCTGGTTCATATTCAGCAAAGCTCAAAATCTAGAGTAAATCATCGGAAGACATCTCAAATACTCACTTCCGGAGTAGGTTGGCCACAAAGTTAAAACAGTGGTTGTGTCAAACAGTTCAACTTCCATAACTCAGACAGTGAGGATGTACTAACCACAAAGCCATGGGTAAGTTGCGGGAATTAAATCGTCGGAGTCCTTGTCCATGCAATATCACGGACATCCATATAGGAATTTGCACATTTCCAGGTTTCACATCCCAAAGTCCAAAGTGCCAAAGGCTCCCAAAGTAAAGAACACTCACTTGCATGGATTGGCCGAAAACAGTCTGCAACCTTTTCATCTGCCACTAGCAGGGTCCAGACCCATTCAAGTTTCAAGTCGCGGAACTCGGGTGCGAGATGTACCTGGAGTCTCCATGACCCTAACTTAAAATTTGGGGTCATGGGGTCATTGACCCATTTTTAGAGGGTCAGAAGGAGACTCCGCTGGGCTGTCCTCAGATCCTCCGCTGAACGTGACCTTTTAGTGGCTGAAATGCACATCCAACCACTAAACACTAAAAATCCAAAAGGCTAAGGAACCGGATGGCTGCGAGCCACGTCCAGGAAGAGAGGTTTTTCCGGGCCGTAGGAACAAACAACCACCAACGCCTCCAGCGCGCGACCGACTCGGGAGACGAAGCGAAGCGAAGCGAAGCCGGCGGAAGCGCCGCGCCAGGAAGAGCGCGAAGTCGTCCAGCTGCTGCAGCTGCAGATCCACCAGCCGCTTCAAAAGCTCGAAGCGCTCCGGCTGATCCTTGCAAAACGGTTCTGTTCTCTCAGGCGTTGAGCGTCCAGAGTGCGCGCTTTTACCGCGTGTTGGCATGGGTCGGCCCATCGGGCCAAGTGCATGCACAAATGAACGAACCAGAGTGCGAGAAACCGAGAAGAAAAACAAACTGGTAAAAGCACCTGGTAAAACCCACCTTGGAATCCCCACCAAAGGGGTTAATTAATCCACCGTTTGGTAAACCAAACCACCTGGACAAAACAAATCAGCATACTTGTTTGTTAAGGCTGCACAGCTCTTGGGAAAACCTGGTAAGCCCACCTCAGCCATGATGAAGTTGTTTGATCAAGCATCCAACAGGCAAACTTCGGCAAACCCAGCCTTCTTCGTTGTCAGGGCGTCCGAAAGGTTTGGCGTCTCTTTCTAGGTGTCCGAAACTGGTATCTCAAGTGTCCAAAAGGCCGACCTCCTGGCCAAGGAGTTCCACCAGGAAACCAGCAAAGGCTTCTCTGTGTCTTGAATAGGCTGGAAAGACAACCTTTGTTAGACACAATTAAACAATGTCTACTACACCTATCCCAGGACCCCCCAACCGCTCTCAGAAATGGTTTGTTCAGTGATCGCCTTTGGGCTGGTTTGAGTCCATTTGGGGGGTCGTGGTCCCCATCACAGTATCACAGCTCCGGAGTCAGCAACACTTGCTCAAGAGGCTGGGGCCAAGCATCCAGGCCAAAACAGCCATGCATCTACGGGTACCTTCCATGTCCATTCTTTCCAGGGATCCTTCTTTCTAGAAAACATCCCTTGAAACCCAAAAAGAACGGCCAGTGTTGACAAGAATGGTTGAAAAGAATGGTTGGAATCAACCCCTAGAATGCAGCACACACACACACACGCACATTGGTAGGGCCTTAGGGAGACCTCCAAAGGCCACTGGGAAAAGAGGAACCCCTCTGGCAAAACAGGAAAACCACGGGCACCACTGGAGGGTAGGGTTGGCCAAAATTCCGAGTCCCTTTTAAGCACTACCCGCCCCCTTAACTCCATCTTCCAACAGTTTTACTGTTGAGCTCAACCATACTCACAACCCCGCAAACCCGTTTTCTGCATTAACCTCTCAAGGGAACCTCCCTCCAAACAAAGCGGAACGGGTGCAGTACTGGAAGTCTGAAAAAAAACACATATCGCTGGCTGGGCTTCTTTGCAACAAAACCGACTCTTAGCTCCAACAAAAATAAAGCCGCCGTTGGAGGTCCAACAAAGGGAAATTTAGGGGCCACTGTCCCAGGAAACCAATTCTCAGTTCAGCCAGGCCGCTTCCTGCAGGCCTGATACAGCCACCAGCTTCGGCGTGTCAAGGTCCAAGGGACCCCTCCAGCAGGCCTTAGAGATGGAGAGATGGGCACCTAAAGCCATGTCAGGAGAATACATGTAGGCACCAACCCCGAGGTTCGCCCACCCCCAACACTGTTAGGGTTTGTGCTGACCCCACCAACACTGTTTTAGGGTTTATGCTGGCCTCCAGAAACTTTTTCACACTCATATGGCTGTGGGTCAAAAATAGGTACCCAAAATGGAACCTTAGTAAATGGAAACAACTAAAACCTGCGGTCCCCGAGTTTTCGAGTGGTTTTTGAATTTGACCCACACTCATATGGCCATGGGTCAAAACCCAAATCGTACCCCCAGTGAACATCCCAATCCAACCACTAAAATAGGAAGCCTAAAATGGGTGGTGAATTCACCGAATCCCAACCAACATGGGATCAACCAAAACGGTTTTGACCCACAGCCATATACATAATACAGCCCAAAATGGCACCTTGGTAAATGGAACCAAAGACTAAAACCTGCGTAACCCTGACTCTTAAACTTTGGAGCCACACCCATACAGCAACGCATCCAACACGTCCTTCGGGACCCGCCTCCGGAGGCGCTTCTCGCAGATCTTTGAGCTCTCTTCTGGCCAGCCAGGAGCCACGGAGAAGAACCACCGCGCCCGAGGAGATGGACCTCCAAGGGGCGGCTTTGCGCTGGCCCCCGAAAAAAGAAAAAAAAAGAAACGAGAAAACACAACCACAAAAAAACTCATAAAACCAAACAAAAACAACCAGAAAAAACAACCACAAAAACAACCACAAAAAAGGAGAAAAACAACTCGGTTGCGAACTCTGCTCCCCTGCTAAAAGCTTAACTTTTGGGGGGTTTAATGGAAAACCAACTAGTTAAGTTGGCAAAAAGTTGAAGTGGTGACATCCCTTGGCAAAATGCGCCAGAGCATGGTAAGGGGACCAACCCACCGACCAAGACAAGGATTTGCCACTGATTGGAAGATTGCTTAAACAAAGCTACTATTGGAAAGAGGAGTAGCAGTTGTGTTTGCGGGGATATAATCCTAACTAGTAAGTCTTTCTCATTTTGTGCGTAACCCTTTTCAACGAGACATGGAGGTACATCTCGGAGCGGTGGCTTGCAAGCAGCTGATGCTACTGTCTCCTGCAAAGGGTCCAAGCTAAAAGATCCAAGCAGCCAAGTTTATTGGTTGATCTTTGGCTTCAACCTCACCCTTGCATGCAAAGATGCCTCCATCCACTGGGACATGACAAATGAGTCAAACGGGCATGTTACAAAATCAATTTATCAAGATGTACAACTCACTTTCTGAGTGGGTTAACTTCCAGGAACTCAGGAAGTGACCTCATTTTGGAGGCTCCACCTGTGACAAATAGCCATATGCGTGTGTCTTGAATAGGGGAACTCCCTTTTAGTTGGCTTTTGAGTGAGACCACAGGAACGGTCCAAAACCTCCCCCTCCCCACGCTGCCCTCGCCACCAGATGGCAACCCCAAAAACCGCCCCCCGCCTTTGCAGAGCTGCGAGGGATCCAAACTCCGCCTGGCCAACAAGGGAAGACGCGTACGTCTGCTACCTGAAAAATAACAAAAACACGTACAGGCTACTGGTCTACCATGACTACCTGAAAAAAAAAAAAACGGAGAAAAAAAAAAAAAACGAAAACACATGAAGACTAATGGTCTACCCTGAAATATCTGGGTGCTTTTATCGGGGTCTGCAAAAATGACCTTCTGGTAGCCAAGAAACTTTCTGGCATCCTTTTTTTGTGGAATTCGGGCATGGGCATCTACTGGAAACTTAGGCTTTTGCTCAAGATTGTGCGGTTGTGTTCAAACCAGAAACTAGTCGCTCGTTGCGGGGAATCACCAGCAAGGGCTTTGAGAATGGCAGACTGCAAACCTCGCGCATGGCATTCCATGCCTTGACTGCTCTTGGCGCGTGTTTTAGCAGGGTTCCTTAAGGATAAATAGAAAAATACCTGCTTCACAGGGGGATCCTCTATATCAAGTGGCCCAAATATATGCGTTGCTGTACCCTGTTTCGTGTTCGACCATCTTTGGGGTTCTGCTCGTGCTGGGTTCATAGGATATTATCATCTTTGGGGACCAGTCTCAGATTAATCGAACGTCACACAGAGCACTATGGATGTGTCTTAAACTGGGGGACCACCCCCGACAAGGAGTACCATCAGAAAAGACTGTTCCATATGTTGGTGGGAATATCATGATCAGCGAGATAGAATTCCGTCGGTACATAAGAACTTGTTTGGAGGAAGCCAGGAAATTTGGTGGGGGGTTCAAGAGGTTGACCCCTTGACATTCCACCACCATAGGGGTGTCTTTCTTTCATGGTACCCTCTTTTGGGGGTGGTTTAAAGGGATTCAAAAGAAACGCCACCAATCACAAGGGTCCCATATGGTCCCTTGACTATGTTGAGACACATCCATGTGAAAAGGAGGAGTACAAGGACTACCCACGAAGCTCCCCTTCAAACAATACCGTTTCTGATTGGGGAGCAAGCAAATCGAATTGCTTCCTCAGCGAACCTCGGGAAACTTTCTGCTCCCTGCCCCCCGATTTATGTTTTGCACGTTGCAAGGTTTAGACGAGTTTCCACAGTTCTGCAGGGAATCTTGGTCCTCGCTTTTCGTTGTGGTTTGGTCCTCTTTCAGGAATTCTTGGGAGGTACACTGGTGTCATGATCAACGACTGGTGAAGTGGTCAAGGCCGTTGGCTGAATCGAAAGGGCTCACCCATGGCTGGGTCCCGTACCCTCTTGCCCGGGTGTCTGATGCAGAAGCTTCGGATCAAGGTGCAATTTCTACACGGAGAAAAAAAAAGAACAGAAAAGCGGATCTCCAAGTAGAGGACATCCCGGGTTTCACTTATTTTACCCTCGGCAGCAGGGGAATCGGCGTAAAATAGCCGGGAGTTGAGCGCTCCAACGATCGGCGATTCGGCGATTTGCCTCAACCAGGGGCTCGCGCTGTAAGCTTTGCTCAGACCTGGCGGAAAAAGGACATTGGAAGCGGATTTCAGTGATTTACATGGGCGTGTCCATTTTGAGGGTACCCTTCTTCGCGTGTTTAGAGGAAAGCCAACAGGAAGACCACGGACACACCCACATTGCTCCCACCCAGCCCTCCAGTGGACTGTTTGCGGGTTACGTACTCAATTTGTAGGTTGCTGCTCTCAAATTGAGTTTTGGTTGGAGAACGGAAACCCGTTGGGATAAGCATGTAGAAATGTCCGTTGAGAAAGGGGGAGGAAGGGAGAAGAGAAAGAAGAACGAATGAAAGAAAGAGGAATGAGAGAGAAGAGGAGAAGAGAGAGGAGGAGAGAGAAGAGGAAAGAAGAGGAGAGAGAAGAGGAGAGAGAAGAGGAGAGAGAAGAGGATAGAGAAGAGGATAGAGAGGATAGAGAGGATACAGAGGAGAGAGAGGAGAGAGAGGAGAGGAGAGAAGAGAGAGGAGAAGTCAGGAGGAGCGGGGAGGAGCGAGAGAAGAAGAGAGTGGAAAAGAGAGAGAGAGAGAGAGAGAAAGAGAGGAGGAGCAAAAAAGCATCTTGAACAAAAAACGCAAGCAAGCTTTTTTGTGCGTTCCCGTTGAAGCAAGGAAGCACGGAAGAATCGCGACTCACTGCTTGAAAACCCTTTTGCAACCAACCCTGTCTACCCCCTCGGTTCAATTAAGGTGCCCTTCATCCTTCCCAAAAACATGGGAATCCTGGGATCTCGAATCATGTTTCCATTTCCTCCCACCCCTCCCCGCCAAAATCATTCTTTGTGTGGTACCAACATGTCTCATTCTCAGAATTCCCTTGATACAACACCTCTATATTATATATATATATATAAATGTATATGGATGGCGGACACACACAGGATACGGGGGGCGGTGGACGGCGGGACAGCGGATACGGACTCGGGACACGGATACGGGAACAGGAACCACGGAGGAGACTTGTAACCACGGCTTTGGTGGGTGAAAACTGTTTAAGGAGCCCTGGCTTTGTGCCGTCTACTTTGCTTCCCCCCCGTCCCCGTCTTTTCCCAGATTGCGGCTTTCGGATCCTTCCCTCCTTCAGCCCCAAGCCTCTCTTGCGGCAGCGGAGGAAGAAAGGCCTGAAGCGAAGCGGCCACCGGACGGGGCGGGGGGCTCAGGCCATGTGGAAAGAAGGACTTCGCCAGAAACCTTCGCCAGTTCTGTTGGATACCAAACAATTTGACTCGATTCCTTCCCAGAAACCATCGCGTAAAACCTGGAGGCAAACAAGACATGGCTACATACCAGAATCTTAACTGGAAGCACTGGCTGTGCTTGGTTTTTCGTTGCACCAAACGCTCTTCCGCCGCCCCCGAAACCCGAAACCCACGTGGGTACCGCGGGTGGGCCTGAGCACTGGCGGCTTCTTTGGCCACACTCTCTGCCTTCTCCACCGCCTGAAAGGACGTTGGCACTCTACACAAAAAAATATCCATTTGCGGATTTGCCCCCGGGAAAAAATGAGGACATATGTCCAGTAGTGATAGACTCCCTTTGAAACCAAGAGAGACAATATGACAAATATTCATCAGCAAATGGAAGCAAAACATATTTTCCGCAACGGTTATCACATTTATTTGGGTTATGTTGACAGCCATTGGGTCCTGTCGGGTGTCTCTTGAGGGAATGTGTTGGGGTTGGCTTAAGACGACAACCAAAAGGAACGCCATACTCAAAAATACAAATTTGCAGGAGACATCGCGCCCCATTCACCCACAAACAAAATGCTCAAATCTCCAAACCACCAATCCAAGCACCAATCTAGGGGGTTGATTCCTTGTCCATTCTTTTCAACCATCAACCTTTTCAAAAACTCAGCTGTTTCCCTTGGGGTTCTGATGGTTTTCTGAAAAGATTCGGATCCCTGGGTTAAGAATGGACATGGAAGTGTCCCCTAGAGAACCAAGGAGGGGTTCCCGGAAACCATGGCTTCAAATGGAGAAACGGAGCCCCCGTCCTCCTTCAGCTGCCCCTCGAGCTCCTGTGCTATCAGGCGCCTGGAACTTGGAGGGGTGTCTTTTGCCACCTTTGCTGAGAGAATTGGCGTACCCCCTCAAGGAATGCTTCACAAGGTCCATCATTTTTCCAAGGCAACAAGACCCTGCCTGAAACTTGTTGGTGGGGAGTCCTAAAAAATAGATCGGACTCCGCCGGTGGAGTTCCTTGGAAATAACACATGGCGCCATTTGTTTGGTCGTAGCCCACTTTTGGAAGATGCTACTGGCCAGAAACAAACAAACACAAATCGCAGACTTGTCAGATCTTGTCGGGCCTCTATGATGAAACCAGTCGGGACTGGCAAATAAGCGATATCGTGGAAGGTGTTCCGACCGCAGCCTGGGACGGAAGCCAGCCGAAATTTGCTAATTCCGCCTCGAACACCTTCAAAGGGCGCCCCTTGCAAGCCCAGCTGCCTATTTCTTATTTCACTGTGGGTATTTGGGGACCCGAAACGGTGGACGTGATTTACATTGGGAGTTCTGCCCACCAACTATGGTGGAGTTTGTTTTGCGGTTCTCAATTTACATGTGATTTTCTGCCTACCAACGATGTTTGTGTTGTTCTGGACACATATGCCGATGCCATAATTGCACGCATGAGGCTAAAGAAAAAACCACGAGAGGGGAGGGGACCGGATGGGAAGCTCGGCTTGCGAGGTCGCCAAGTGCTAAGTACGCTGGCCCCTTCAACTCCTCTTCGACCCCTTGTAACCAGGGTGTCTAAATGGTAGCCAAAATCCGAGATCCCCCGCCTTGGAACAAATGAATGCCCTTTTGTGGCGTAGATGTTGCTGAAGCGAAATCCTTCCCCTTGTTGCATTCCTATTTATGTCACACACAAAACACACAGCATCCAAGTACGTGGCCGCATCCCTCGTCTCCTCTTGGCGCTCGGCAGTGGGTCGCGCCTATCATCAAAGTCGCGGGAGAAGAATCCTGTTAGTTCTATCAGCTGGTAGGGGGGTCTTGAGGGTACCCCTTTTTTGTGACTTAGCGGGAAACCAAAAGGAAGACATCCATTTGAGGGGGTCCCTATTTTGAGACAGACCCACAAAAGCAGGTTCCTTTCGGATGCTACACAAACGCTTGTTCTTAGGTGCGTTTGTTTAGGATACCCTGAAGGTGCAAAGACTGAGCCACAACAGCCCGTTGAAGAATTGGGGACACTCGACCCAGTGATAGGTAACCAAAGGAACCACGCTGTAGGAATTACTGTAATGGAGATGTCACCCCCTAGAAAATTTGAGCGGCCAAAATATTGGATTCCCAAAATTTGGGAAAGACCCGTGCCCCATGTTTGCTACAACCATGAGATTGCAACTGGCAGACCGCATCATGCATCCCTTCCCCCTATGAACAAAACATCAACGGCCGGCCCATGTCTTGGAAGCAACGGAGATTAGGAGCTGTCCTTTGCAGCGCCCACCAAGATCACAACTTAACACAGACAAACAAACGCAAGATATCATAACCGTTAACCTTGTGAAACCCTTAATAGAACGAAGTTGAAGCTTGACACATACCTGGAACCGCGCTATGGATTTCCAGCCCCTCAGCCCCGGAAGCCCTTCACAAATCGTGGATATCCCTGGGAACTTGTATGACAGGTGCGCCCATGGATGTGGACGCCATCCCCATCTGCAAAACATACAATAATAGAAGAAACAAAAACATTGTATGAACGGTGCCTCCAAGTAAAGGACCTAGATTGTAGCTTTCGCTTCAACTTTCGAGTCGGTGGAGTCGCTATATCTTTCGGGCTCCGCCAAACCCCCCGCCCCCCCAGCAGGGCAGACGCGCGACTGGGGCCTTGCGTCGCAGGTTCCGAATCTTGCCACTGGCGCGGTTCCGCTGCTGCCTTGAGCCCGAATCGGCACGGGACGGAGAAGGCGGGTGCCCATAGGTGTCTCTTCGGAAAAATAGAGGGTCCTGGTAAATGGAAATAAACCTATCTAAACCAGTGCTTTCTAATTTTAATCAAACTAACCTAAAAAGGACACCTATGCTGGTGCCAGGGATTTGTTAGGGCGCCAGGCGATGGGACGCCAGCTCAACGTCAACATTGGATTGAGAGACACCGCCGATTCTGTCAGGTTTGACGCTCTGGGCAAGGGGGAGGGGGAGGGTTTATGCCCTGAGTCGACTTTATGGGACAAACAAGGACCAACCTTTATGGTTTGTATTAACGGCGGTCGAGTTGCCATTCGAGACCTGATGGGAATCCAATCGCTTTGAATCATACCTACTCAGCTCTCTGGAGAAGCCTCGAATACCGAAGCATCTGCTTCCATTTGCATCCACTCTGCCAATGAGTTGCATGTTGGCCAATCATGGAACTTCGGGACCAAAATTGTTCACCGTCCGAACCACCACTTCTGTGATGCCAATGGAAGCCTTCCAATCGCAAGGGGGAGGGTTCCTTGGAATCACCGCAGTGAACATCTTCATTCCTAGAGCCCTGTTTCCCCTCTCTTCGACAGACTGCAACCGCGACAGCAAGAACTGCACGAAAGGAACCCAAGGAGCGTTTTTCTCAGGCAGCTCGCTTGACCCACATCTCGCCAAAATAATCGCAAAGCAGGTTGTCAGGTTGCTGCGGCTGTGAAGAATCAACGCTTGGGCACTGCAAAAGCGCATCTTCATCCAACAACGCATGGCAGGCTGGCACCTCTTCTTTATGCCCCCGTAAACAACCTGACAGCAGTGCCTATTGACTAGGTGCACGCCCAGAGGACCCAGAAATAAAAAGTTCAACATGTTTCTGTGACCATAGGAAAAGATCCGGTCGCACCTAGGAAACCAGATCCGGTCAGATCCAGTCGTTTCGCTCCAAGTGAGGCACTCTGTGTGGTTTAGAAAAGCCCAAGGTCGCGCAGAGCCATGGACACGACCTTTTCCAGGTCCTCCAGATTTGAGAGGTTAGAGTAAGGGTACCCGATTTTTTTCTGCAGTCTATTTTAGTAGGGGAACCCAAAACCCCAAAAAAGAAACGGTAAAAGTTGGCACTACTGGGGGACCTAGCCCCAAAAAAGCGGCCCAAGGAGCATCACCGAGAAGTCCACTTCGTAGCAGCACCTGACGCGTCGCGCTAAGTCGCGCCTAGAGGTGGTCTTAAATATAAATAAAAAAAAATAAAACTACTTGGATGTTTGGTCGTCTTTTTTTGGTATTATTATTATTATTATTATTGTTTACAGCCTACTTGGATGTTCGGACAAGTTAGTAAGTGGTTAGCCACCTGGGTTATAATCCACTTTTAATGGGGTTAACCCAGTCATTTGTGGCTTATAACCCAGGTGGCTAACTTGGCCGAACATCCAAGTATCCTCTGCAAGTTTGGGTATGATGGCCATGGACGAAGAAAAAGGACCACACACTTGGTTGACTAATTTTGCTGGAAGCTCCAACCCCAAATCATTCATTCTTGGTTGGGAATCTCCGTGTTGGGAAATTGGCAGTCCCAGGGTACCGGCAATTCCCAAACCGCAGAGAAGGGACATTTTCAAGCAGGGGTTTAACACAAATCGGCAAGCTCGCTATAACTTGCGCGCTCTGATGCTGACAAAACACTTTCATGGGAATCGTCTGGGCATTTATGCAAGTACCAGCCATGATTCCCCTCACCAAAATGCGCCTGAGATTCGCTTCCCAACATCCAGGGGCTTCCAGGCCAATGCCCACTGCGGATTCATATACGCAGCGGCTTACTCCTCTCATGCGACAAATTTGTTATATGTTCTTCATGTCCGTTGTTCTAAACTTGCTTGCTTTCAGTTGGACGTTCCCTTCGAACAAGAAGTGAGAAAAAAAGAGACCTGCCCCGCTGCAGAACCTGTGGAGTAGTGTCACCAAAATCCTGGGCCCACTCTGACTTGCCCAAAAGGACCCAAACCTAAAGCAACGTTGTTGCTATTCTTGCCCCTTAAAACTCGAAGGATTGGGGAAGTTTTCACCGTTTACAGACATATAGCCCATGTTACCCAAAAAGTTACGAAAAAATGTGTTTTTAAGAGGTAAGTATTGGGACCGACAAACCCAACGAAACGGTCCATTCGCGTCGAGTCCCTTTGGACAGCAAAGAAATCGCTCCGAGCTGCTCATGTGGGCCCAGCGACAGCGGACAAGCGCCCTCTGGGTCCTGGCGGTGGCTTGTTGGCTTGTTGCAGGGTGCCACCCTTTTGTTTGGTTGATTGAATCGAAAACCGAAAAAAAGAAGAAGAAACAAACAAAGAAGAAAAAAAAAGGAAAACAAAACGCCCACGACTCTTGGGGTTTGGGGGTTCCAATTTTTGTTGACACAAACCCCAAAGAAGCGGAGATGTCACGGCGCATTGTTTGCGACGTGCAGATCTTACGGGCCTCTTAGTGATCCCTTCGGTAGAAGGGTTCACCCCTTGGGGTTGACAATTTCAAGTTGGCAAACCCGGTGATTCCATCGACCCATACATCGAAGAAAATTAGCATTTGGAAAAGCAAACTATGGCCGGATACCTATACTGGAAACTGGGATCAAAACAGAAGCTCAGTTGTCCAACTGTGGCAAAAGCTTCCTTTTCATCAACCACCGTGGGTCCCGGACCGTTCCCAAACACAAGGTATGTGGTGAAATCTGCACAACACAAGCCGCTCTTCGGAGAGGTGGCCCAAAAGGGGAAGAAAGTTTTAGTCTGGTAATGCGGGCATGTGTCAACACAAGGGACCCCAAAAAATTGTGATATTCTGGTGTCTCTTGAAAAGGCAGGTACTCTCAAAAACACACACCCACTTGTTCCCCCAAAAGGACATGAATGAAACAAGTGAGTCCCCTGGATTTGCGAAGAATTCAATGAGTTACCCCCATGTCCCTGCCAAACAAACCATGGACTGGACATTTAGCACCTCATGCAGGATTGAACCTTCAGGATGTTAGGAGCCCTGAGGGGAACCTTGCCCAAAGGGTTCAAGTACCTTTTCTTTGCCGATTTGAGAAAATATCAGATTTGCGAATCTCCTTGAACCCCACCACAAAAATATACGGGCATGTCTTCTTTTTTAAGGCGCCGGACTGCTTTTGCGGTTTTTTTAGGGGCCACCGAAAGGAACAACATCATTTTGGAGGCGACCTGAAAAAGCCACGCGCATAAAGCTCAGGTACGGCTTGGGAATGTTGAGCCCATAGTCAACCCCGGTTTATGAACATGGGGGTGTCCCTGGTTTTGGGGATTCAGACCACTTTTGGAGGGGAACACTCCCATATTAATACCCGGATGCCCAGTGGCAGTTGGAGAAAAAGGGCATCCTTTTGGCACGCAGGTGAGCTGGGCATGCCGCCCAACCACCGGTGACCCAAAGGGCCGTGACACGGGGCAGAGCCCCCACGCAGAGAGCCGAAGCTCAATTCGCATGCCCGGTGAGTCCGAGGGCCATGGGCAAACTGTACCGCATCCGAGGGCAAGGCGAGAGCCAGCCCGTGAAGCACCACCAGCCGAGGAGCCCAACCAACCGCAATCCCAGAGCGCCCCAAGTGAAGAAGACATCAAATATCAACGACGCCATCCAGCCGGCATAGAATACTGTTGCTGAGCACCGTCACGTTGAACAGATGCCGGTAGATCGTCCATCCCACAAATCCAGTAAATGACGCTGTAGCAACGGCACGGTCGCATCCAGGGTCACGCCCAAGGAGTAGTAAAATGCTGAAACTATACAACTGTAGGTCTCCAAAGAGGTAAAACCGCACCGGCCACCAGAGATGTAGAGCAACTACACCACATAGTAAAGATCCCTGCCGAAGGTGAATCCCCGAAGAGGGACCATGAGGTTTGCACCCGGGGCGTAAGGCACCAAATCGCCACCATGCAGTGGGAGGAGGGGGCCACAGAACAGGGCCCATCCCTAGGGCAGAGGTGGGCACATGCAGCGGCCCCCAATTAAGCCACACCAGTACCGTAGCGGAGTAACCATCAAAAGGAGACCACAGGGGGCCAGCAGACCAAGAGCGCAACCAAGGGCCACGGCTAGGGAGGCCGCGCACCAAACCAGACGGGGCTGCCGGGGGGTGAGTACCCGACTTTGTAGACGCCCAACCGGCAGATGGCTGCCTAGCAGAGCCCTGGGCGCACCACTCCCTCAGGCGAAGCAGCTTGGGCCGAGACGCCTAAAAGGGCATCCTTTGTTTGGTTGGTTGACTTATGGAATCCTTCCCCAAAAAAGGAAAAACGGGCACCACTGGGCAACTGGGAATCAACAGGGGTTGATTAATCTGGGGTCAAACAAATGCCCTCTCTAGGTCCTCCAGTAGAGAGGTTTGAATAAGTAAGGGTTCGTCTATTTTAGTGGGCGTCCCGGACCTAGCTCTTGAAGGGTTTTGCCCCTTTTTTTTGAGCCTCGGGTGTCCTGAAGGTAGGCGGCCTCCAGGATCGAGGCGTCCTTGCTGTTGAGCCGGTGCCACGTGGCATCTTGCCACTCCCACAGGCCCCGCGACGCTCCCATGGGCGGTTCGGCGCAGGCGGCTTGGGCGGCTTCAGGCGGCCAAGGTGCGAACGAACACGCCAAGGTGCGGTAAAAAAGAGCTCTGCCATATTGCAAGCGAGCGTCAAAGACCATGGTTTTGCGGTTGAGTGGGGTTTACTAGGCATATTTGGGGGCATCTGCTGTGTGTCGGCAAAAGTGCATGTACACATATAAGACCAAAAGTCAACAACTCGCAAACCACGAACAGAGACGCGAGGCAATCTGCTGAGAAAAACATCCCAGGGGTGACATGTCAAAAAATGGCTCCCACAGTTCCGGAAAGGGGGACCTGATGCAAAGTAGCCGGGAAACAGCAGCTTTAGCAAAGATTGCCTTAGGCAACGGTCGTTCAAACTGGAGAGCCATGCAACTCTGCCCGTCTCTGTGTCATTGTACTTGCTTGTCCAAAGGACCTGACAAACTAAAAGCCTAACCTTTCGGGGTCATGACAAAAGACTTATCCAAACTGGGGAACCAACATTTAGCTTTGGGCAAGTGAGTGTATGATGTGCCCGGGCAAAACCTCGCTCGTTCGCGCTCTTGCTCGAGCCGGGGCTGACACAGTTGGGCGAGGCGATCCTGCGACGGATTCTACGGAAGAGACAGGGGTCACCTAATTTCCCCCTTCAAAGGTCCTAAGGTTGCAACTGACTGGTGGTTTCCCTTGAAACGGTCCTTTTGAATCCAAAAAGGGAAATAGAGGAAGCCCTGTGAGATCCTCGGGATGGGGGGGACTCGTTGTGTGGTAGGATTCTTTCATACCAGGTTTCATCAGGACTCAAGTGAGCAGATCATGTGCGACCGTACCGCCGCCGTAACAAAAAAACAAAAGAGCGAGAGTTCTTTGCCGAAACCCAAGACTCCCTCTTTCAGACTGACGAGTTCGTCGGCTTAGCCCAAGGCACGGGTTCAATAGACGCCTTGTATGGAAGGTCCATGTGTGAAACGCCTGCGCACTCAATTAAAGATCAGGGTCTAATCGGGGAGAAGGAACAACAGGTGTAATTATGAATTTTGGGGACCTGGTAGCAATCCCATGACCAATCTACAGGACATCCGCAAATCTTTCCATGCTTTCTGACCGCCACTAAATTTCAAGTCGTGCGAAAGTCCTGGGTAAACCTCGACCTTCACCTCTTCTTCCACTTGCTTAAGCCCCCTCAACAAAAACCACACACACACATACATATTTCCAGTAGTGATAGATTCCCTTTAACGCCAGGGAAAATTCAACATACTCTAAAGCAAATGGAAGTCTTGCCTGGCTGAGCATAGCATCTCGTGCTCCCAAAAAAGGTCACACAATCGACGGCACGAAGGGCGACAAAAACGAGTAACTTGTCCGAGGTGGGACCCCCAAGCCCAAACTCTAAACCAACCCGCCCCGAAATCCCAGGAGTGGGAAATAAAGGGCTCCCTTTTGTTGGGAGTTGACTTTAAGGAAAACTCCCAAGGAATGAAGTGTAGTCAGGTAGTCTGGCTTGTGCCAAACCTGGCATGAGAGGACCCCATTGAAAAATACTGCAGCGATCCAACAACGGTCTGAGAATGGCAATGAAACTGTACTGCTTTCTCCTTCAGTCAAAGCACCAACCCCCGTGGATCCCAGTTCCCGGTATAGGTGACCAGCCATTCTCTCTTTGGTTTTTGGTGGCGCCCTTGGTTCCCTACATTTTTTTCCAACAGGGCCCTCTGGGCAGGAGATCACGCCTTGCGACCTGTGCGGACTAAGACACCCGGCATGGAAAGACGCCCTCCCTGACTCCCTGAACCGCGCAAAAGAAACCGGAAATCGGAACGGCATGAAGCTTGAAGCCCAAACCACTCGTGCTGGCGAAAGAAAGCTGGATAAAATGGGGTGGTCCTTTTTTCGAGGCCCCGAAAATGGGGCTGCCTTAAAGGGAAACCGAAAGGACACCCACCATTCTGCGGGGTCCCCTATTCTAAGAAAAACCCACATTTTGGATATTGACATACTCCATTTTCCCCCAGGGTAGTGGCTTGGGAGCAGCCAGCAATTCACCGACCAGATGCAATGTACGCCGGTCTAGCCCCCAGTCAGTGCGCAAAAAGCAATCCTGGCAAATAAACGACTTGGCTGTAGGCCCACGCAAGATCAAGGAAGAGGGCACGTAACAATGTAAAACAAAAGCAACTCCCCCAATCCCGTCCCAACATACGTAATTATCTGGTGAAGCATTATGTCGAGTCATCTAGCAATGCGGGCGTGCGTTCAGAAAGAATCACCACATCCAACAATGCCACTGGCCTGCATGCCAACAACCATACCAAAGGTCACTATCTGTGTCATGCGCGAAAGAGCTTCTACCTTCGGTGAGCGTATTCATTCCTTCCTTGGGAATTCCTATAGCTGGCGGTTTGAAGTCCTAACAATGAGGATCCATGACCATCGTTTCCTCAGCTGTTGCTGCATCAGTCTGCTTTTCAGTCTGGTCCATGTCTTGTAACTCTTGAAATGGAAAACCAATTCCAGATCTCCATCAACCAACCCAAGGTGAAAATAACGCTATGGCAAAGAGGATCAGATCGCCATTGGTCCACTATGACACCTACCCCCTCTTGCAGTCTTTGCATCCCAATGATTCGCAAACGCACGGCCAAAGCCGTTGCACCGTGAATCTCTTCCATCCGACAAACAAAAACATGCCCGCAAAGGATCGCCTCGTTCCCCAGACCCATGCATGTGCGCGCCGCTAGGGCGCGTAAAAGTGCCTGGCCTAAACCTTGGGAAGTCTGGCTTCAGCCATGATGCCCAGAAACAACTTGCCAGGGGGGTCTTTTTGCTACCTTTGGGGGAAAAATGATGGACCCCCTTGTAGCAAAGGATTCCTTTTTGAGGTCGCCAATTTTCTCGCACAAGGCGGCAAAAATACCCTGGTTTGAAACAAGCAAACCAAGCATCGCCAAGAAGTGATGAATCGGATCGAAAGCTCCCCGCTTCGAAAGCTCTGCAACTCCACGTTGGACAGCTGTCACTTTCCAATATCCAAAAGCCCAAAGGTGCCCATGTGCTGAAGCTACCACTCAAAATGACAAAACCAAACTGGACAAAACCGCTTGAGTTTTGTTCAAGCGCTCTCCTGCCGACCTTAGACCTCTGGTAAGTATATAGGACCGCTTCCGGCATCCAACGCTTCGAACATGATCACTGAATAAGAGACGGAGGCTCTCACAGGGGTCTGCAAACTGTTGAGAGCCTTGGATGGTCCTACGTTTCTCCTGCTTCGCCTCAGGTTTGATCGCGGCTTACTTCTCAGGGCCTGGCACAGAGTTGGAAGGGCGGTCAGCCGTCGAATCCCGCAGACCAGTTCTAGGGTTGTGCAAAGGACGTCTTCGCACACGCCTGCTATGCGTGTGCTGTGCATCTTTGTGGACGCGATTTATCTTCATGTCTTGCGTGATGAGTTCTAGGACAAGGATACCGACTAGATACCATGAGTTTGATGGCATGACATCGTGAAACGCAAGCAAAAACATGAAACATCCATTAATTCCGCGACTCCGATGGTTGTGTGGTTGTTCATGTCTCTCGGCAGGCTGCTGAGCAAGTGGGAAGCAAATTCCGGCTTGTCCCATCTGGGCTGCCCGTTTTCAGATCCCCCGCTCAAAGGGGCTAACTTTCAGTGGGTTAGATGGAGACTACCACAGGGCTCCCTAGATTTCCCTGTTGAACATCACCGCACCAAAAGGAAACTCACTTTAAAGTGGCCCAAACGTGATGTTTCAAACCACCCAAAAAGGGAAATATAGGGAACCCTGTACCACCAAAGGCTAAAAGGCTAAAAGCTAAGGAGCCGGGTGCCTGCAGGCCACCAAGCCATGTGCTAAGCCCCCGTTCAGTGGTAGAAGTTGTAACCGGGGTGACGAAGCGCCCGAGCGGACTGCAGGTCTCGGCCGAAGCGCCAAGAGCGCTGCAGCTTGAGCCAAGAGCGCGCCGCAAAACTCAGGGGTCCGGCTGGATCAGGGGATCTTTTACGCGTTCTAGCTTGGATCAAACATCACAACTCCCTGCCCAATGATGTGTCTTTTTCTTAATAACAAAGCATGTGTGCGGCCTTTGAGCCACAAACGTCATAGTATTAGTTCCACGCGAAGGCACGAGAACTTAAACTCTCAAAAACGTTAAAGAAAGAAGCGAATGGACAGGACTCAGCTGTGTCAGGAGTTAACCCCAATGACATCTAGGGGTTGATTCACCATTAGCTGCCAGGTGTTTACCTCCTGCATCGGGCTCACAAGCTTTTCGCAGATGCAAAATTCGGATCCACCTGTGGAGAGTTGCACGTTGCCCCAATCAGTCGGACGCCCATTGGAGGAGTCTTTTTCTTGGCGACCAAAAGCCATACTCAAGGGCAGTACCATGAGGCAAAAACTTGTGACTTTGGCACAGGTCAAGCTCGAAGGAATCCTTGTGGACATGGGACAGTTACCCCTTGAGCAGAGAAAAACGTGGCCGTACCTAATGTTCTACCATGCCGGGGACGCTCAGCCGTGCTGACAAAGCTGAGCTGACCCCATTGTCAGAGCTACTTGGACTCGTCAGGTGCTTTGCATGGAAAAAGGACACCTGGCGGTTGACAAGACTCGTTTGACGTTGAAAGGGGAGCAACCATTTAAATTGTTGCAGCCAAGTGGTTGGATTTCAACCACTAAACGACTAAACCCCAATAAGCAAAAATGTAAAGTGTTTCCCAACCACCGAGAAGATACTCTTCTCAGGACCTCGCGACTTTGGGTTTGACCACCTGAAATCCTCGCGACGGGTCCAGTCTGGGTGTTTCCTGGGACGCTCTCTCTTTGCCTGAAAAAGGACCGGTGAAACAGTCATGTTGAATAAGACCAGGTATCCCCAGTTCGTAGATGCACCCGTCCAGACTGGAGCTTCCAACTGCGGAGCTCAGCGCGAGGATGTCTGGGATAGGAAACCCACGGGAGAAAGGGAAGGCCAAAAACGAAAC